CATCGTGTTGACATGGACGGCCTCATTGAGATTCTTGTCAACAAAGTTCTTCACCTCCGCTGGGAAAGTGGCAGAATACAACAAGGTCTGCTTGTTCTTTGGGAGAATCGACATCAGCTGTTCGACGATCAGAAGGAAGCTGCCCGAGAGGAGTTTGTCAGCCTCGTCGAGAACGAGCATCTTGATCGAATCGCACTTGACGTTCTGGTTGCTAAAGATGTCCAAGGCTCGACCAGGGGTGGCGACGAGAAGCTGAGCTCCGTGGAGGATGGACCTCACGTCCTCTCGCATCTGGCCTCCCCCCATGAGGAGAGCGATCTGAGGAAGAAGATTTTCTGTCAAGCTCGAGGAGCACGCTCTCGAAGAAGAACGCGGGTTCAAAATCCGGAAATTCGAAAGGGGACCGCATACTCCCGCTGGCATCGGGAAACGAACATACCTTGATAGATGTATGCTTCGCGAGCTGCGTGCAAGTATGGGAGGTCTGCAAGGCGAGCTCCCTGGTGGGAACCAGGATGAGCGCTTGAGCTTGACCGATTTTAGGATCCATTTTGCTGAGGACCGGAAGCAGGTAGGCTCCTGTTTTACCGGTGCCGTTTTTCGCGCGTGCGATGATGTCTTTGCCGGCAATGGTCAAATGAATTGTCTCCTCCTGGATCGGAGAAGGCTCTTCCCAACCGATTTCATAGGCTCCCTTGAGAATGTCGCGTTGAATGAGAAAATCCTGGTAGGACAAGCCTTTCGTGTCGGTGACGTCAGTGGTACGGGGACGAAGATCCTTCATCGGAGGCTGCAGGCCCACCTTCCAATCGTCGGCTTCGGCGAAGGTCATCTGGAAAACTCTTGCGTGAGAATGTCTCCATCCGATGATTCCAGAGCTCGATAGTTTGGCTCGCGTGATCTATACGTGCTCCAGGAATCTATGAGCGACAACGCGACAAGGTCACCATGAGGACAAATTTCCGAGAACGCCTGGGCTCCGAATCGTTTTTATGGCTTCTTGAGACAGAGGTCACTTCGCGTCTGACTTCACCTGGATTTGATTCCTCGATCTGATCTCACCTTGACTTCGATGAGGACTGCTGGTGCACAATCTCGTGGACAAGCAGATTCGTTTAAGAGTTTCTGCGAAAAAGATAGCACCTGTTTTACAGAGGCTGATCCTCAGTATGGTAGGGAGAGATCTTTCGAGGGTACACTCGGGGAAGTATGCATCTCTCAAGTGTTGGGGAAATATAGCGACTGCGAGTAACGCCACGTGGCGGCAAGGTGGAGACCGACTCCGATCACCGTGAAACTGTCAATCTTCCCCGGGGTTCCCATTGAAACTATGAGTCGCTCATTGACGCGACTCAGTCGATCAGCGAATACTCGAAAACCGCTCATCAATCACTGCAGAACACTTACATATATGGGGACACTCACCCGTCTGGCTGTGTATCGCGGAAGCCTCGAGGCAAATGACTTTCGTGACGGTCGTCGGCCGGCAGGATGCAACTCAACATCCGTGTCTCGACGTGCAAGGCTGAGATCGTGGCGACGTGCACCACAAGTTTCGAGAGCGTTCTCAGCGTCCACCGGCACGGTATCAATACCAGAACACGGATAGCGAACGATTTCCTATCGGATATCTACGGATGATTTCTCTTGCCGTCCAGCGAAATCGTTAACATCGTTTTCAAGATGAACACGAAAAGAGTCGAGTGAAATCTGCCAGAGGAGAACAAAGGAGAATATGGTTTTCAGCTGTCTGCCACTGGAGGAAAATCAAGGCGGATTGCCCGAGGCTCAGAACCCCTCGGCTCAATTTATTGTCTCAGCGTTTCCTGAGAGTTCCCCATATCCCAGCGGTGCCCAAAGACTGATGCAACGTATCGCGCTCCTCCCGTCGAGCCATCGAGAGCCGCCCGCATTATGCCTTTCTACGTCGGTATTCGGCGCTCCTCGCCCTCAGCCGAGCTAGAGAATAAGGCGTCGACCTGGAAGAGTCTCGGAGAGCGCCCGTACATTACGGGCTCCCCCTGTCTGTGCGCGGTCCGGATCTCCGATGCCGAATGCGCAAGTTCCAATGAGCCTTCTCTGGAGATGAACGTCTCTGCTCTGGATAAGGACTGGGCCATACCGCTCAACGATACGTCCGGTGCCGCTGCTCGTCGCGGTTCACCTTTTAGGCTTATCCATTGTCGTGAGTCGATCGCCCGGACATCCGTCAATAACTCTTCTCATTTAAGAAGGAAATCGAATTAGCGAAAACTCAAAAAGCGCGGTACCTCAGAAGTTTCGGTGATGATCCCAGAAATTCGTGGTATAATTGCTTGAGGGCTCGCTGCGTCCTGCGATCGGTGAGCGGAAAAATACACACTCATATACTGCACTGCATACGCAGACCCGGACCTTTGACTTTCCTAAGGCGTAGGAGAGGGTGCAGGAACGCTGCTTTCAGAGCCTGCAACGCTCCCAGCTCCGCTACAAACCTCTACTCCGAGCTGCCGAAACGGCTATTCACGCGATAGGAACCGTATCCCGATCTGAACCAGGATGTTGCCCACGCGGGCGTGCGAAGGGAGCTGAGTACCGATCGAGAGGTCCTCAGGGGGGATAGGTGAAGGCATCAGACTAGTACCGGTTCAAGGATTCAATCACCTGAGATTTCGGACCATTCAGGGGGTTGCACCGTCAATGACACTCCTCCGTCCGACGGTTTACCGTTACGCAGCGCTGCTTCACCGGGCTTGGACGCTCTAGGGAGGAAAGCGTGAGGAGAGGAAGGAGGACACCCAGAAGGAATATGGCTCGGTTCAGGCTGGCTATAACTTAATTAATTTATTTATTTCCGTTATCGATTTCCTGTATATGGCACATAAATAAGCTGCAATTTATTTACAATCTATGATACAACCTCGCGCACGAACAAAGGAGAATCAAGCGATGTCGCGTGTCCGTCTCTACGGAAGGCTGCCAGCTTTCACTGAGTGAGTGAGAGGTAAGCAAGAAGAGAGCCCTCTCGGACGAATTGCAATAACACGAGAAGGAGCTCTCCTTCGAATAATCGGTGCAGCTGGACAAGAGACTGTAGTCGACCGAATCTCTCGAAACCGGGTAGAAAGTCTAGAGGACTTGAAGGGATATGAATAGCATCGTGATTTCTACGGAGTAGTTGACGCATCCGGAACTGATTGGAGGTTTGATATGAATAGAATATTGTCACGTTGTACTCGCGCAAATGGTCGAATTCGCTCTTGCTCGATGCACATGTCTATTCTGGGCAATCAGGTACGAGAGGAAGGCAGAGCAAGTGGGTAGGGAGGAAAAGAGGGGAGAAGCCACACTTGACCAAACGTATGAACGATATCGTAATAATCTGCGACGCACCAGCCGTTTACATGTTTCCGGAATTTATATTACCTCTCTGTTCTTCCTTATTTTTTCCTACAGCTAGAAGACGCCCAACAGCGGTTTGTTTGACGAACACGATCCCAGCCTATACTCCTCTCCGTCCATCGAGAATTGAGATCGAGTTTTGCGAGGAAGGCCAACCAAGCCATCCTTCCGCTTCCAAGTACCGGAAACGAGCTTGGAGATACACGTTGTCTCTTGGACACGCGTTTACTCGAGGAATGGAATATTTCCTCCTCCCCAGATTCCGAGACTCTGATTTTGGATCGAGCATCGGATCGAGGGAGCGCTCATTTGGGGATGCCGACGGCCGATTCGTTCCCGTGAATCACACCGCACCCTTCCGAATGATATTGATTCTCACTCACATCAGAACGAGCGTCTTGATTGGGTCATCCAATGCCGGAAGCGATCGCCAATATTTTTCGCCGATGTGCTTAACTGGTGACTGATATCATCAATCCATCTTATGTACACAATCGTGTGCAGGGCATCCATTAGCCTCCCAACACACTGAGGTATCTCCCAACGGTAATGAAGTATTCCTCAATCGAGGAGTGGTAACAATGACTAACTAGAGCTACGTATCTTCTCTTGCGAAACGTTCTCTGTAGATAGATAGGCAGACTGATGGATCGATCAGTCGGTCGATCGATCAATAAATTCATTGAACATAGCTTCCTTGGCCTCTTGGCCGCAACACTCTAGGCCTTTCTCTCCCATGAAAGACACCGGAGTTCTCGATCGGATAACATTGCATAACAAAGTTATTTGTTGCTTTCGTTCAGGAACAAGAACTAAACAATTACTGGGGTAGTCGCCGAAGGCGAGTGAGTAAGATGCTGACTAGATTGGTTTGACGGTGGGGGAGGGGGCGGCGGAGGCGGGGGAGGAGGAGGGGGCGCCCTTTTGGGTGGACCTTTGCTTTCACTATCGATGTCTGACTTGTGATGAATCGGCGACTGTTGAGTCTGTTGCTCGCCGTTGATTCGCGGTCGTTCGGTGTCACTCGCGAGTGCCAAGAGGTTGATGTTCCGTTTCGGTGTTGAGGTTTTCGGGCCGTCTTCTGCTTCGCCCCCAATCGGACTCTTTCCTGAAAGCTTGTTCTCGAACGGATTACCGTAGCTGAACGGCTTCAGATTCTTCTGATCGTCCGAGGGCTCGAGTGTTGAAGTCCTCTTTGGGGTGGCAGGACGACTTTTGAGTCCGCCTTCGGGCCCGCTCTCGTAACAGAACGGACCTGGGATGCAGGGTGGAGGAACTGGGACAACAGTGTTCGGGGAAGGCGACCGCGGACCTGGGGTACGCCGGATCGTGGCAGTGTTTGTCACGCTTCCGCCAAGGACTAGATCCGGAGAATCCATATAGGAATTGACGTCGAGATGTAATCTGCTCGGCGTCAAGGTCGAGTTCCTCAATTGACCGTTTATGCTTCTCTGCGAGAGAGTTCTTTGACATCTCCGGGAGATCTCAATGAGCTCGGGATCCTCCGCGTCCAGTCCTCCGAGGCTATCTCGTTGTAATCTCTTCATTATCACTTGAGTTTTGAGATGGGGAGGCTTGCGGGGCAGTGCGGGCTTAGGCGAAGGCGCTTCAGAGCCTCGTGAAGCCGATGCCGAGGGCACGGATGGCGCATGAACCTCGACGCTGGCCAGACTGCTCGAACTTCGGCGTGAGTGGCCGGGCGGATCGGGCTGAAAAGTACTCACACGATGTCCGGCAGCTATGGCTGCCGTTGAAGCCGCGTGATGTGCCGGCGTTGCATGGTGAGATGTAGAGCTTGATCCGCCCGAAGAGATACCCTCATCGTCGTCAGCTAAATCTTCTTTCATGAAATAAGCTCGACCCGAAGCCATGTTGATGACGGTCCGGGTACTATCGTCTACGAGAAGGCGAGTACTGACACCGTGCACCTCACCAGCAGCCGAAACACTGTCTTCTTCGTCCTCGTCGTCTTCCGCTGAACAATTCCCTCCGTACACCGACTGAGTGACGCCGCTCGAGAAGCGATCGTTGGGTGGCCCGCTCGATGATGAGTATTCGGCGAGAACAGGACTCTTGGATTTTCTAGTTGCCAGCAAACACGCCACCCAAAGGAGCGAAGTGATTACTCCGCACAAAACCATTGCTGCGAAGAGGAAAGTCTCGTTAATCCGAATGCTCGTGGATCATGTTCGGGAGACGGAACCTCACTCCCAGACCTCGTATGTACGCGCCCCAAGGCTTTCTCTCCACCGTTAGCGTTTCGAATGTCCGAGAGGATCGATAGTCTCTCGGCTCTGGACTCACCGAGAATAACAATCTCCACCGTGTTGAGTTTCCCCAGAGGCCACAAGGAACTTGTCGGTGCTTCCGACGGTATCACCTTGAGTAGGAGAACTTCGCGTTGCGTTCCAGTGTCGTTGGTCATTTCGCACGCGTAGATTCCCGAATCCTTCGGATTAGCGAGCCTGATAAGCAGGACCGCCTGCTCCTTAGCGAAAATATGTCTGTCAGTTTCTTCTAGGGGAAGTCTGTCTTTGTACCAACGACGACGCGTAGTACTGATTCCATCAGAAAGACACTCCAGGACAGCCATTTCCCCTTCGCGAACATCCTTCGGCGGCAAAGGACGATGCACTTGAGGAGCTTCTGAAAATTGAACGAAAACCATCGATCAGCGATCCGGGCAGCGAAAATTGCGTCGGGAGATAGCCTTCAGACCACATGCCCGCGAATCGAGTCGAAGGCACGAGTTGAACCCAAGAAACAGACCCACCTTGAACTGATAATGTGACGTTGGTCCGCACGGGTCCAGCAGAGTTATTCGCAGTGCAGGTGTAGACCCCTTCATCGACTGGTTTCAGCTTTTCGATGTAGAAGACAACGTCACTTTTCATCAGTTGCATACGTCGCTCACGAGCTGCAGGAAAATCATCTCCTCCATCCTTCTTCCATGAGATGACCGGTTTCGGCTGCCCAGTCGCCGTACACTCCAACACCACGCTTTCACCCGCCACGCCGCTTATCCGGGGTGGAGGCGTTTTGATGAACTCAGGCGCGACGTGCACAAGGACCCGACTTTTGTTCGAGTACGAGGATCCGAATCGGTTCCTGGCGATGCATTGATATCTGCCCTCATCCTCATCTTGCACGTTCCTCAGGTGGAGTTTCGAGGTGAATACGGTCCGGTTGCGATCATCGGTCGTGGCGAAGTTCTCGACTAGAAGTTTGTCTCTAACTATGTGGAGATTTCTTCTCCAATCGAAGTTGATCACCGAAGCGTCGACCGTCGTGTTCATAGTAGCTTTGCACAACAGACTAACGTTGTGTCCTTTCAGAGCCTGCAGGCCTGTCGGAGATTCGAGAATGACTGGAGTCGACAGCACTCCGCAGGTCCACTGGTCACGTTCAACCGAGAATATGGATTTTCCTCTGAGTTCGACCGGGAAGCCACATGTGGCGTGAACTTGCTTGTCGAGCCTGTTGGACTTCAGCCATCCGGGTAGCCAGCTGAGACTACAGTCGCAGAGTAGCTCAGTCGTGTTCAGTTGCAGGCTGGAGATCTTTTTGAGCAAACTAAAAGCGTCCTTGCTTATAGTCGATAATGGATTGAGATCAAGATCAAGCGTTTGGACCTTAGACAAGCCCGCGAACGCCTTGGCTGGTAATGCCTGGAGAGAATTGTTGGCCAAGCCGAGGCGCGTGAGCCTGTTCAGGCCCTGAAAAGGCGATTTCGTGTCTTCGATGGCCCACGTAAGATCATTGTGACTAAGATCGAGCGTCTGCAATGTCTGCAGACCCTTGAAGGAGAACTCCTCGATGAAGCTGATGTTGTTGTGACTCAGATTGATGACTTGGATAGTGTTCAGATTGGCGAACGACTGTTGTAGAATCGCCTCGATATTGTTGTATTCCAAGTTCAGCTCCTGTAGGGATTCGCAATAGTCGAACGACGACGGACTGATTTGAACGACCGAATTGTTTTGCACAAAAAGCTGACGTAGCGCCTTGAGTCCGTACAGCCAACTCCGATCGAATACCGTGATCTGATTGAATGATAAATGGAGTTGCTGTATGTTGTCGAGACCGTAGAAAGCTCCGTCCGACAAGACGGAAATTCTATTCTTCCGAAGATTGAGGATTTCTAATTTTTTGAAGTTCTGGAAGGTCAGTCCCTCGATAACGGTCAGTTGATTCCGGCTCAAATCTCTGAAATTCCGGAGGAATAACGCTCAGTACGATCAGGCCAACGAAGTGATACTCTCCGGTGGGAGAGCAACGTCGGACACTATGATATACATACTATGGGCACCTCATATCACGAATATATTCACTGCAGCAAAGAAGAATCGGAATTCCATGCTTACAATCGTCGAAGCTGCAGGTTTTCTTTCCTGAACAATTCTCTCGGCAACTTTCCCAACCTATTCCTGCTGAGATTCAGACTTCTCAGCGAGGTAAGATTGTCCAGGCTGCCTCGATCTAGTACGCTTATGCGGTTCCGTTGCAAATTAAGGGTTTGCAACCGGCTCAAATGTCCAAACCAAGCAGAATCGAATGCCTCAATGCGATTCACGCTCAAATCCAGCAGAATCAGCGAGTGGGGGAGCGGGTGTTCCGACGGTTCTGATACATTAAGGGTCGACGGAAGTGAGATATCATTATTGTTCAAGATCAGCTCTTCTAATTCGTTGAGGCGATGGAGACCCTCTGGTAGCGACGTCAATGAGTTGTTGGACAAGCGGCTGCAACGAAAAAAAGCGAGCTCAGAGAGGTGAAAGAATCACTATCGTACGGAGTTCTGAAGTTGGCCATCAATCACATACTCATCAAACAAGACTGATCGGCATGGAGGACCGTATCGATACAATAACTTCCAGATACAACCCTTCCGTCTCGGAGGCAACACCTCCAGGAAAGAAGAGCTCACATTCCGACGAGTCGCCTAGGCTACAGGGAGGTATTTGTTCAACGACGATGCGTGGAAACTTGACTCACATGAATTTCAGATGCGGAGTGTGTAACCACAATTCAGGCTCAATTTCTAGGATTTCGTTATTGGTTGCATTCCTGGGAAGGGGAAGGGAATATTCCTTAGTTGTTAGGGCCCTTTAGCACAGAGTGTCGGCCGTATTTCTATGTATTTCTGATCTCGCAATGACTCCATTCGGAGCGCGCGAGATCGATCTGCGTTGCTGGCAGGTGGATATTTTTCGAGTCCGAATCGCGATCCCCCCCGTTCCCTCATGTTTCCGAGCTCTACCAACGAGAGAAGCAAAGAACGCCGATGGTACCCGGCCGTTCCAAAGGAAAGAACATGGAACCGAAACAGTCGGTTTAGGATGACAGCAACGGAAAAGGTTATTGTATTCCGACCAACTTAGGATCCGTTATCGAGAAGGAAACCCGGACTCGGATTTCACTGATGTGTCTCTACAAGAAGTCGAGTGCCTTCGCGCGCCGCCGTCGTCATCCGAGAAAGGAGGTGGGTAGATGGATCCGCACGCATCGAAAAACAAAACAGCTTTGCCTAGTCGTCTTGGAGGGAGTGTCCTTGCAGAATCTCGGGATGATCTCGGCTCGCTTCCGAAATCCCTCGAAGAATAAATATCTCTCGCGCAGCGTAGATACCACCTTATCCAAAATCACGGGCGCATCCTCCGTTCCACGACAGAGGGTCATTCCCGGAGGAGAATGTACATTTCTCCTGCGGAATGCGATCGGGTCGGATTCCATGGAAGAGATCATGAGTGTTCACCCCTCGAGACTCCATTCGGGGATATCAGGAATCATCACCAGGAACAGTCGTGGGATGAAAAACGAATACCGCAATGATCATCTTTTTTCGAGGGCTTTCAGATCTGGCATCACTAGCCGAGTATTTCAGAGCACTCATGACGCTGGAGATTGCTGCGATCGGAAGGGTCGCTTACGTCAGAGTACTGCTTTTGGTTCCATTGGTCAAGCTCACATCTGATGTTCGCGATAGCGAGAGACAAGGGGCAGCGGCTCTATTTTTCATTCGATCGTTGGCGCGATCTATCGAGACTGTTCCGAGTTGGGAGTTCTCGGGGGAAAATGCAGCCTGCTCGATAGAATCATTTCGCTGGGGCTCCCCTCTTCTTGAGGAGCAATCCACGCGATAAGCGCGAACAAATGAATGACGCCATCTGATGGTCGACATTCCCGGGGAAAGTCTTCAAAATATCGGTGATGGTGTTTATTGATCGCGACACTCGCTATGGTCAAGGGTTGACATGTGAGCCTGTCGGTGAGGCGATTTCTTAGCAGATCCTCCAAGTTACTTTTTTCCATGCTTCTAGCAGTCTCGGCCTCACTCGTTGATGTTGAGGAAGCGACGATGCCTTCCGTCACGACTCATGACATGAATTTTTTCATTAGTTCGCCACACTTTCATTCCCAAGAAGCTGCTCGGATGGGGGAAGGCTCCGAAAAAGGGAAGGAGGCGGGCCGGAGCAAATCTCCGACCAGCCGACTTCAGCGGAGTCGCAGGATACCGAGAGGGTCGCCAGCTCTATTTACGGCTTATCTGACAAGCTTCTCTTTCATAATACATACACTCTCGCAGTGATATCTCGGTCAGTCAGCCGGCTGTGACAGAAAGCGGTTTGCACGAAGAAGCTCAGTCGTCGGGGAAAATCCGCTGAATCTGCCTTCCGATGACGCCGCGCCGTCGAACCGCAGACTGGGTGCCGCCGCAGGCACTGCGACACTGCGATATCGAGTACTCCGTTGCGTTCGCTGCGAGAGTAACTTGCAGACGGACCAGAGATCATCATTAGTCTAATCTCTCTGTCCGGACTGGACCTCTCCATCTTGCGCTCCGGAACTCTCTCCGCGATCGGTCGATGAAACCTTACGGCTGCCGATGAGAACGGGGGCTTCAAACCAAAGACATCAGAGCCCTCTTGAAGAGCCGACCAATCCAGTCAGCAGAATTCAGGAACACCTCGCTCGTTGACAGACGTTCCAACGGAGCAAAGCGGCCACGAATCCGAGAATGTCTCGATGAAGAATGTAGATTCCGATGAACAGACGGACAGACAAATAAACAGACGAAGCAGGCATAGCCTATTCACAATATTTCATGTCGAAGACTCTCCTCGAGTACCGAGTTGACTCTCGTATCTGGGGGAATCGTCCTCGTCGCGCCACAAAGATGTCTCACTGTTGGAAAATTTCAATGTTGTCGCTCCCGCTGCTCTTCTCGTTTATTTTGTTGTTGTCGCCGCTACCGCCACCATCAATAGAGTCACTAGAGCTGGGATGAACTTCTTGGTCTAACGACATTTCGTCGGAGTTCCCTTTGATCCTCATGTTGCTACCAGATGTTGAGAGATGTCGAAAGAGGCGTCGCTCCGAGAGACACTTTCGTCTGGCTGAACACATCTTGGGAATATGGATTTTCCGAGTCGAGCTCCTTCTTAGTGATCTTCCTGAGCTCGGAAGATGTTCAACTTTTGAACACTCATCTGAATTCGACCGCGCTCCGGCGGTTCGGGCTAATGGGTATTCCGGCTGTGCCATACCGGAGTTCTCGGATTCGCAAACTCTTCAGGATTCTTCTACAGAGTGCTTGAATTCGCAAACTCTTCAGGATTCTTCTACAGAGTGCTTGAATTCACAAACTCTTTGCGACTCTTCTTTGTACCGCGTTAGGATTTGGAGGCGGGATAGCCCGGTTCCGAATGATTTCCGTGAGCACGATTAGGAGCGTCGAGACACAGAAATCACTCGGTTATATATATCCTAAGGATCATTTCGCTCAATACGTCTTTCGATGCGCTCTTCCCATTTATCTGACTGAATAGTACCTCACAGCCACCGTCGGGGCCCCTCCGTTGGGGTGCTGACATCACAAATTGACGTCCAAGGTGCTGCCGTCACCGAGCTGATGCTATAGACTCTCGAGGCACTGAAGAAAGGATGATCATCGTACAGCGCTATTTCGAGCGCTGTTTTTTCCCTCTCAGCTTTTATACAAGAGCAGCGAGCAGTCGCACCAGTAGCGGTTTCTGGGCATGCTCCCGAGATCGAACATTTTTCGCGTACATGTACCTTCAGACAGCGGCATTTAATATCCTTAAGTTTCTTGGAATATTATTGAGCCTATGATTGAGAAATTTTTCCACATCGGGTTCGAGGAATCAAGTCGAGCATTGATGCGTGTGATGCCAGTCAATGCTCCTCGATCAGGCACGCCAGCCGAGATCCCGGTAGCCGTTTCAATAGAGAGACTCGACTGGATGTGGAAAGCCGTCGTCGAATACGTTCGGGAGAATGGAATCTGTAACCCGAGAATCGGAAGTCGGATAGAGGATCAGAACTCATACTCACAGTGATTGGAGCGATCTCGTTGTGAGGAAAGCGTCGGCCTGTAGCCTCTTGATTTTGTTCCGGAGGAGTTCTCTGCAAGTCGGAAAGAAAACTTTCAGTACAGCGAACCAACCAACCAAGCCTGAAACATGAAACTCGTCAGAGTTCCGAATAGCATGCCATGGAGATGGATGGAAGTTTTCTCTATCTATTCCGCTAATCCCACACTCTCTCTGGCCAGGCAGCCCGAGTCCCCATCGCTGGGCTAGAGTTTATAGTGAGGTGAATGAACGAAATTCGACGGCAGCCACGCAAATCGAATTGGACATGATGGAGCGCTCGCGATCTTTCTCGGTCGCTTCCTTACAAACTGTCTGCAGGCCTTCATAATCCACTCTTTTCGCTTCCATCAATTTCCATTACTCTTTGATTTTCTGCCTCGCGCCTCTCCGCCGTGCGATGGAAGCCGAAAGAGGCGAATCAGGTGCCTTGCCCCTCGAGCATGATACGGTCGAAGTGGAAATAGAGCATGTCCGAAAATACTTGCGGGGCTCTCGCTCGAGAAAAATCAAAAATTCAAATAGGTGTGGGGCACGACGACGGTAGCGCGCCAGAGCAAGAAGCGTTTCTCAGTTCGGATTCTTGGTGGATCGGCCCGCCAAACGGTCTACCGAGCGGTCGCTTGCTCGTCCGCTTCACCAATCAGGGAAACAAGCAGGCGGGCGTCGAAGCAAGCAACAACACCCCAGCAGGACTTCCCACAGGTGCGAGGAGAGAATTAGAAACTCTTGAAGAGAAGAGAGGAACGGCTCCGTCGCTTGCTCCGCTCGACGCGCTAAGAGAACACAAAATCGTACACGCATGCATATACGGAGCACCACTTGAGGCGATGAATAGATGGTGCCAGGAGGAGGTGGTGATCATAATTTGGGGCGACCCCTAACACCGAATCATTGGCAGCCTGAACTTCACAGCTCAGATCAATGGAAAATCGAAGACTCGCTCGACTAGAGTCGACCGAGTTTGCCAGGCGACATGAAGTGAAGCCACATTCGCTAGCGGGAAAATAGTCGTGAGGCTCCTGGGCATCCGAGAGGGCGTCGATCGCTGAAACTGCAATGTGTTTCCAGAAAGCACAGATAGATACATAGGACCGCCCAGAATAATTCGCAGTTTTGCGCACCCTCGACAGAGTGAATGGCGATAATCATCCTCAGAGTCACCCAACAGTGAGGGAGCTAATCGTTGAACAGATTTCGGTCAATCGGTATCGGATATGCCCGAATGACCCTCAGAGGGAATGAGAATATTTCCTCAACTTCGATCAAGCCGATGTGTACAATGTGAAGTCCCTCAGGAGCTCAGCCGATGAAAGGACCGAGTCGATAGTCATGAACTCGTCTTTATTCGCGGGAGTGCCAGACCCACGTTCTGGAGCGTCCCCAGCAGGCTTCGGGGCGTAAGTTCCGCTGTTCCTATGGAATCGGAGCAGTCCGAGGCCCGAGCGAAGCCTCAAAGGCTAGCCTTCAGCCATTTTCTCGCCCACCATCCGTGCGGAACTTGAAATTCTCAAGCTAACTCCTACTATGTGTGGGAAGCTACGAAGACTCTCTAGAGGAGTCAAAGAGTATTGACAGGAATCTCACTCAAATCATTCCTCCAACGCTCCCTCGCAGTAGAGCGTCAAAACAATGTTTTTCTCGACGCCTGTCCCAGACGGACCGGTTGGAGCGTCGGCGTCGCTCGAAGCGCTGCTTCACAGTGATCCGTTAGACGGTAATTATTGGATGCAGGCACGGAATTTTCCTTTAGATCGACGTTGGCGGTGAAAGGCGACTCTTGCGGCGGTGCGAGCCGCGTCATCGAAGAGCGCTCCTTTCGCACTCCGGAAAAGCTAGCGTGACATCGAATGGAAGAGGAAGAAGCCAGCTTCAGCAGTAGGTACCTACGCCTGCTTCGCTATCATATTTTATCATCGGGAAACGAGTGAATGATAGAAAATCAAGCCGGCATAATGAAAGGCCGCACAGAGCAACGAATCCGTAACATCTAGGAAGCTAGAGAGAGCAGCCCTAGAACAAAAAGATATTCTGATTGAGCAGCGAGAAAGGACAAACTGTCTACCAGGATCCCTTTATCTCTCGAAAGTCCTCAACGGCGGCGGTATCCCAATCGGCGATTCCTCGAAAGTCAACACCAGATGATGCCGCCGCGGCCTGCGGAAGCGGGCCCTCAAAATCCCCAGCTATCCCTCATGATATCTTGTGAGCCATCAGCCTGTAAGTCGATTTCACGGATCGCATAGGTGAGTTTCCCTCGTTCGGGGAAAGGGGAACAGAATCATGCCCGTCTAATCAATAAAAATCCATGGCTGTAGAGTATGCTGAGAAAAATGGAATTCTTAAGAACGAGCGCGTGAACGGCGATTGCTGCAAGCAAACAGTCTGTCAGCCGGGCGGCGAACCGGCCGTCCAGGCTCGCTAGCAAACCACCGGCACCTGCACGCCCTTGCATCAATGTACTCAGGTGGCCTTCTCGGTAGTTGAGCCTGGCAGACTCTGAAGAATGGACAGACCGAGTGTCGAACCGAACGAGCAAGCGACTTGTTCGCTGGCCAACGCTAGCGAGTGAGCGGTCGACCGATAGAGTCGGCGCTGCCATTTATTCGGCTTACACTCAAGCGAGCTCTCAAACTGCTCGTATAGATACCTGGCCAGGTACCTCTGGGTACCTGGCCTGCATCGCTCGTTCGTTGAGAAACACAATAGAGTTCCATCGACACCCCCAGAGGAGGAAGAAGAAGAAGCAGCAGCTCACGCTCCTGCTAGCTGGCGATGAGCAGCCGAAAGCGGGTGAAACAACAAGAAAACGAATTCGCAGGCCGATTCAGCGACGCCGCGCCGGTCCAACAGAACGACGAGCCACGAAAGAACGACGGACGGACGGTACAGACAGGCGAATAGCTAACAGAGGGGCGAACAACGGGCCAACGCAGAATTCGGAGCGGTAATACGACGGGTGGGGGTTCCCTCTCGCCGCCGCTGCTGCTGCTCTCAACCGGCAGTAACAACACCATCGCTGACGCGGGATCGAGCGGACCCCAAAATAAAAGAACCAAGGACTGAAGACGCGTTTTAAGCTCAGAAATGCACTGTCCTGCGTCTGGGAAATCGTCAGAGCCCTGCCACATCGACATCCATATCGACAAATACCTGTCGGAGTTGCCGAAAATTCGCAGAGAGCCAGAGCTCCCATGGCATGAGACCGGCGAGCTCTAAGGAATAGCACTTGATAGAAAACCTCATGGACCTCTAGTATGGAGCTAAGGACGATTCACGTCTCTGGAACATGGGGTTTTCTCTCTGTCGGTACGGGAGAAATCTGAGCGAGCTTCTCGCGCGTCTTCGATTTTTTTCGGTCGAGTCGGCGGTAGACAGCGGGGCCCGAAGAACAATGGGAGGCTTTCTCTTCGGATTTCTGTCGGAAGAACATGCCCACCTCCGACATCACTCTTAGATCTGAACCCCACTCAGCCATTCGACGTACCTATGTCGAGTGGATCTAGCCAATGGGCTCGCCGGAGCTCGTTTGACGTATGATGTGTGATAAAAGGAGAGAATTCCGAATCAAGCGAGGAAATCAAGTGCACTCGAAAAGCGATCGTCGTTCCGCTGTCGTGGAGGAGTTGCCAGGCAGTCGTTCGACATCGATCGAATTATCGAGTGAATTCAGATGTCAAGGATCGAGCTCGCAGCCGAATTCAACTCGACACGTGAAACTGTTCGCGATAAGCTACCGAAGCCATCCGGAGCAGAGAGAATTCTACGTCGGCAGAATCGTTACGTCGACGCGGGACATCTATTGTACAGACCGTCCCGCAGTGGTCAAGTGTATCTAGACAGAATCCATCTATCGAGTGAGCCAGCGGACGAGCGCGTAAGCGGGCGGCTGACAGAACGACGATGTCAAATCTCAGAAAGGTGACATCGAACGGACTGTAAACACAGCTAACTCACTGATAGTGGCTCCTCATAAGACAGTTTTACGAGCGATTATTTATCCATACTGGCTATCCTACACGAGCTCTAGAAGTCGCTACAGGGCGAATTTCCACTGGAGCCAGGCTAAAATTTACGGTTGTCGATGAACGTCCCAGTCGAACATAACAATACTTACAGTTGTTTCGTCCAGGTGGGTAGGTCTTGGGGTACGGTGGTGAGCCCTCTGCGTCCGCAGTCAACAAACTCTTCCAAGCAGGTGCAGAGGGCGGGACAGTACAAGTACTGCCCGTTAATTTCGTGAACAGAGACGCCTGACAACGATAGGAACAGCACAAACTGGGTCCACCGTACAACCCAGGCTACCGAAGAAGCCATGATTGCTCAGCGAGTGGCCGACCAACCAAGCATCCGATGATGACAATAACTACTTCATGTTTGTCGAGCGTCGTGCCCCGGGAGCAGGGCAGAATCCTTTACGTATCCACAAATGACAATCCTCGGCTGGTGCTACGAACGACGATGGCGTTGGCGGCGACGACGACTCGAGGTTGGGTAGCAGCGACAGCAACAACAGCAGTCTCGCTGATACAGAACATAACCGACAGAAACCACTGGCGATCTTCACCGATGTAAACCGCAACACTGTATCATCATGAGCATCATCATGTCCGTAATCATGCTAATCGTGGTGCCATGGTATCATCAACCGAGGCACATGCTCTGCACACACAGCACTCTCTCTTCTCTCTGCAGCTCACGCACTAGTGTGTGTGATGGTGGCGATGGTCGGTGGTGGTGGTGGTGGTTCCCCTTTCTTTCCAGAAGCTGCTGCGGCGGCCGCGCTGCCCTCTCTCTTCGCTGTCGGTGCTGCAGCTTTGTGAGCTTTTAGTTCGTCTCTTCACCGTTGGCGGCGCTGACCTTCGTTGCATAAATGAAAAATGTCACTGCCATGATTTACCGGGAATTCGGTATTGCTGTGGGCACATATTCGGTGCCCAGAGATTGAATACGATTGATTGTTTGTCCCTTCCCTCTCGGGTGGAAGTACATTCCGAAGGAAGCTCCCGACGGAGCAAGTTCCCAAGTCCCGTCCCCACACCCCGGGCGCGCGTTGCTGTCGATCCTTCTTCCTGGGGAGATGTATCCAACTTCATAAAGCGCTACGACTGCCCCTCGACCACGGGGAAGTCGAATGTTCGGGTCGACCGGTGATGGCGGTTCAATTCTTGTCTCGGAACACAGGGGATGTTCGACGCAGCTCCACATCGGAGAGGGTCATCCTTGGGAGGACAGAGGTCGCCTCGGGCTGGTATCTGGTATCGATCATTACCATTGTCTCTGATCGTGAAATCATCATCACGCCTTGCGAAAAACCGCAGAACCCCAGGTCTCGACTGCGCTTCCCGATAAAGGCCCCATCGGACGCCGTTCTCCACAAAGACTGCCCATGACTGGCCTAACTCTGTGGATAGTGTGAGCATGAGAGGAATAGCTTGACTTTTACACGCGGCAGTCTTGTGGGCTAGAATCTGGCTCAGAAGGCAGGACGGGGGAAGGACCTACGACCCAGAGGTGCATCGTTGCACATACGTTCTGCAGCGTTGTGCTGCAAATCGCTGCCCCGACTTCTCATCAGAGCTTGCCGCGCAACGCAAGGAGGAGCATCGTCTACGAGAGCCGCATCGCGGAAGGGTAGAAGGGGAAAAACCACGCAGCGACGGCAGGGAAGGACCGATTGAAGTTCGTGGAATAAGGTCGACCCGAAACAATTCCAGCAAATTGTCGAGGATCTGAGTCACAGCTGAGTACACACAAAAAGGAGTCAAGATACCGCGCCATTACCGGGACGCCCTCTCACATTGAGAGAACTGGCTAACAGTTGGCGCCTCTTCCCGAGGCTTGAAAATCATACATTCGTTATACTATGGATTGCAGGGACAAGCCCCACCCTTTACGCCAGCGATGTGGTCAGCCTATATGAGTACGGAGCCCAAGCAAGCTACTTTGTGCTCCTGATGTCGCATAATGGGTATCCGAAGGAATCGATTCGACAAATCATCCCCTTGACCAGCCCCGGGTCGATCGTTCCGAACGCAGAGCGATCTCCGTCGAAGAGTAGGGAAGCTTTTCAATGCGAATCCCGTGGACCAAACCCCAAAAGATGGCCCCAAAACCAACTGAGGCTCAACTATTACCCTGCTCGAAACTCGGGAGCTTTCTTTGGTCTCGCTCAGAATGTGCATGTGCTTCACGGGATTCACTCATTCATTGTCCCTAAACGTGGATAACCGAATTCGCGACAGATGAATGACCTCGGGAGGCCGAATGCTCACGATTCCGCATGGCTTCCGAGTACAGATCGGTACGCGGGAGACTGGGCTCCTCCATGTACGCGAGTACAGCTCTCTATAGAGCCAAATCTCCCGCTAGAGCGGTGTTTCCCAAGGAGAGCCATGTTGCCCCCTGGGAGCCATGACGAATGACGTACTCGGACCTCCATAGAATATAGTAGGATCCAATAAGAGGGGGCCTCGCGGGTCTACGGATACGATGCTGAAGGCCCATCGGGGATCCTTGGGCCAAAAGAAATCGGGAACCTTGTGAGTTCTGCGTCTGAAAGGACTTGGAAACGATGGAATGAAACGAATCGAACGATACAAGATTGTATCGTCCGCGCTGTGGCTCCGGAAATTCGAGTTGCGCGCTCATCTCCGTTGTCTGCTCCACCAAACAAGTTCGTGAGCCGCCATCTTGAATCCTACATTATGGCCTAGGCAGAGAGCGGCTCCCACCGGAACGATTTCAGAAAACTCCCAGAAGCCGCGAGGGAATCAAGATGAATACACTCCAAAGGAACGTCGATGTTTCCGTCGCCGAAAAGTCAGCTTGCTCAGTTTTCGGTGAGTTCAGGGCTGACCTCTTGGCGCGCAGTATCAAGCGAGTAAATAGACAGTCTGTAGTCGACGATCCCTATCTGATCGAGTTCTATTCTATCGTTCGATTCGTATGATAGCATCAGATCATGAGCTGAAATTCCGATGAATGCCCTAAACCCAGTCCACTCCTCCGCAGTTGGCAACATCCCGTACGACGCCACCGAAGAGCAACTGAAGACAATTTTCGAAGAAGTTGGTCCCGTTGTGAACTTCAGGTCAGAGTGTGCAGACCGTCATACTCGAGCTTGTCGACTCGAATGCTAGAGAATACGATCGAGTGATGTCATCCCATTCGATCCGGTTTCTATGTCTAGATCTGTCCCATCCTGACGCTTCTATCGCTTTACACAGGCTCGTGTACGATCGAGAAACCGGGAAACCCAAAGGCTATGGTTTCTGCGAATTCAAAGATCAGGAAACAGCTATGTCCGCTATGAGGAATCTGAATTCATTCGAGATCGGTGGACGTGCACTGCGAGTGGATCACGCAGCTTCGGAGAGGAACAAAGAAGAGCTCAAAGCCTTGTACGCGCAGTACGGAGGGCCTCCCGCCGAACCGATGTATGGCGAAGAGACGGACCATAACAAGACGCCCGAAGCCATTTCCAAAGCTGTAGCATCCCTGCCCCCCGAGCAAATGTTCCAATTGATGAAGCAAATGAAGACCTGTATCCAGAACAATCCGAACGAGGCTAGAAACCTCTTGCTCCAGAACCCGCAGTTAGCTTACGCGCTGCTCCAGGCGCAAGTCATAATGAAGATTGTCGATCCACAAGTGGCTCTGAGCATCCTCCACCGACAGAACCCAGTTTTGGCTAACATGCACGAGGCTCCCGTCGCAGTTGTTCCTCCGCCCGCAGCTCCCCTGCAGCCACCACCATTGCAACCGCCCATGCTCGCTCAGAGCATGCAACCGGCAATGCCGGTAAGTTTTCTTCCCCCTCCTTCTCGATACCGAAAAGACTCAAGGAGCCTTAATCACAATGCTCTTTGAGGCGCTCACTCAACGACTTACGAATGCGTGACTTACAGCCCATGCCGATGGGCAACTTCGGAGGACCTCCCTCTTCAGTGTCGAACATGGGAGACGGTGGGTTTCGTGGTGGGCCGCAAAGATTCGATCCGCGAGACAGGGACATGCGGGGTGAAAGAGGGCCCGAACGTGACCGCGATCTGCGAGGCATGCCCATGGACCAAGATCACAGAGTCGCACCATCAGGGAATGCTGGTAAGCATCGAGATAGTATTTGGTCTACGTCTACGTTAGCTGATCTTCGCTCGCCTGGAACCTTCTAACTTTCGATCGAATCCAGGTTACAGAGGGAGCTATGATCCCAGAAATCGAGTTGACCCGCGAGGCGGTAACGTCTACGGAGAGGGCAACAGGGGAGGGTTTTCCGGAGGGCCACCGGCGGCATCCGGAAGACCCGTTCCCCCGCCGCCTATTCTCCCGAACATGCAGATCGGCGGAGGTGCTAATGAGCAAGATAGAGCAGCCCTCATCATGCAGGTTCGTGTCCCCGAACTCCCCGGAATTGAAGGAGAAAAGCCGCACCCGACTTGAGACATAGCCTGATATCTCCGTTTTTCTGCAGGTCCTGTCGCTAAGTGATCAGCAATTGGCCTCCCTACCGCAGGACCAGAGGGAGAGTATTTTGGTTCTGAAGCGTCAGATCCAACAACAGGGCCGATGAGATTCCTGGACATTTCGCGCCGGGCCCCACGGCGATCCACTATTATGTATAAAGTACTTTTGGAAGGCTATTGATTGAAATATCATGCGGTGAAATTAGGAAGCTTCCCTCATTTCCAATATATTATCGTAGGTCATTCTCCAATTCGGGTATCCGGACTCTCTGTATGTAGAATTCACGGCTTGGACGAGGTATCACAACGCTGGAGTATATCCACTATTTGATCGAGGCCTTCTTTGAGGCACCTCGCCAAGTCTTCTCCGTTGTTGTGCGGTTTGTAGGATGAAATCAGAGTGCCGAAATTCTTCTCCGGCATCCCGTACCCAAGCCCGAAACCGTCCTCGATGACGGGCGCGAATCCGCCGGCGATGAAGGCTTCGCCGTGGAGTGTAGAGGTCGAGAGCGTGAACCTATTGTTTTCTGGAACACGGGATCTTCGTAGAGGGGATGGAGAGGCTGACCGTTCTGTTGAGCGACATGCTTCAGAGCGAACAGGTGACGATCGAATCCTTGCCCCAGAGCCGCTTCTTTCGTGAGCTGGTTGTGAGTTTTCGATGCTTCATCGATCAATTTCCTCACTTCTTGAGGGCTTGATCTATCGGAACATATCGCTTCGATGGCCCTTTTCGTCTCCTCGGTAGCTGGACGCACGGTTTCTGTCCGCCCATGGCGGAAGGCCGAGGTTGAGCACGACTCGTACGTGACGGGGATGAAACCATGCTGCTTGTAGAAACCGAGTTGGAAACTCAGCTGGAAGATCGCATCGGGCGAGAGCCTCTGATTCTTGATGAATTCTTTCGTGACTCCTTCGTGCTCTACAGCTGTCAAGTGCAAGCTACTCCTTTTCGCTTCATAAGCCGCCGTGGCTCGGGCGACTGCTTCTTGGAGCGCGGCGTCAATCACGAAATCTGGGGAAGACAAGGGATGAGCGAAGGTCCGGAATATCGGAGTCGGCGCAACGACCTAGGTTCCCCAAATCACTCACCGAGCTTCTTGACAGTGACGAGGTCAGCTCTGATGCCGTTTCCGGGATGGCAGCGATGCTTTTTCGTGGAATCATCGAAGACTTCATTGAAATATCGTAAAACGGCAACTCCGTCACCCCAAGAATGCTCGAAATTAACACAAGCGTTGCCACACTTCGTCACAATCATCTGAGGAGGCGCAACTCGATGAATACGACGCGACGTAATCCCCCCTCGGCCCGCCTCGAAATCATGTGAATGGAATTGCTTGCCAGCTGCATACCGAGAAACTCTTGTCGAACCATCGATTGTGAGCAGGACCATGAAGGAAATGATGAGCCAGTTCAATTCGATTATCGCCGGCAAGATCGAACTTTTCTTCGTCGAGGACCAACAGCATCACAGCGCTATCGATGTCCCGGAAGTGCTCTTGGTTTCCGTTTTCAGCCGCGGCTTCTCTCACCCGAGCCCACTCGTCTCGTTCCATGGTAGTGAGAGCTCCCAAGGGTGTCTGGGCTCTCGGGTCTTTGCTGTCCATTATGCAGGCCAGGTTGGCGAATATTGCTTGCGGGGAGACGATTTCGCCTGCGGATGGAGGCATACATTGGTCGAATTAGCCAGAAGGAATTATTCGGGGGGACAATATCATTCAGTTGCTCAGTGAGTAATTACTTCGGGGTTAGACAGTTAGTCAGCTAGCCGGTCGGACAGTTAGTCTCATTTGCGTTCGGTTTCCTGAGGAGGGGGCGTAGAGCAGCGTCTCTTGGGGGATACAACTCGCCATTCTGATCGACGACTTCGAACTTGTAGAAGTTTCCCAAATGCAGAACCACCATGTGTCTGGCATTCGGTTCGTAATGGAGTGTGTCTTTGCCTTCTCGAGGGATTCTAGACGTGTTGAAGAGATTCTTGAACTGCGACATGTCCAAGGGATACGCTTTGAAAGCGAACGACCCGTACCAGGACACCGATTCGGGCAATAATCTGCAAGCGCCTTCGCTTGTGAGCTGGAGGGGAGCGATTACGAAAGAAGTATCTCGATGAACGATCTATGCAAACGGAACAAGATACTCACCTCATCACGTCCCTGTAAAATGGTGAATCGCTTTTGGCGGGGTTCAGATGAAAGACCATTGGCTCCAGAGCATTCGCTTCGAGTGATTTCCGAAATCTCAATGATGAAGCTATTAGATTCGCCGCCCGCACCAACTGGTCGTTGTATTTTTCATCAGGATCTCTCCTCCATGCCAGAAAGGGGTTGTAGTTCAGGGGGACTGGCAGCCTAGACGAAAGATACATATCGAACCACGGTCCGCAAATGTAGGATGTGTGCTTGTTCTGTTTGTCGCTGTTCACGAGAGCTTCATGGAGTAACTTGCCCTGACCCTCGCTAAAGTCTCTCACGATGACCGCGGTCTTCTCTAATTCTTCCGCGGAAACCACCGGTTGCAGGGACCGAAGATATCGGGCGCATGTTTTCTCCAATGGTGGTATGGGGAGTCTGGGTAGAGATCTTTGGAAGTGCATTGTTGGGATTCTGCTCTGTTGCAGGTATTGGTACTCGGGGTCGGACCATTTTGAGCTGAAAGGATTCGGAGGCGAATTTCCAATTAGACACGACCCTGAAGGGCTGGCAAGCCGGTGATTCATATTGTTAGGAGGTATCACCTGTTCCTCGTTGATGTGATTGACAGAGACGACGTGAAAGTCCGCGAGCGAGGTATTCGCTTGAGAAGGAGAGCCATGACACTTGGACACGCTTAGACTAGGAGCGCTTGACGGTTTGGCACAAATCCGCCTGGGTGAGCCGTCCTAGACAATAACGGCCACCGAACGAGAACAAAGGATGGGCTACAACTGCAGCGACAGAGAGACGTTTGAAGGAGATTTTGTGGAGGGCTTTTAGATCCGGAGTAATGACAACGCCGATGCGGTATCAGATACCATCTCCGAGAGGAGGCTTAACTTTCTCAAGAGACGTCTCTGCCTGACGAGCACAGCGCCGCGATCTCCGCCGGGCTCCGTGATCGGGTTTCGACCGGGTAAGCTGTAAATCACTAAGGGACAGCCGCCCGTCGATTGCCCCGGAGAACAGAGAGTTTCCGATAGAACTCACGACCGCACAACCAGACGATTTAAGGATGTAAGGTCAGAGTGGGCCTTAAGAAGATTGTTCCATAAATAATACCCTCGAAGCAGTAGAGGACATCTTTTCAAATGAATCGCGATGTAAGCCAGAGATGATGAACTCCGCCCTGCGGGAACATTTCAGTCTCGCGCGAGAAATCCTTGCCTTCTGATCATCCTCTTATGTGCCGCCGTTTGTCGCGCGGAACGAAATCCTCACCCTCGGAGTCGGAGCGAAGCTTCTATGAAGCGATCAGCTGTGCCTGAGAGCAGAGCTTGGAGAGAAGGCCAGACGCCACCACTTACTGTGTGGCAATTCTGCATAGCGACGAATCGTTCGAACGAACTGTGTCATATGGTTTTATCCAAGTTCGAACCTCCATCGATTTGTTCCGAGAAGTGCCTGTCCCCGCGTCGAGACACGCGAGAGATCCTGGTACGTTTTAAGCATAGTCAGTTCCGTCGACCTAACCTCTGGCCGCGCGGCGTTCAGCGCGCTCCCGAGAAGATCGCGATGGCATACATGAACCTTCCTTAAAGATTCCCATCATCAACTCGTTCGTCGCTTGCGCGATCCGGGGAGATTACCATCCGAGTAAAGAAATCAGTTTGATATTCTAAGTCTTGCCCGGAAGGCCGGACATTAGTCAATGACGGTCTTGCCCCGCCGTTGGGCCCGAAACCCGTCGCGAACGTTCACGCCAGTCTCACGAGGACAGATTTTCCGCAGGCTCTGGAAGATGTCTCACCGCTCCCAAGTGCTGCAATTATACAAACGGATGCTGCGTGAAGCATCGAGATGGCCGAATTACAGCTACAGAACATACGCTGAACGGAAGATCAGACATGCTTTCAGGGAGAATCGCAGTCTGGAGCCGGATCGGATAGCGGATGCCGTCCTGAGAGCGCAAGAAAGTCTCGCCCTGATACAGCGGCAAGTCTTAGTCGGTATGATGTACAAAGCGAATGAGCTGGTGATCGAGAGACTCCAACGCCAAGGATAGTTCTAAATATTTTCCTTGTTCATGTATCCGAAATAAAGAATGAATACGCTATGTTCAGTTATCCCCCTTAAATCAATGACTAGGCAAGCCATCCAAAGTTTTTTCCCGAGGGATCGGACCGTGACGGGTCGTCCCGCATTTATTCCGAATACTTCCAGCCCCCGTTTCCCTTCCAGCATTCGCGAACAAGCGGTATTCAGAGTCGCCTATCCGCCTCCCTCGGGCACCGGGGGCTCAGCTCGTTCGGTCGCGACTTATTCGCCCATTGTCACTTTCACAAAAGAGGCAGCTTCATTGAGAAAGTTCTCCACTGCTCATAGAGAGCCAGCAGGGCTTTCATTGAATCACATTTGCGGATGCGCTGCTTCGAAATCTGGAAATTCGAGGAATTTTACAGTCAGCCCGCTTCTTGTCAGTCCTCCTGATTCTAGGAGCTTCGCGGGAGCAACGGCTAAGTTGGATTTCAGAGACTAATACTCCACCTTCACGGTCTCGTCCATCGACTTGGGAACTAGAATTTTCGGCTCTAACGAGAAGGTTTTCCTGAGCAATATTTTCAAGAAGATCGCTCTCAGTGATAGCGTTTGTTTCCTACTAGCTTTTTCCCAAACGATTCGAACAAGCTTCGAGTTTCCGAGGTCCGATGCGATGCAAGGCCCTCCACCGGCCACGATTGCTCGCAATACCGTTTGAAGGTCTGTCAAGAGCAGCGGGTCAGTACGATCGAGCTTACTGAAGTCGTCAAATACTTTCCGCTGAGGGATCAGGGACGGATCTTCGATACCTTTGGTGATGCAGCACTCGACTGACGGTCGATGTACCAGAAATCCAGGATGAGGAATGTCGGAGAAGCAAACCAGCGGACATATATCTTGTTCGTGAATCAACAGCGACAGAATGCGCGGGAAGAAGCGACTCTTGAGCGACAGGAACACCCGTAGTGACAGGAGCAGGGATTTCGGACTCTCGATTTGGAGGCTGACGCGGGTACCTTTTCGAAAGATCGATCTGTCAGACTTGATTCCCGAAGTGGGAGGGTCTCGAGTTTTCCGAAAGACTTCTATGTCAATAACCTCGATAATGGAACGCTGCGCTCTTAGTCATGGCTACGTCTCTCCCGTGCGGCCTCAGGATCACAGTGGCCATCCACATCGTTGAATCGAAAATTTCTCCGGACGCTAGGTCGCAGCTTATGATTTGATCTTCGATGAAAGATGGATGAGAATGTTGGGTGACCTCGCAAGTAACCTCGACGGCTGGAGGAAATTGTGTGAGTCGAGATGAAGGAAAATACTGCTGAACGGTCCCGAATCAGAGATATATAGCCCTGCCAAGACAGTGAGTCGGGCTCACCATGGAACTTGAGATACATCAATAGAGCCATCTGTCGCTGAGCCGAGTCCATGACCGAGAGCTGGTCTGATGCTCGACTTTCTTTCAGATCCGCCAGTTTTTGTATTTTCTCCCACGGATCGCTCTCGCCATCGGTGCTCTCCGCGGATGGGCTTTGGGCAAACTCTTCCGATGTCATCGAACATATCCGTCCCGAATTGAAAACACAAATTAGATCCTCGATACCTGTGGGACATCGGTCGGAAACTTATATCTGCGCCGTCGTCACTAGCGACAAATGAAATCACCTAGAGCGAGACGTTCTGGCTTATGCGTACTCTCTTGACTTCTCGCAAGCGAGAGCACTCCTATCCATTTGGATCGGCTCAGGATTGACTTATCACCATCGAATCGCAGCACGAAGCCCTCCGACGGGGTCGCAATGTAGGCCGATTTCCCAATCGAGAAGACCCGGAGCACTGGTGCCACACAAGATTGCTCCTGGATTTGCAGCGCACTCGAGACAGCATAGAACCGTCCTAGACAGCTTATGATGTGCAGTGTATCTATGGAAGAAGAGCCCGAATGAGACCGGATCTTAGTCTGGATCCGCGGCGCTATCGGAAACGCTTTCGGATAGAGTCCCACCAGCTATCAGACCAGTCCAAATCGCAGGGGAATGCAAGTCAGCAACTTTTACAAATTCCCCCAGAGTGTCATGTTCCAGAACCGCGGTCCACAGAGAGCCGTCCGAGAGGCTGACCCACGTTCTGCCGGGCAGCGCTTCGATAGTGAAGGGGGCTTCGGCTGCAAAATATTTCCGAATCAGTTTCGAAAGTCGTCTTGCCAACTGGCGATAATCACCGACCCGGCCAAGCTTCACGCACCGAGTTCCAAGAAATCCAGATTGTAGACAGCAGTGAGAGGAATCTCTCGCTGAGCTAGTATTTGAGCTTTCTTATTGGTGAGGGTGACGAAAACTTTCCTCTGGAGATCAGCTGTCCACAGCAGGAGGAATCGCCCGTTGTCGAAAGTGAATGCAATGATTTTGGCGTCTTTTGTGAGATCAATGAACACGGAAGGAGGTGTCTGGGAACTTCAAAACAGAACGTAGACTACTCATTCTCTCTCCGGGAGAGGTCTGATGGGATATTCCGAGGTACAGAGCACTGCCTGCCTGTCTCTGAGCGGACTTACTTCTCCGGAGCCCAGAATAAGATCGAACTATTTGAAGCCGCGAACAGGTACTTCGACAGTGCCTTTACTTCGGTGACTGCAGTAAACTTCAGATACTGCGGGATTCCGATCGTGGTGTCTACCTTGACGCATCCGAAACGCTGGGGCTCCTGCCTGAGTATGTGTTACCAGCATCGTTAGTCAATTCATGCTCACTTGATTGCGTACTCGAAGATCGATCGTTACAGCCATCATTAAACCCAGCAGCGTACAATGAAGAGCCCTATACATTACCAGCAGAGATATACTCCTCTCGGTTTCTCTACGTTGTTCAGGAACACCTTTGAGCTAATCCCGAGCTGGGGAACTTCGCCCAGCTCTTTCATCGCTGTCCAAAGCTCCCACTGCAATTCCTTGCAGCATCGGATACTTCCCTTCGGATGCAAAAATCTGAATGCCGGGTTTCACCGAAGATTCTATCACTTGACATCCGAGCGCTCTTGGGTTGGAGGACAGATGTTCCGAAAAACTTGGCGGGATGAGAATTCTTGCTCGAGGCAAGGTCGTTCCTCAGAGGGTCGTGATCGAACTCGTCAATTGAATGCCATGACCGAGATCGCTCGAGATCGCGTTCAAGCAATGAGTTCGGCATGCGGCATGCAGACATGAAATTCGGGTCGTACGCTTGTGCGCTTTGTACGGTGTGCTTTCGTTTGCTAGTTCGTATGCTCAAGAGAGCGTACGATTGTTCCTATTCTAAGTCTGTGGTTGGTCCGTACACCTAGTACACGGGGAAAATTCCTCCAAAAATTGAATCTGTCGGTGGGAGAGTGCAGATAGTGATGACGATGATCTTCGCTGGAAGTTTGACCGGGCGCGGGCGGTTTCCTCCACCTTTCTGTGTAATCCCGTGGGATCCGAGGCGGCTGGAAATCAGAACTGGAAAGGGCGGGAGGCACCGTTCCGGTCACACTCTCGCAAGAGATCACCACCGTCATTGTCTACACTCACCAGCCGACGGATTCTATTTTTGTGGAACTCTGCCCTGCGCGCTTCTTGTACGCACGCTACATAGACTCGGCATTCGTACAATTGTACGCCCTCTCCAGGGTGAGTACGAGCGAATGAATGACGCCGTACAGAGCGTACAAGTAAACAGACTGGATTTCATGGCATGTTATGGAGAGTGGATGATTCCGACCGCGAAATCCGCTCGAACTTGAATGTAATTCTACGAGTGAACAAAAACATTTCAGACGGATCGAAGCGAAGCGGGAGTTTTATTCATGAGAAAACACGGACGGAACATGTCGCAAGAGTGAAGTTTTCGGGGATGGCGGATGAATGAGCGCTCTCTGAGCTGAGCTGCGAGAGCTTCGAGGAACTTGCGGTGACAACCAGAGCTTTTGAGGTGGTACAAGATTAATGAATGGGGAATAGCGGTCTGGTCGTGCATAGGTGTTGCCTCGGAGAGGAAGTTCGGGAGCGTCAGACATACGACCGCAGGACTGACTGAGTGAGTGAGTGAGACGTCGTACCGAGAAGCCGAGGAGTGTAGAGAGGACCGCCTCGCGGCCGCACCTCAATTTTCAGCAAAGATCAAAGACATCAACAAGTTCAATCTCCCGTCAACAGATCAAGCCCTGTTCAATTTTTCACACTCCGCTGCAAATTGTAGGGATTTACCACAGACTTCAAATACGTATTAAGCGACGGCATCCCTCCTATGCGGATAATCCCAGGAAAAAGTACGACCTATAAACGTTTCCAGGTCTACACTCTCCGCCGTTGTCGTCGCCACCCTCTGATGTTGCTGCCCGACTCTACGGATTTGTTTTTGGGCTTGAGAGGCCCGTGGGCAGCGCACTGTCGTTGTCGTCTCCGTCCTTGCGGGGATGAGTTCCCGTCCTCTGATCGCCAGCGTGGGCTCGACCGCGGTACGGCCTGCTTCAACAGCTGTAGTGTCGGACTTGGCTGCTGCTGAGGAACCACTGTTGCGGATTCGGCCGACAACAATTCCTAAAACCGATGTTGGCGAGAATAAGACGACCGATGTTGGTAACGAACAACATGAATGGGAGAAGGGGACGTTCGAGCGGCCGTAGCTCTCAGAGTTGATGTAGCCGATGGGATGGGTAATTGTGTTTCGCCGGAGACGGATGATTCGTCGTTCGCGGTGTGGAACGTCGACGATGGCGGGAACCGGGTGCAACCGGGAAGGATATCACTGACAGAAACACATCTCGTCTTCGTACAGAAGGCTGGTGAGCCGATCCGTTGGCCCCTCAGTGGACTCCGACGGTACGGTTTCGATGCGGAACTTTTCTCATTCGAATCGGGTCGACGCTGTCCGACAGGTAGCGGCGTTTACGCTTTCAAGTGTCCACGGGCGGAGCGTCTCTTCAATCTGCTCCAAGAACGGATACAGGCTCAAGCTCCGATTCGGCCGAATTCATTGATCGATTCTCCACCGACCCCTCAAGAACTGCGGACCACAGCTGACTACCTCGAACCCATTTCGCTGGGCGCACAAGTGGTGTCTACGGTGAACTTTGTCAACAATGTGTCGCCGCTCGGAGCTGCCGGTGCTGGACCAGTTTATCAGAACGTTCCCGTGCAAAATCAACAGCAGCAGCGGCAATCGCTGCCTCAGCAAGGAATACATCAAAACCAAGCAGCACAGGAAGCGCAAGTTCCGCCTGCGTCGTCGGCGAACGCGTTAGCGTCGATGTCGAACGGTAGCAAGGATTTCGTCGCCTCGATGGACTCTTTGACCGCGCCGGGCGTGAATTACGTTGTACTCGATCTCGATCAGCCCAGTGAGCCGCCCACGCCCACGTCTCCGACGACTCCGACCCCAGCAATCGCGAGCGCGACTCCGCAGTCTCCTTCCGCTCCACTCGGTTATGCTCAAATCGACTTTGACAAGACGATGGCCTTGCAGCACATAGCGAGCCGATCGAGAACTTCGGACTTGTGATTCCTACCAAAGGCAGCTGGAGCGATCAGTTTCCGGGATCGGCGAGTCTACGACGGTCGTTTCATCGTAGCCGGAGATCATACGTGAAGGTACCTCAACAGTTCATGACCGCAAACACGACGACGTCCCCGACAGTGATGGTGAAGCCGACACATACACGAGCAGGGAGAACAATAAATATTCCAGAGGCAAGGCTTCCTCCGCTGCGATTGCGACCCCCTATCTATGTGACGCCTGAATTGCGGATCATTGGAGGAACTGATGCCGCTTTCTTCAGACATACGCGCGATCATGCTCTCAGCGTGATACCCGAACTATCCAGGGGCCCTTTCAAACCACCCCGCCAACCGGCAAGCGCGCTGGTCTGTGTGCCTGTCTCATTGTTCGTGTGTACGCGTCGAGAGCGGTGGCCTGACAGAGAGTCGGGGAACGTCATCCCTTTTCCCTCCTACAAATTGGAATTTACTTTCAACGCAACAACCGGCAGGGAGTGAAGTCTTCGAAGTCGTTGAGGACACCATCCTCCCTCCCGCTTTCGCTTAACCGAGCTCTCGGAATGAGATCTCATCATTAGATGAAACGAAAACGTGAATGTCGTTGTGCTGCTCCGGAATTATGGTGAAGACTTCGCGACAAGAAAGCTGTCCGTAAACGACGACCTCCGTCAGAGCCTCCGTCGCTTGATTGTGGCTGGGTTGTTGAATCTGTTGTCAGCCCTATTCATCTCGGATAGGCGAAAGTTTGGGGTGAACGCTGAGAAGTGGTGATCTACTAACCACCGCTGACTGACTGGGGCGGACACGGGAAGCTGTCATTGGGTCTACTCAGGCAGTCTGACAGAGGTTCTAGAAGAACCACTCAGATTCCGCGAGAGTATCACCGGAGCATTAGGATCCGCTGTGAGGACTGGGCTCCGGGAATATAATTTTTCCGGACACCACGTTTCCTGACTGCGGTTCGCCGCAGACGCCCCATGTCGAGCTGGGATCGCAAATCATGGCGGTCCTAGGAAGCGCGGGTGTCTGCAAAGGCTAAAGAGGACCCCGACCGACGTGTCTCGCTCCCGAGTACAGGTGCCACAACTCGAGAAGAAGATACGATCATCAAGAAGATACCATTACCGTCGGCGAGATATTATAATCGACTTCAGTTCTCTGAGTCACAATAGATGGAACATTGAAGTATTATACAAGTTCCTCAGGGACGGCGAGCTCTGACAGTAATGCTTGAGCTTACTGTAGGTAGACCAAAACTTGTTGCAATTTCGTATTCGGGCTTTGTTAACTCCCGAATCAGAAGGCTTTGAACTCAAACTAGGTCTTGAATGAGAAACAGTATTCACATCGAGCGCACGTGATTGTTTATGGAGCCCTGCAAGCAAGCCCCGGGCGTCGGAACAGCACCTGGCGCGACGGGAGAATACACTCATTCTCTTTATGGATCTAGGCCGGGTGCCTGCGTGATCTCGCGCACGAACAAAGAGCTCCGAGGAACGAAGAAAGGGCATACCTAAGAGCTTGTCAGTAGGGCCGTTCCGGATGGTCCAGGATAGTCCTCTAGACCCTAGAGCGCCTCGTTCGAATCCGAGCCTTGGTGTCCGTCTTGGCGCTAGGGATGAGTTCGTAGGGAAACTCATCTGACATTCGTACGCTTGCCATGCAAGTCGATCAGTGTACGTACCCCTGGCTGTCACCCAGCTATATTTTCAGGAATAGCGCGAGTTCCTTTCGTCGTCGGCAGTCGGCATTGTGCCGAGAGACATTCGTCCTCCGTACCGCGAAAAGTCGGGACATTCTGGGAGGTGCGATGACGAATGGTGTGAAAGATCAGGTGAATTATACGGAAAACGGCCAAAGATTTTCATACGCCAAGTGCCTCCCCAACGTGTCGGGAACTCCGGAAGTCGGAGAAGGGATTATGTACAGAGACAACGTGGGAAGCGAAGGAAGTCAAAGCGATTTATATATACAACATACCTTCATATAAATAAAGTCGGAGAACGTATCATATATATACTTCTACGTACACGGATGTATATCTATACCTACATATACGGAAAGGTCGGACAAGCTAATTCAGGAGTAAATGGATGTCGCTCATCAACAAGGTGCACGCGCCTTCGGATCCCAGGCTGGTTCATAGTTTGGTTGGGATGGATTTCCGGGAACTATTATCTTTCTGAAACTGTCTAATCGCCCCCGGAATAACTTAGGAGCACCCCCGATCGGGCATAAAAGGCCACCTGATTCCGCCCGTTCGATTCCTGCTCGCCGCATCTTTCTTTTGTCTTCCTTGATTCCACTTGTCTCCTCGCCGGCTAGGGATTACGGTCACCGTGGAAAATTAAATCCCTCGCAATCTCGATACCAACGATCGAGTATACTACTCCTCCGGATGCTCCCTCATGAGGAAACTCAAGGGAACCCATGAAAGCTGGGGGCGGGAGCCTCGCGGAGATGCGGATTTCGTAACTGATCAGGGCTCTACTTCAGCCACACCTCAGCCGATTTGAGCGACCCTGTTTACACAACGCCCCGCGCGACGTCCCCCGTGTGGATTGCAACAGTTTTGGGAACTCGGGGAAGGATTGACTCCCGAAACCGCTCGAAGATTTCCGGGGCAATCTTCCATTTCCATAATTCTCGGTCAGTCGCACTTCGGATTCTCGGAAGAGAAATAATTTGCTCCGGCTGGATTCTGCAGGATCGGTACAGATATGCTCGATGAAGAGTTCGCGGAATGGAAACCCAATCTTCCTTCCAGTCGTAGGATACTGATATTCGCAGGGGTCCCAAGGAGAGCTCGGCTACTCCATTGGAGCCCCGGATCCATGCTCCGAGGAAACCGACGAGTGCCCCATGGGGTGGCAGATCTCCCCTTGTGGACGAGTGCTTGCTAGTGAGAGCACTCCGATGTAAAAGGCGCCAAATTCATTGTGGCAGCTCTGCAGTCGACTACCTTCATCAGCATGAATTGCGTAGTCCCGGCGTGGCTGAACCACCAGCAGCTGAGAATAAATTGTTCGCCGAGCTTGTCTCGAGAGCCGTTCCACTAATTAGAATCAGGCATGAGTGGGATGTTTTCATTAATGAAAATACGGACTTTATCAAATTATATTCCTGTATTCCATTTGATGGTACATTTCAACATGTACGCGACAACTTCACCCAGGATCAATCGGAACAACCAAAGGTTTTGTTTAAAATCCGTACATCCAGCGGATCCACCAAGACAGGAATTCAACAGGGAGAGTTCCTCGAGGTCCTCTTATTTACATCATTATATACAATCGAAGCCTCTTCCTTTCATTTGTGTGTCACGAGTTCAACTCGTTAACAGCAACTATAAAGTATGCTAATCTCAATAGGTGACGGCAGAAAGAACCCGGATAACATTTTATATACGATGAGAGTCTGAAAATCGGGCATCTTCCGAGGGCAAGCCTTACAAAATTGAGTTCCGACAAGGAAACCGGAAAAGCTAATTAGTTTAACAATGAAAATATCGGTTAGAAGATCGATTGCCTGAAAGGACTGAGTGAACCCGGAATAAATGAGGAGCAAACGAGAGAAAACTACCTATATAATTTACATAGATTTCCTAATGAAGAACGGAGTAGTAATCCAAATAATACTCTAAGGAATACTCGGAATACAAGTGAACTTAATGAATGCTCATCGTCGATGGCCGAAGCCCCGAGCAACAGGGCGAGCCCGAGCGTCCCAACCTTCTATCGGTCCGACGCTACGCTTCCAATCTCTAAACGGATATTGTGACAGTCTCGGGGATGACTTCCCCAGCCATGGCACTTGAGGGGGTCACAGCAGCATCCTCTCAGCACGGTAGCAGCGTCTGTTGGGACTGGGTCAATTCATTGAGTCATATGACAATCTGTCGACGCAATATTGCTCAGGATACAGTCTCTGAACTCTCATCCACTTTTGCTCCTTCCCCACCCCCATCGAAACCGCGGAGCATTTTCAATTATCACGATCACCCGGTAGAGCAGCCCTAGCGCAAGTCTAGATCAGCTCTTCTCGACACGAAGTGGCGAACCGGGGCATTCTAACTCGTCATGGAGAGCTACCGCGTGGCGTAGTTACCATCAGGGAGTGGGGAGATCTTTGTTGAGGACGTCATGCAGATCCGCTGGCAGAGTGGCGATGAGATCTTCGAGTCTCGCCCTCAGCTTGCACATCGTCTCCCTAGAAATATTATTACGTCTGTCCGCTAGTTCGAGTTTGGCCTTCAACTTGAGCACCAAATCGATAACCTCCACCTCGTCGCGATTGCGCGCCCATCCAAGAAGATTCGTGTCAGAGATAACCTCTATGTGGAGCTTCTCAATATTCTCCGAGACCTGAAACCGAACAAGCGATTAAACACCGGAAGCAAAAGCACATGAAACGACGTGGATAAGAAGTTTCCCCCCAGAAATCGAGAAGCGCGCAGGGAAGAGGAATCGGTACATCCCGAAGCTGGAGTCACACCAGGTGACAGATCATAAGCGAAGGACGAGAGAATCAGAAAGAGGACCATAGTATGCATCGGGCACAAAGAGCGAAAGCGAGCGAGATGAAGGCTTCTATGTACGAGGACCGAGTTCCCGTTATCCTCGGAAACCGAATGGATAAAATATTCAGCGTTTCACCAATATTTTTATTGACATTGAAGGCGGGAATTTCATTCTCACTCCCCCGCACAAAAATCGGGGGACGAACGATAAAACACAGAATTCCTGCGTACTTTCCCCCTCAGGAAGCCTCGGGAGTCTAATAAGAATCACCTGTCGGCACGGAGCCGCGCATCTACCGCCGTCGATTCTCAAGCTCTACTTCTCTCAACCTGGTATGCAAGCTCCACCGATGGGGCGTAGGACGTTTTTCGCCTCTATAGAAGCCTATCAAAGGTGGGGCGTGGTGGGGCACGGGTTAACACTGAGATAGGGCCCGGCGAAAAATCCTTGAGAAGCACTGCTTGGCCCTTCAGTACTGAATCGCTCGTAAGTCGCTTCAATTGTTGGGTTCTATGAACTCCCAATCCTCAGCGATAGGGCTGCACTCTTCTGCTGACGCATCACTGCGGATGTCGACCCCTTGATCACCTACCTCCCGGTGCCGGGTTTGATACCATCCATGGAAATTTCGCGATCTGAAGAATTTCCGGTACAGCTCCGCCCATTCTCCCTTGATGCCCGTTGTCAGCTGCGGACCAGCTGTATCGAGCGTCGCAATGAAATCGTCCGGATTGAATGGTTTCAGTAGAGGTGTGCCTTTGTATGGGGAGAGATTCTTTTGGAGCGGCATTAAAGACGCCATGTAGCGTTCCAGGGGAATCATGAACGATTGGGTCAATTCGAGAAAGTATCTGGAAGACGATTTTCAAACATCAGATCGATGCGGCCCCTCCTGAAGAGAGTTCAATGAAGGGATACTTTCGAAGAGGCGAGGAATGTATCACTTTAAAATCTCCGACGGAAACGATTCGAAGATTCTTCGTCCAGAGCACTCACCTCCGGAGCAACACCGATTGAACTTCCGTGGGTCTCTTGAGCTGGATACCCTTCCAGAGGTTTTTTAATAAGGCTTTATCCTTCCGTAGGAGCGGTCTATATTGTGTGAAGACACCTGTTTGAGTATCTAGGGTCTTCAAATTCGCGGCTCTCTTCGTCTTAGTGGTGCTGTATTTGGCACAACAATCGGTGCTTGAGTAATCATCTCCAACTTTAATAATGTGCGGCCATTGTTGAAAGGTTTTCGTGAAGAAAGGATTGGTAACCTGCAAAGGAATCGCACGCTTAGCAAAGCTCGCGCAGCTATAGCATCTGTTTCTCCTCCGATGTCAGTCGATGAGGACGTGCATCCCGATGCGGAAGGAACCTCCTTGTATGTAGAAAGCTCGAATCGCTCAACTTCGAGAAGAATGAACCTCACCCCTAGAATGACCGCCGGCAGGCAAGTTTCCCGGCACGTGTACTCCTTGAACTCCGAGTCGTGTATTGTAAAGAAAGGTCGGTAATCCGAGGAGAACTTCAGCGGCCAGACGAGGGATATGAGCGCTTGTACAAGCTCAGCGCAGATGCATGGTGAGTTCGCCATCACAATAATCGGTTCGCAAGTGATCACCAACTCCCACAACAATTGAACATGATTCAGTATAGGTGCAAGGGCGCGGAAAACGTCCGGCTCATGTACGGACGATAGGATCACGGCATCCTGCGTACACTTCTGGAGGTGCAAGTAGGAATTCGACGACTGCAATGAAAGAGAAGAGAATTTCAATCTTCCGACTCCTTCCTCGAGTGAGCGGGTTGGATTTCTGTTGAATATTTATCTTGATTCGTATGCCACGCTTCTCGATCGGGAAAAACTCAGGCCTCAAAACTGCTCTCATGCTTCCTTTTCATAGGAGCAGATTGTGAGACAAAATACTGTCTTGTCGACGCGCCAAACGTTTCTTATCCACCGAGCGTAAACCGTTCACCTTAGCCAGGAAAGGAGGAACTCGCGCACTAACCAAGTCTCATGGAAAGACTGCCAGCCGACCAAGCGAGCGGACCGACCGACGAGCGCTATCTGTGGACCGCAGCCGTCACAGCATTCCGACTCGTTTTGTTTGCATCATTTTCAGCCTTCTTGGCTGAAGCGCGCTCGTTCCAGTCAAGGCTAAGATCGCACAAAGGAATTTACGCGGCCGATTCCCGGGAACTCACCGTTCACCGAAAAGGCTGTGTTTTCTCAGCGGTCGGGTGTCTCAGACAGTCCTACATTGAAAACCAAGTACCTGGCGCAGGCCTTGATCGCTAACCTAAACGAACCGACCGTCGCGCCAGATTCCTCAATTCTATGCTTCGAAAAAGTTGAAGCACAATGACTCGCAGGGATGATCATTCTCGCCACCGGGTTCAGCTTTGTACATAGATACATATGTATGTGTACCTATGAATATATCCGAGAGCGGCACCAACTACTGACCTGAAGCTGACTATCGACCTCCAAGGGAATCCTGCACTGCATAACAACTCCATGAAGAGGTAAAACGAGGTCCTTTCCGGGCATCGGTGGAGTCCATCGGTCAATGATGTGACAGGCGGTCTCCAATGACTCTAGGCCATTTTCGAAGAAGTCGGGTGCTACCAACGCAACAGCTTTTTGAAAAAAGTTCACTAGAGGCAAGTGAGTCACGAAGACCACTGATTTTTGGAAATAACCTCTCCGGACCGACGGGTCTTTAACCTGAAAAAGAGAAGATATTGCTCTCAGAGACAACTTAAGCTAAGAGCACAAGAACCCTCTTCCGGGAAACCTGCATGAGCCGACTGATGAATACGCTGAGGGAATCTCGCGCTCCCGCACGATGTAGGATGGGTCGAACAAGACGAAACACATCCCACCGGAGGTAATGTTCGTGAGCAACCAGGTCGCCCGCCGTCGCTCGTGGTAAGCGGTCGACTGTGACGCATATCGAACACAACAGGCTGGGTAATCCAGCGGATGTCGCACATCGTGGGAGACAGCGCTCATGGCGCTCACTTAGGCGTCAAATCATTCTGATCGCCAAAACTTCTAAATCCCCTCATTCTCCGGCTGATAGTCAGTCGGGCAGGTGGAATCCGAGTACGAGGCTCGGAGTCTGTGGTTCGGCGATGCTGCGTAAAAGCGGCTTACCTGTCGGAAGTATGCGAAGCCATAGAGGTATTGAGTTTCGATCTGTAGAGCCGGGGGCACCATCAAATTGAATTCATGTTGATCCTCCGTCAATTTGAGCGGATCTTCCCGACGAATGCGAAAGTGAAATTGAGTGTCCCCCATGCAGGCTGAGTTGCTATCCGGAAAAGCCAGGTAGCATATATTGAGCTTTTCTCGCTCTGTCAGAGTGGCACATGGTGGATACACGTTTTCTATGGCTTGACCCAACTCAAGATCAAACGTCACTACGCAGATACAGTGCAACCACTGCGAATACCGCTCCCACTGCTGTTCGGAAGTGCTGAGCGTGCAGACACTCAAGGGTGGTGTGAGTAGAGGGAGCGGATGATCGGACTGTGGTCGAAAGTCGTCGAGCGCCAACTCGTTGGGTCTCCGAGGAATGTACCTCATCTCCTGCAGCTCCATGGGAGACGTTGGTTGACAACAGGCGCACGATGGAAACGCCTGGAAAGACGGAAACCTTAGAGATTGCCGCGCCTATTTCTCTACTTGATTCTCGTACCGGATGTCATTCGTCTCGATTGAATCTGAATATTAAGGGGTCTCCGCCGACGACGGGAGTGCATCGAGGCCGGAACTTTTTTACAAGAGAGGAAATGCAGAGATTTTCGCCTCTCGATAAGATCCTTCGCTACGACACGGCGCAAGTCGAGAATGCTTCATTTCAAAAATCAGCCGGAGAGGAAGGGAGACGAGTTCTATAATTAGTGCTTCCGATTGAGAATAGCGAGTACATCCGAGAGGTTTAGTTCGGAGCGTACGAGTCCAAGATAAACTTGAGCTCTGGTCCTTCGAGATCCGTTATAATCCACGCTTTCGTCACTCCATTCGTACTTGGATCCCCGTGAAGGTGATGAGATTTTATCATGGACCACAGAAATGTCGCAGATCGCTGTGAAATGTTGGAGCGCCCTTGACTCGAAAATTTCGACCGATCGTCGAATGGAGCTGGAATCGCTCCAGAGCCTCGCAAGTCTCTCCCACTCATTGAACCGACAATCAGTGAGGCATGACCCGAAGTTTCCGTCATTACGAGGAGCCCCGCTTAGATTTCCGATATGGAACTACTTCCGTTCGAAGTCGCACCGATCATCTTGAAAATGAGGTCTCAGACTCCCTCTCCATACGGCAAGCACCGAGAGGAAAAGCTTGTGTAAGTCACCGTATCGGATTGGAATATACGCAACTCGCTTCCCGAGTCATTGACCAATTGGAAGGTAGCGGATACCACAGGAGAAGTGGTCGCACAACGCAGAATATGCTGCGCAAAGGTTTCAGCTGCGCTGGAATAGCTCACCTTCCTCGCTAAAGATGGCATCAAGTTACGAGTTGGACCGATCGAACCAAGATGACAAACACACACGATTCCCACACTCCGTGAAAAACCATTTGGAAGTCACAGAACGATCCCTCACGGAGACCAACATGTGCAATTTAGGAATTCGACACAGCCTTCTTGGGGAAACTTCACAATAGCACGGACTCAGTATCCCATTGGCTACAGCGGGAGTCCCATCGCATCTTCAGAGCTCCTGTAGAAACTACAGACGTATTGCGAAAAGAATCGTCTCAGATGCTTCCTCTCTTCTGCTGTTGCTAGTGATGCTGCTGCTGCTGCTGATGTTGATGACGACGGTGGTGGTGGTGCGCTGCTGCGGCTGCCGTCGATCGTCGCTGTTCGCCGTGAGAAGAAAGACCCTTCTCCTCCCTTTCTTGTTGTTTTGGTGATGGTGGATGGTTGTGTCCCTCCTCTCCCCACACCCGCAGCGAACCGCCAGGCGGCGCTGCCGGAGCGCGAGTCTGCCGCCGCTACCTCCCACCCGCCAAAAAACGAATACTCTCGTTGTGGAGCTTGATACTCTGCTCGAACGATTGAACGGTGGCCTACGAGAGAACGAATTCTCGAGCCGCTGACACTCGCTCACGCCTCTCATATCTACGCGAGAGCGGAAGCAGCGGCACGGGGGCCCACACGGCGTAGGTAAACGGCGCAGTAATTTGTTCAGGAGACAGCGGTCGCAATGATGCTGATGATCTTCGCTGGAAACTTCAGTGCGAGATTGAAGCCCCGTCCTCTTAGTCCGACCGGTCTGTGGGAATGGCCGAGACGGAATCGATTCTTTCTTATGCTACGGAGGAAAATGGCGAATGGAAGCATATTGATTGGCGAGATCGCCTTACCCTCGATCCACCTCACCTCCTGTCATAGAGTTTGACGAGTCGGCGGAGTCCCGATCGACCGCATCTCGGGAAACCTGATCCTGACTTAAGCTGGAGACACCGATAAGTTGTTCTGAAATCAGGCGTGCAGGAGGACACGTACGCGATCGTCCCCAAGATGCGATTCCATCTCCGCTGGCTACCGAGTGATGGTCCGTGAGAATTCGCGCAGCCTCCCACTTTCTCGTACTTAGCTGAGTTTCATTTTTCCTATGGTATTTGCGCTGAGTGCGCTCCAGTCCCAGGGCTAACGACATTGACAACTACGAAACGGGACTACGAAAAGCCAAACTACGAATACAGCCCCGCTTAAGGAGATAATTGGTTCGCGCATAAGCTCATGAAACTTGAGGTCCGTCCTATCTCTCTGCATCCGAGTCGCATGCAATTCGCTGGAGTAGATCGCGCCCGGAGAGTTTCCGGTAGAGACGAACGTCTGAGTGAGTTGTTGAATTTCGTACTCTCACGACCCTCTCTGCGGCGGCAGTCAATCTTTGCTGTTGGACATGAGACTAGCTCGATGAGCCTGCGCGGGCTTTACCCTCTACTACGGAGGCAGGAATGATCACAAAATTTTCTCCTCCGTCGTGCGCTACTGCGGGAAACATTATTACTGATTCGAATGATCTTGTTCTGAGAGCGCGGGTGCATAAAAGCCTCAGCTTTTCTGCAGCCTGAGTCGTCGAGCGATGGTCCGAGCAGTCCTGAGTCTAATGGAGAGGCTCGGGAGGGCTGTGACGAGAACTGTTGTGTTTGGCCTGCAAGGAGTCGCGATCGGATATTGTATATTCGAATACGGAATACAGACCAGCCACTGCACAGGGCCGTCCATGGAGCCGACAATACATGATGGCGACATTATTGTCATTGAGAAGATCTCAGCGATCAGGAATTCTTTCAAACGAGACGACATAGTGGTGTGCCGGAGCCCGTCGGAACCTGATTCGTACTTATGTAAACGGCTCATAGGTGAGATTCTTATCGCTTGTTGTCATGGGCTGCCCTCCCAATCGCTTGGGTCTCGGACGACCACTGCTGCTGTACTCCCGAACCCCAGAGAGCTCTGCGGGAGCATCGCGGACTGTTTGAAATTCGATTTTTCCAAGCGTGGACTCGGCGGATCCGTACCCATGGGATGCATCAGCCAGATAGAACTCTAAATGCGTTCCCATTCACAGGTCTGCCAGGAGACATACTGACCAGTCCAGATATTGGCTCCCAGGAAGTTCCGAGAGGACGAGTTTGGCTACAAGGCGACAATTACAATAACTCCCACGATTCGAAAGATTTCGGTCCCGTGCCAATGGGTCTCCTCAAAGGCAGAGCGATTTTCAAGCTGAACACCTGGGAGATATTGCGGTGAGAAGTGTAGTAGGCTCTATTAATGGATATGCCACAGAGAGAATGACCGCGTGTGAGCCTCGATTCACTGGGGCAGAGGCTTGCCTGAGTGAAATTCTCCCGACGAAGGGGGAGTACTCGCGAGAATCATCGTGGTGTTGTACAGGAGATAAGAACCAAAAGAGTTAGGAATAAAGTTATGGTATCCTTGTTGATGGATTTCGTGATGGGTATTCTGAAGTATCCTGTCTCCTACACGGGGGCTCATCGCGCGCATTGTGTCAGAGTGTTCAGTGCCTGTCTTTTCGGGCAACAGTGGGCGATCCATTTTCTCGACATTAGGATACGTCTCCTCGAGTCTCGGAGTGACGATTCCAGAATCAGAGAATGTCCAATGGAGTTTAGCTCTCCTCCTAATGAGTTGATGAATTCGAGTACGGCTCACATGAACGAGAAACTATTGTTCTTTAAGTTACGTCTATCCTAATGTGTAGGACGACTGTCGGAACGAACCCGGATTTGGCATTTGTCGCTTGTATGGTATCATACTGATCATTGTAAGTATGGAACATTCGTACCCCATTGAGTCGATTCGAGCAGCGAGGATCAATGATGGCGGCGCCTGTGACATTTTCTACATATTCTTGATCGCGTATACAGCGATATCGGCACAATTCACTGATCTCTTTCGAATCCCGACGTTCTGTATACCGTATCCTTTGGCGTGCCGCATGCATCATTGATGAATACTCCGCTCGGAACTTCAAGCCGACACGCTCGTTTCATGTCCCTTGGCGTAAGAGTGAGAACTTCGCGTCAACATGAACGACATAGAAATTTTATAGCATTTCTCTACCAGCAGTCCACTGGGCGTGCTCGACACCCTGTTCATGAAACGATTCGAGATTTGGAACTTACAAAAACGGCTTCTATTATGTCCGAACAACGACATCTATTTTCCTTTCAACAACACGAAGTAAATGCTCGTATCGAGCAGCGATGATACCTCGCTGGGAAGGATCCGTTCCACAAGACGAGAGACCCGGTGATCGCGAGGAACTTCTGACTGCGGAACACCGTTCCCCTTCGGACTGTGAGCCTCGGTCCCCTCTCAATCAACTAAGGACGAAGCGGGGAGTATAGTGTGTTGAAAGCTGGTAATCTCAGACGCTTCCTTTCGAGGCCTCCCTCAAAGTTTCGACACTTGGTGATATCGGTCGAAACTCCGAACTCGCCAACGTACAGAACTTTCTGATGAATTTCGAACCAGACCTGAGGGGAAACGACTCCGAGATCTGTGGAAATCGAGTGAAATCAGGTCTCGAGCTGATCGTGGAAATGATGCCCGCTAGAGATTCCGGATTCGGTATCTTGAGCTCACCAACATTGTGTACAATGGCCACCATAGTTTTCAGGGTGAATTGGTTGAATCCAGTTAATCTCGATATGGTGTTCCAGTCAGGCCCAAAGCGCGCGAAAAGCTCCGCGACAACATTTTCCGCTTCGAGACCAGTGTAGGGTAAGACTTGGGGCGTCAAAATGGAGCGGAGCTGTACTATGCACCCAAGCGAACTCCTGGAAGCCAGAGGATACGCGATTAAGGCCGCGATTTTTTTTCGACCGAAACCTACCTCTAATTGTCTATTATTCTGTAGGAAGAAGAACAACCTACTTCTCAGGAAGATCCAAGCAGAGCTTCTCCACCAGCTGATGAGCGGTTCTAAACTTATTGAAGTCGTACACTTCTTTTCTCGTCTCTAAACCGGTTTGGAGGCATGCAAGTAGATATGGATGCCTCAAGCTATAAGCTTTCGCGATTTGAAAGAAATTTCGGATAAGGATTGCAGTCTCAGCGGGGGAAAAAACCTCTTGACAGTTTTCACAATCGCTGATCGTTGCCTGGAACTCTCGATGAGCCGGCAAAGAAGAGGTTTCCAAACGTAACGCTTCGTTGCTGGGGAGGAAAAATAGCGGTTAACACAAGAATTTTCCCCGAGAGTGAGAACATTCAGATGAAATCGGGAGGAGTTTGAGTCGCTTGCAAACTGTCTCACCAGTCTCGCCAACAGGAACTGAAGTTTCCGTAAAATGGTTTGACACAGGTGGTTCGGATTGGCTTCGAGAATCGCAGTTCAACGAGCTCGGCGCATTTCCGGAAAAAATCGCTCTGCCAGTTAGGGGTAGGCTTGTCGAAGTAGGTGCCTATTTCTGATTCATGAAGGACGAGGTCCAGCGAAGAATCGCCTTCTTCGCTTGGCGGGGAAACCGTCTTGTACAGATAGCCCTCGCTCGAGCGGCTGATCCTGCCAGGAGATTGCTGTGGTGGGGCTCGTTCCGCCGGAGCTCGAGTTGTTCCTTCTGTGTCGTCCACAACCTTCACCTGAACCCTCGCGTCAGTCTTGGGCTCGACGACGGTATCATCGTCGGGTGTCGCCTCTCGGTTCTCGACAGAGCGCACGGTGAGCTGCATAGTTGACTCGACCGACCGACCCTCCTTGCGGGGTGAGCAGCGAGTATGTGATTCGATTTTGATCCTCTTCGACGCCGAGTCCCTGTGAAAACCGGAGAGCGTCGATATCGGGAAATGCGTAGCGTTCCCTTTACCCGACTTCCAGATGCCCAACCAGCGAGGGTTTTTCGTGAGTGAAAACTAACAAACTTTGACATCATTGGGTGACCTGAACCCCACGGGGGAGAGTAGGCGCCTTCTTGGGTGAAGCTGAAGACAGCCTGAGCCAAGTCGGTAGGCAGTCTCCTCTTAATGAGGTCTGTGGATTCTGTCTAATGATATATTGAGTTCGACGCGAAACTAACCCTTTAGAATCATTAACCCCGTTCTCGCATTGCGACTCATCAGTCGACGACATTCTCCTTTTGCGATTCTCTCGACCCGACGCCTTCAGCGATTTGAGCTCGAAGTCGGGTGATGCTCGTCGAGGAGCGGCCGTCGAGCGATTATTTCTTGAAGAACATGGTGTCTGGATCTCCAACTCCGCCTTCCACAAATTTTTACTTCCCTGAATCTCGAGAATCTGAATTAGAAATGGAGTATATAATGACTTCCCAAGAAGGTGGGGATCGAATAGCGAGCGGCTAACGAAGAAAGTCCCCGAGTAACTATAGAATGTCGGTGATAAACTGCCAGAGTTTCCGCAGGAATCATTTGCGACTACACACGGTCTCTCAGACTCTGATGGACCGATGCACTTTTCCCATGCGGACTAACTCATGTATCCTAATTCGCTCGAGAGTCACCTTCGTTACTCGGAATCCGTTGACTTTGCCCACAAGATATTCATTCGGCTTCAGCTTGCGACCAACCGCCGATATCCTCGACCTGAATTGACGGAATTTCGAGGTTCGAAAATACATCTTCGGCCGAATGTCATGGAGGATATTCATTTCTGAATTCATGCCTGTACATTTCTATGGTCAAATGAGCTTACCGTAGCCTTTTAGCGATCGATCTATACGGTTTCTCAGAGCGTCCCTCGCTGACGGATATTTCCCTCTTTTTAATCGGTCTGAAACTCCTGTGAGAATCATAAGCTGGAGAGTCCGGCGCGATTCTCCAGGGAATTTCATTGAGATGGATTATAAATTCGGCAGTGGGAACTGTGTATCATTCCCATGACCAAGCTTCCGAGAAGGCGGAAGACATTGCTGGATGAGATCGGCATTCGGCACGTCTTGCCTATGCACTCCCAAATGCCGCTCTCCACAGAGGTGATTCGAGGAGATCCTCATCGAGATTTTCCACTGACAAGATTCATCGGACTGCTCGCATTCACCCCTTCTATCCCGATTCCTCCTTCTTTGTGAAGCTGAGGATCAAGCTCACCCGAACTTTTGTCGTAGATAGCGAATTCCCATTGGCGTATAGATGAGGGGTCTGTCTACTGGTACGGAGCAGATTCCGAAGGAAACTTTCGGAATAAGAAGCCTCTGAACACAAACGAGCTTTCGAGTGTAGCATGAAACATGCTGCGAAGTGTTCTGACAGCGACAGCGCGCGCGGATTGAGACATTCGGATGCCGCTTCGGCAGCGGCGCGAGAGTTCAAATACGTATCGATAGCCGGGCCCTCGGCAATGGATTGGGCTGACTGGCAAATGTATCATAGGTGTTTCTCGGAGAACATTCACCATATTTTTCAAGCGTTCGACGTCGCCTTTCCTCCCGAGCCTCTGTAGGGTATCAAGTCCGAGACATCTGAGATACTTCTGTACCACCGCTCCAGTACCCCAGCGAAAATGGGGCATTTCAGGTGCATGAAATTTCAGAAATGTGCCCGCAAACTGCCGCTGAATTCGGCCGAGCTATTCGAGATGGTCATTCGAAGCTTGAATGGGCTATTCGATCCTGTAGGTTCTCATTAACAGACCAACCTCTGGATTCGACCGCAAACGAGCTCAGTGAATCCGGTGTTGTTACGTTCCTATTCTCCGAGGGGTCGCTCCGAAAACCCCACGACAGGGCGATCCGAATCCGTGGTCGAAGCCGGTCGGATCGCGTGTTTGACTATCGTTTAATAGTAGCCATCACGATTGACGTTTGTGTGCGCCCCCCCCCCACCCCAGCGTTCCGGCAGTGAGGAAAGTCGGGGGGTCGGAGATAGAGAGATTTTCTCGAAAACTCCGTCGCTCTGCTCGCGCGTGCTCAGCTCGAGCGTGCTGTCGGCTGTTCCGCAGTCGGTCGGAGTCCGCGGAGAGGTCGCTCCGCGTCCACCAATGTCGAGCGCTTTCGCGTAGCATGCACTGGTAGCTCTTTTCTTGAAGAGGTGACCCCACGCATGCGGACCGTGGAAGACTTATTGAGAATACGAGCATAGGTCAACTTCGCTGCCGTGGGCGTTATTAGCTCCTCAACAATGAGCCGAGATCGCCGGAGCTACTCCCAACGTTTTAGTTCCATCGCCCGAGCGCAAGAGCCACCACACGCACCCTTCCGCATTTATCGGTCATCGCGCTCACGGCGTCTGATCGCTTGACATTGAGAAGCATGCCTCCGGAGTGTTTGCCTTACAACTCGAGATCCGATTCGCCTCACTCAGTCTGACGTGATCATGGAGGATGAGCGGAGCGAGGCGAGGCGATCCTATGATCCTAATTACAACGTCGAGCTGAACTTCCCGACGCCGAAGATGAATCGTCCACACGACTTCCATCTCTTTTCTTTATGGCACAGCTTGCATCGTTCGATATCGATGAGGAGTGTCCCATCGCGAATACCCTATTCCGAGACTCACGGGAAGTTTTCGGAAAAATCACAGATTCGATGCGCATCACAGCTAATCGCGCTCTTCGTCACGAGAAACTGATCCTTATTACCAACTAGCCACCTTACTGGTCACTGAGCGAAGCCAGCCTCTGATTGCGAAGCCCCGAAAAGCAGGAACTTGTCGGAAAGATTTGGCGATTCACCCGTCTCCCTAGTCTCACCCCGACCAAATCGGAGATTCGACTCTCCGGGGGAATAAATAATTTCTCCCAATTGGTCGCGCGTTTTTCGGGTGAGTGGTGAGAGAGTGTCGGTGAGAGAGCTGGACAGCTGATCTGGTGCTCGAGGACTCCGTGGAGATCATGGCGTCGGTCGGAAGGGAAGGATATCCGAACGAGCAAATAAATCATCCGAGGTTGGAATATGGGGCGGTACTTTTGAATGCTATCCGCTTAAATCTATTTCGATATCCTGGGTTGACTGTTCCTCTGCTTGCTCCCAAGCTTCCATTTAGACTCCGCGACTCCAGTCGGACTACATATCGGTCTTCCGCAATCAAGGCAGAAGCAACCTCCATTCGACCGCCTCGGACACTGGATGGGCAATATTACATTTCAGTGTCAACCAGTCTGAGCTGAGACAGAGGCGCTCCCAGAGATGGTTACACCGATGCAGGTGAGCCACATAAAAAAAATTCTCTGTTGCACCATACTGAACGAGTTTATATATTGCGCGATGGATGTTTTGAATGCTATAAAGTATCAGTCATTTCTAATCCGTATTTAGTATTTGGAACATGGTTGTCTGGAATGCCATTGGTGTTGGTACATATTTATTTATCCTCATCTAATATAAATGACACTTTTCCTCCAGTCGCGAGTATTCTCTGCGGATTTCGTACGTTTCTCCCGCCACCACTGTAGCAGTCCCTTGGTTTCGCGTATCATCCTCGAGGAGTTATCTCTGTCGAGTCCCAGTCGTTGCAGTATTTCCTCTCCCTCGAAGGATGCTTCGTTGCATTTGCAGATGACGTGGCTTATGGTTTCCGGTACCATTCCACCCTTCACACATGTAGATTCGAGGCCCGGCTCTGAGACCAGTCTGAGCTGAGGAAAATGCGTTCTCAGAGATGGCTACACCGGTTGGCTCGTTCAGGTTTCGGACGACAGAAGGACCCGCCAGTCTCGGTCATAGGCATACTTCTTCCACTTCTGACTGAGACTGCAGGGAACGAGAGAGACGAGCAGCGGTGACGGATAACCGGTACGACCGAAATACCTCTTCGAGGGTCTTGAACTCAAATCGAAGTGATTCGAATGCAATCGCATAGTATTCCAAAAAACGAAAACTCTCAACTTTTTCTCTGATTCCGAGTTCGAGTTCCTAATCAATTTCTTCCTCCCAAAGAATGATGTGCATCGAATGAACCCTAATGTTCTTCATCTATCGCTTAAGAAAATACCGGTGGAAACAAGCAACGTTAATATACCTCACGGAAGAGAAGAATATCACGCTCGTTCAATACTGCCTGGTAACTGCCCGCAAACAATGTGTGTGAAAAAATTATACTTGCAGAGATGCCCGGAGAGTTTTTAAGATGGTATAGAAATGTTGAGGAGCACGTGAGAAAATGTCTAGACATGGAATATACTGATCGGTTTTATATTTCGTTCGGGTTATCTTGCACTAGAGGAGAATATTTGCGCTCTCCACTGAAGTCAGTTCTTCGCTTGTTAGGGCGAAATCTCGGATTTTTAGGACATTCGGCGCGACACGCGATCAATTCTTCGCTGGATCCTAGATCAGCGCGATACGCGATCGACTCCTTGTCAGATCCTAGATCCCGCCTTCTCGTGGCCCCTTCAGCGGGAGCGTCCGGCGATTCGCGATGCTCCCCTTCCCAGGATCGCGCGCTGTGATGACGATCGGAGCGGCGCGCCGGCGCGGCCCGGCGTCGTGGTCGGCCCGCTCATCTAGCGGCCGAAGCAGACGTCCGTCATCTGGCCTCACGATCAAAAACGCTTCCGGCCATGTGAGCCTCGTCTGCGCTTCGACGAAATTTCCCGTTCGCAGAACTTGTCCGAGATGGAAATATACATTTGCCCTTCCGGGAGCGGCGGCAACCGCAGCGCCACCTTCCCTCCACTTGGGCTTGCATATCGACCGAAATTTTCTCAGCATCTGACAGCTGACTTGTGAGACTATCGAGTAGAATCAGGTTGAATGACGTTTTGTCGCCATAAAATGATGCGTGAATTTTTCGAGCATCTTCCGTTCTGAAGACCGCTCCGGAAGACGCCAAGCTCAAATCTCATCGGTAAAACGGTGACTTAGCTGACAGCCACACTCACACCGCCCCGAGCAACGTATTCGCCATATGCACACCAGGATAGTCTCGTCGTCTCGACTATCCTGATGTGTACGGCGAATACCTTCAAAAAAAAAGGAGTTGGACTTAAGTACGTCTAGAGTTTGCTGAATGCTTGCGAGAAGCTGGCCTCACTATCGCTCTGGTATGCATCAAGACTCCCCTGCATCGGCTTCTTTAGATCAATGCTTCATAACCGCGGGGCGATCCAAATATGACGGGTATTTCGTTGTTCTGCCCCGCCAACGTGCTTCCCCCTCACTCAATAACCACCTGCCGCCGCTTCCAAGGATAGCTTTCTCCTCTCCCGGGTGCTGACAAGCAGGGATAAAAAAGAGAGGAGTCCGCGGAAACAATGAGTCCCATCGTTGCGAAGAAACCCAAGATGTCAAGCCTAGAAAACTTGAAGAAACTTACGGTGGTGGTTGCCGACACCGGCGACTTCGAAGGTGAGCTCGCCGACGTAATCAAGTCGTTCTGAATTGGCCAGAAATAATTTGCAGAGTCGGCATTCTTCCCCTGTTCTTGCAGCAGTGGACGAACTGATGCCATGAATGTAGCCGAAGTTTGTGACACCGAATAATTCTCGTACGAAACCCTGAGCCGGTCCTGGAGCGGCGCTCGTGTTTCGAAACAGCTGAGATCCGGGGGAGGTCTCCTCGCCCGAGTGCTCGGCCCATTGGCTCTCCACTGACTCGGAGCGCGCAAGACTCGAAGCTTAGTGGTGTGATTTTGTCGAAGATGTGTTATGAATGAGCTGACGAGCCATGATTGCTCCGGGGCGCGTGTTTTTTCTGCTTCGAGGTGACCCCGGGACGCGTCGATACAATCATAGGATCGATTATCTCGCGCTTTCGGTCGGTCTGTCGAGGGAAGGTCAGTTGTTGGCCGTGCCACTTCCGTCGGGATGGGAGCCGGAACTGGACCCCGATCGCAGTCTGGTCTTCAGTGAGATGGTGTCGGCCAGCTTGGTGAAATCGATCGGATCCTTGAGTGACTGCCGGAAGTTGCAGCCCCTAGCGAATAGCATTGACATCAGCGCCGAGAAGAAAGCCACTTGGGGACAGACATATAATCTTTCCCTCTCGCACGAAAACGTTGAGTGTACTACATATTCGTTTGAAAGTCAGGAATTCTGCAGAAAGTTATCAACGACTGGTCGCCTCACCTAAATCAAACTCTTCCTCTGAATGAAGAGAATCATCACTCGGATGTGAATCGATTTGAATTCCCACCTAGTGAAACAGGCGAAGATCCAGAAGTCGATCGCGATAGTATGCCTCGAGCGGGCTCGTTGTTGTGTCTAATCAGAGGCTCACAGATTGGCTCCGCGCGATTTTCGCCGTCGCGTGAAGCTCCCGGGCTCTATTCCTTCGTAGTCCCTTTGGTCTTCCTCACTAACTAAGCTCGAAAGGCATCGCGTAGATATAATTGCTTGCGGGCGCCCACACTGGAACGACGGCTACAAAACGGATCTCTCTCCACAGCGATGCGAGAATACAAACCAACGGATGCTACGACAAACCCATCATTGATCTTGCAAGCAGCTAAGCTCCCCCAGTATGCAACCCTCATCGACGAAGCTGTTGCGTACGGCAAGTCGAGAGGCAGATCGCCGAGTCAACAGCTTGAAGAGGCCATGGACAAATTATTCGTACTTTTTGGGAACGAAATTCTCAAGATAGTCCCCGGACGGGTGTCGACCGAAGTCGACGCTCGACTCTCTTTCGACAAGGAGGCCTCCATCACCAAGGCTCTCAAGCTTATCGGACTTTACAAAGAGCTGGGAGTCGACAAGGAGCGCATTCTCATCAAGTTGGCTTCTACTTGGGAAGGCATAGAGGCTGCGAGGGTTCTTGAGAAGAATCATGGGATTCACTGCAACATGACTCTCCTGTTCAATTTCACACAGGTTCGTGGGAGCATCTTCCGAACATCTATGTGAGCCTTGTCCCCAACCCCGTCCCTAACCGCCCCCGAGAAGACTCAGAGACTTGAGCAGATTCCTGACATTTTCTAGGCTGTCGCATGCGCGGAGGCCGGAGCGACTCTCATTTCTCCATTCGTCGGACGGATCCTTGATTGGCATGTGGCTAATACAGACAAGAAATCATTCGAACCCCTCGAGGACCCCGGAGTGAAGAGCGTCACGAAAATCTATAATTACTACAAGAAGTTTGGTCACAAAACAGTCGTCATGGGAGCCTCGTTCAGAAATATCGGGGAAGTGAAGGCTCTCGCCGGTTGTGATCTCTTGACGATAAGTCCTAAGTTACTCAAAGAGTTGGCGGACTCTTCCGATGATGTGCCGCAACATCTCAGCGCAGACAAAGGTGAGAGCTAGACTGTCAATTCCAAGGATTGCGAATTCCGAAACGACTCCCATGGTATACGAGAGTCTCAGAGCTGACCTGACCGCAATTTCAGCTAAAAATCTTGACATGGAGGAAGTTCCGGCGGACGAGAAACACTTCAGATGGGACATGAATGAGGATAAGATGGCGAATGATAAATTGTCCGAAGGAATCAGGAACTTCGCGGCTGATTCTCGTAAACTGGAAGCCCTCATCCAAGAAAAGCTCAAACTTTGAATTCTCGTCGCGCGGAACGGAGCTCCCTTCCTTCAACGCGGATGCCCTAGTAAAGGCACGATCGGTTCTGGGAGGGCGTGCATCTCTGGAGAGAAGCCTCAGGGAAATTTCTTGTAAATCCGCGTGTTCGACGCTTCGGAGAGCAATCGCATGTGGATTTGCTAGAAAATTGACATCGGTGCTCCAATAAAGGTCGGAACGATGATTTTTGTAATCCAGCGAAAGATTTTCATTTTGTTACGATAAGTCAGATGGCTCAATGAGCCGCGGACTTGAGATCCATTTTCAACCTGGAAACGCGGGGTCAGGCGGGTCATACGCCGATATCGTTTGGAATCAGTCGCGTGTCAGCAGCTCTCGCCGAGCTTGTCAATCCCGGCGATGGCGTCTTCGGCCTCCACTTCGCGATTCTCAAGATAGTAAAAAGGTACTTTAGTCCATTTCTTGAACATCGGCTGAGCTCTGATCGTGTGTCTACCGTCCATATATTTCCGAAGCACCTGGAAATCAATGAATGACTGTCTCATTACTGGGTATCTCATATGCATGCGCAGCGAGGGTTAGGAATTTTGGCGCAGCAAAGGCTCATATTCTCCATGATGGAAGGAAGCTGCCCAAGCACGGCTTCATACCTCGGGCACACAGATCTTATCCTGAGTCGAATGAGTTTCTCCGATGGCCAGCAGCATTCGAGGGATCGCACAGGCCGTGCCGTTGACCGTATGCACATATTTACCCTGGTGGGTGATTCCGAGGCGACTCGACTGGAAGTCGGTGCAATCCGATGTCGAAGATATTTCACCTGTGTCAGAAATTCAGTCTATATCATCTCCCCGCTCATGAAATGAGTTCATTGAACGCTGTCTATGGATCATTTAGAGAGCTCACTCGGAGGAGCTTACCGTAGAAGTTGTGACCGCTCATCCACGCCTCGATATCGATTTTTCTGAAAGCGGGTCTGCCGAGGTCGATGGGGGGCATGTCCAGAACTTTATAATGTAGACCGAGCTCCCGGAACAAGGATTTCTCGATCTCTGCGAATTCCCCCTGTAGGTCCTGGCTCGCTTTGAGGTCCGCCTCGGTGAAGCCGAACATCTCAATCTTGGTGAACTGATGAACTCGATACAACCCTTTCTCTTCTTTCAAGCGCGAGACCTCCGCCCTGAAGCAGCGGCTCACGGCTCCGAGTCTGAGTGGAAGCTCACAATTTTCTGCAAGCAAAACATAAGCCTTCAACACGGATCTCTTCCCTGTTTGACCCCCGTTTCTATTAGAAATCGCGGTCAATGCCAGGAACTCACCGAACGCTTTGTCTCGGAATAAGTTCGCCAAGGCGATTTCTGCGGTTCCAGAGAGACAGAGTTTTCTTTGTTTGCCCAGCTTCACTCGATATACTTGGCTTCTTTGACCGAAGGGCTGCATTCCGCACGCCTCGACTTCATCGGCCGAGATGAGATCCGGAACCGAGATAATTTTGAAGTCGAGCTTCTTCAACCTCTCCACGGTGAAAGTGACAAGAGCTCGCTCTAATCGAGCCAAATCACCGGTCAGGAAATAAGCGCGTTCACCGCATATTGTCGTATAGGCACGATTCTGAAGCAAAACTCCGTGACTTCGCGCGCTCTCATCCATTGGTTTCTTGATTCCGGTCTTCTGACCGAACTCTTCGAGTTCGTTCGGAGATGTCGCGTTCACAACTGATTCATGGGTAAAATTAGGCAGTGCTCTTAGGAGTTTCATGAGTTCTTCGGACGATGGATCCGCTCGCAAGAGATTCAATATCCGATCGGCGTCGATTTTGACCTTCCTCATCTTCAGGTTTTGTCTGAAGCCATCGGGATCGCGTGTGATCCGATCCACTACTGCTTCAGAATTGAAGGAGCGTCTCGAACAAAACAATCGGAGAGGATACGCCATCTGAAAGGCGGTTGTCTTCAGCCGGTCATCTCAGCTCTTTGCCGCGGATCTCTTCAGTTCCCATGAGCATGCTCGAGAGATCTACAGTGAACGGTCGAAACGCCGGAATCTACTCGAAGCTCTCGAGAGGAGGTCTCACCGGTGCGTGGGTCGAAGAGATCTCAATGACTCGTATAGATCACGTACCTTGCGGAAGATTAGCGGCATTCTCGCAGATAGAGTCCTGATTCAGAAGGAAGAACACATGACATCTCAAAGGTTTCCTCACGGCAGATGAAGCCTCACAGCTGAGCGCCCGGGAGAGTCGGCATAGTATGGTCCTTGTGCGCGAACGCAATCAGCTGGTCGCAAATTTGAATATTGGCGCCTTCTTGATCGGAATAGTCAGGGTGAATATTCGGATCACTGAAAGTAAATTGCGTTGAGGTCCTCTGAGCCCAAGTGTCTGGACTGAATATGAGCAGATCCGATTCCCTTCGAGATGCCTCGAACCAAGGGCGCATCCATCCATTCAAGAGTGACGCATTCGAAACAGCCCGCGTTTGAAATCCCGGCAGCGGAGCTTGTGTCTTTGACGAGTGACGAGCGCCTCTGCAACCGGTCGATCGCCCAAACAGATCGCGCTCGGTACTCGGTACGCTCAAGACTCGGGATTTATCGGGTCTGACACACTGAGCGAAATGGTCTGACCAGGGTTCGAGGCAGAAAGTCTGCGGAGCCGGCTTGAATAGCAGATGACGGAAGATTGTGACTAGCGACGAAACTCTTCTCCGAAATAAATAGAATCTCTGAGCACCCCACAGCGATACTTTTTCTCTTTTTCCCTTACTCAGGTTCAGTCTGAGATTCGAATCAGGCTCTGCGTCATCTAGCCAAAGTCCTGGCCGTCGTCCGCGTATCAGGAGGAATGGTTTAGATCAGCACAGCCTGCCAAGTAAGCTCATTGGTATTTGGTTTCATCTTATTTCAGTCCGGGAAATTCAGGCAGTGGATGCCGATCGGCGGTATCCTTTTCCCATACAGATCTAGGAGATTCAAGTAATGAGTATGAATCTCGATACCGCTTACCCTTGGACCCGCGGCCGAGTCTTTTATTCAAGTCTTTGACCGACCTCGCCTCCATGAGCTCAACCACTCCGCGAGCGACAGTCTTGAGAAGCGGCTGGCATCTCATGGTCGAGCCCACCTGGGGATGCTCTTTTGACGGTATTCCGAAGACCCATCTCTCGTATAAATGTCGTGAAGCGTCACAGCGAACACCGATCAATCGGTTCCTACATTGTGATCTCCGTGCTCGTCGAACATCGCAGGCGCCGCGCACAAGCAATCCTTCGAAACTCGAAACCTTGGCTGGTGGCGATAGCTAGATCGGCCAGTTTTATGAATCCGTCGCGGAGGAGAAAGCGAGTTCCTCGGCTGAACATGGCAGTGCTCAATGCGTCCTATGTGGAGGTCTCCAAGCGCCGATATGATCTATCTGTACAGCCAGGAGCTTGACCACGGCGTAATCCGTAAGGAACAAAGGGTAAGTCGAGATGTATAAATTGTCCTCGTCAAACTCACTTTGGAAGACCTTCCCCTCTGTCCTCAGGGTTTTCAGGTGAGCAATTTGACGCGAGTCCGAGGGTAAATACCACGTCATAATCGACGACTTTCGAGCTATTCGCGAGGGCTCTGAACGTAATCTATGTGTTCTATACAGGCCCGAGTAGGGCGGGGGGTTGAGCCTCAATTTTCTCCCTGGACCTGAGTTCCTAGAGGGGTCTAGGCATTTTGTCAAGAGTTCTCTTTAAGATACGAAGTTTGACACGGAATTTCTCTCCTTGGCCCTGATTATACAATCCAATCTGGCTCGCAGCAAAGCGGTCGTCTAGACTAAAACAGCAGTTTTTGGAAATACGCGAGAATTCCGAGGGCCAGAAGGAGTTTCCTGCGATGTCTGCTTTAAAGTCTCGAGCGTATACTATGTACAGAGTGAGTCGAGCAGTAGGTCCGAGGAGAGTAAGTCCCTATATCCACGGGAATCATATAGGCTCGCCAAATGAAGCGACTGCATGATTGAGAGACGATGACGAGACGATGCCGAAGCACCAACTCAAAGCAGACGAAGAGAATTCTCTAATGCGAACAAGATCATCTGGCCCAGAATTCGGCATAATCTCGCATTATTGCAGCGGAAATTCGTCGCTTGGTTTCGGAGGTCCTTCCTGCCTGAATTCCGCAGGTGGTCGAGAATTCATGGATACGCAGTTAGAAATAGGGGAGTCCATGGTAAAGTGCTTGAAGATGAATTTATTCGAATCCTTCACGTGAGACCCTTCTTCGTGAATGCCCATTCAATCGAACATGTCCCTAAATATGAGCATGGATTTCCGATTAGAGCCTGAAGGATTCACGGTATACGCATGCGAGCAATCTTCTTATCGAGGACCGCGGAGATCACGAGCGGCAACATTGTGGAAATTTCACAGATGCTCATGAAGAGACGTGGCACTCGAGGCTGCTTGAATTGGAAATGATTTCATTGGCTCCGGGACCCCGTCGCCTGGTCGCTCGCGAGTCGCGAGCGGCTTCCGACGGTAAAGAAATTCATCCTGAGTTCTCATTGTAGCGTTTGTTCCCAATCCTTCGGTTTCATCGCCGATCCTTGAATAATTTGAGCATTATGCGCAGGGTTCCTCCGAGACGAGGCGAGCTCCTTTGGATAGAGCTGCTTTTTCCTCCATCATGGCGCATGGCGTCGAAAACACCGTCCTTAAGCTAGGAATCCGTCCATAGAAATATCCATTCCCCATACCAGCCGAAGCTCTGACCCGTGAGCTAGAAATCAGCTATCCTGCATGTTTTTGTGAGTCTTAATCGAGTGCTTCCGGTGTCTAGACGGAGACCCCCTTCGTTGGTATTCCTGAAATGTTGAACAGCGTGAGCTCCTCCTCGATCACATATCTGTCCTCGCATAGATTTTGAAAGTATATCTCGGCTCCCCGTATGCGATCGCTGTGCTCAACACGAGCCTTTCGATCTCTCTTCCGAAGAGTACATACCTCTGTACTCGGATGAGTCGTGCGAGAGGATCGACTCCAACCACATTCGGGGTGAAAGTTGGGAATCGATGGAAATTTGGACAATCATTGTGTCTGGAGCACGCTCTGAGTACCTTCTCCTCGGGCGTAACTCGTCGTCTGGCGAAGGGCGGCCGCAGGTGCGTCAGGCTCCCCGCTGGCCAACAAAGAATCGGGGGCTGTATGATGATCAGACTCCACGTAACATCAGATCCCACGCAAGGGGGAATTCTTCCACTGAACTCCTGGGCGATGAGAATCGTTGCTTCCATCCAGACGGTGAGGAGATGAGAGCTGGGAGATATGCCTTGATCTCGGCGGGAACGGGATTGCTCTGCTAGTCGAACAAACAGGCGAAGTGCCATGAGGTACCTCGATTCTGCCGATAACCGGGACGGCTCTATCAAGGAGGCAACTGTCGATGATTCGTTCCTAATCCTGTAAATCGATCCGGAGCAGCAGTAGAGATTGTCTGAGCGAGTCCTGATGCGCCAACCACAAGAACGGTGCCAGGGTTGCCTGAAATATCCCCGGTGGTTCTGATCAGTCGGAGCGTCATTCCCGAGCCTATCGAGCGCTTCATGTATTGTATCTTACTTCATAAAAATATGGCCTGACCTGGAATAGCATGCTATTACGCCAGAAGGTAACAATGATCGTGACTTCAGTCTTTTCCCCCATCTGCTTAGTTTTCACCGTCAGCACGGGTCGCAGCCAAGGTGAACTACCGAATAGCCGGAACACCTTGCCTTCCGAATGATCTATTACTCTGAAGGTGTTTTTGATATCACCTGGAACGTTCCGAGTTCAGTCTCGTGCCGAGGAAAAAGAACGGAGATCGCTGAATTCCTCGGGCTTCGGTACCCAAAAAGAAATCTTATTATTTGCCGAGCAGGTATTCCGGAAACTGAAGCTCGGCCTCCTCTTCACCCACCATAGATTGGTATTGAGAAATGAGAGATGAAAAGCGTATTTTTGGCCACCGGCTTGCTCTCGTCCACCTGATGCACCGAGTCGACGAAAGGGAGAAACTGGAAACATGGTTTCGTCGTGATCTTTCTGCGTGGACTTCGCAGTCTCAAAGCATAACCCGCGCTCAAGTGCTTCATCAATGTAATTTGTCATGAGCCAAAAATCTTACCTTGGCTATCCATTGCTCCGATGTCGCCGCTGTGAATACGTCGTCTCTATTCCGGTTTACGACTAAGGTTTCCTGTTCAGATTCAGCGCTTACACAACAATCGTTCCCGGCTCTCTCATCGATGGGACCGCTCATGGACACCACGCCGAGGAACGGCACCTCGAGCACCGATTTCTAAACATTCGAATATAATACTAACCTGTATACTCCAAGCGTACGGCTTCTCTATTTGGTAAACAATGGACAGCGCAGCGCCCACTACGAAAATCAGCGCCCTACCGCGATACGTCTGCAAGGCATGACGAGAAAATTATCCTCAAAGCTTGAATATAAGCCCGTTTCGCCGGTTCTCGGTCATTGCCCCTAAAAGATCCGGCTATGCTCGGAGGTCTGATCTGGGGACTCACCGCGATGAAGTCCATGATTCTGAGATGATACAGAGAGGATTCGCGCTGGAGAGCCCACTAGGAACACTATGGAACTGACCCGATCGCTAGCGCGGACGCCGAGGTTTTGCCACCGAGGCACTTCGCGGTCCTTTGAGCACGAGAGGGCAGGAGGGCAATGGGGCAATCTCTTGGCAACGCGACAAAACATTCGCGTGCTGTCCATCAGAGTAGGGCTTCCGTGCTGTCTAAGCGGAGATCTCTGAACGGAGACAAAGGCTCGCTCCATTGCTCCAAGTCTCACGCCCGGCCTCGTCGTAGCTCTCGCAGTGCTTGCTTAGAGTCGGGACTCGCTCAGAGTTGATGGCGGTTTCCCGCACATTAAGGACAGGTATACGATTACCAAGTACTCCTAGTCTCGTATGTTGGTCGGAATCGCTCCTCGATCGACTTTGTGGTGACTTTTCTCTAGCTGAGCGGCCACATGAATTGTGAGCGACCACCCGATAGAGCCTCTGATAAAGTCTCTCCATCTGAGTGAGCATCTTTCGACTGCGTTGACCTCTGCAATCCCCACCCTCCCCTTGCGGGGCAACGACGTCTCACTTTGCACCGGAGATTGCTACGCCGTCGGGGGCAGACCTCGTTGGCAGGTCGCGTGACCTCTGGTGGGGATTTTTTCAATGTTGTGGGAGACGATGAACTCACACTAAAGTTCTTCCATATCGCTCCCACCGGAGTGATGAGTTCACTGCGTGGCTCCGCATCTCGATGACGGGATCGGTTGTGGGCACATCCCCACTCTATCACGTCATATCCGACGTCTATCAACGGGAAAGTATTACTTCTACCACTCTCGTACTCTGGAGTGCACCCAAAGCTCTGCGTACGACGCCGAAGGTGATGATTGAAGACTCGTGCCTGAGGGCGGTTCACAGGATTTATTTCAAACCCTCAGAGAGACACTCTCGCCTCCATTTAGCGTAATAATGACAGAAGTGACAGTAATTGTCCTCGTTCCATAAATATCTTTCAAGATCGGTAAAATAGATTCACTCTTGAGTCGCATATAGCGCTCTTGTCTTCTTAAGAGACCGACGCCGTGTCTGGACAACCATGAGAGAAACGATTGCATTCAGTGAAGTTCATTTTTTTAATCCGCTCCGCAACTCATGACTTGCCTCCTATACGAGAGGTCCCCGAACTCGTTTGGAACTCCACGTATCCGAGCTGGGACTGTCTCGCAACTTCAACGATTGGCGGACGAAGAGACAGATAAACTCTGGAAGTAATCATCAGTATGGGAAATAGACGGTCTCGCCAGCTACGGCAAGGTACCGGGAGCCACAACGAGATCTCGAGAGGGAATATACTTGGAAGGATTCGAGAAGCAGTTCTAACTTGGATCCAAGGTTGACAAAAGACTCGGGTTCATTTTTTCTCTCTCTCGTTCTCTATTCGTAATAAAGATACTCTCGTTCGTCGCATCGTGATTGTGTATCGTTAGCGTCTACTGCCGAGCGTTATCCGCTTACTACAGCCGTAACGCCGTCGCCGAAGACGACAAAGGCGGATCTTCTTCAGCCCGCTAGATCATAGGCCGATTCCTTCTAAAACTACATAGTTCGCGAGTGCCCCTTGTGACAGAAAATAATCTGCAGGTCGGACCGGCCATCTTTGATTCCTCTACTTGAGAGGTTCCTCAGCCACGATGGGCTTTTCTTCCTGTGCGGGAGTTGGGGCAGCGGACCCATCCCCATTGAAGCTGTACAGACTGTTGCTACGCGACGAGATGCTCGATCTGCGGGAAGGATATTCAGTGATTAGAGGCCCATTCCGCGAATCAGAGACAGTTAGAACGTCACAATTATACATGGAGTGCCCCGAGCAGACCCGGGCCGGTAAACAATATCCGGACCAATCTAAACTGAATTGAAGGTCAAAGGCAGGTTTACTCACCGAACATTGGTGTAGGCAGAGCCCATGCGCTCTTCGATCGAACGGTAGGTTGGCGAATTCTTCATTTCTCCGATCTTGCGGCCGATACTTCCGAACAGCTGAGTGGTTTTCTCGCTGGCGACCTTCACAACGTCTGTGGTCTTTTGATAGCTGAAATCGGGGGAAGAATCTCATTGGGGTGGCGTTCTTGCCTGAACCGCAAGATGTACGGGATCAGGGGCATACTGCCGATAAGCTCTTGACTTTCGAACTCACGCCTGTGTGTCTTGAATATTCTTGAAGGACTGCTCAATATCGCTTTTGAGCTCGCTAAGTGGACTGATTCCGAGTTTTCTGCGGATCTCCTGAGCTTTCTCCTGCTTCGACAGCAGCACAGCTCTGAGGGTCTCCATCTCTCTCTCAAGCTCGGCCAGCTGAGCCCGGAGCTCTTCTTGCTCCAGGGCATTAGCTGCACCCGAGGATTCAGTCGCAGCTGTGAAGAGAAGACACAATTAGATATCGTCTAGCTAGAAATCCGCTGATCAGATGACATTCAATGGTGATTCGCTTCGATGGTGCTATTCCGCAATTCATGCGGGACAGCTTGTCAGAATGAATATTTCTGGCCATTCTTGACAGGTATAGCGGAGCGATCTCTCAATGCACTTGTTCTGGATTCGGAGTTCGACCCAGACAAACGATGACATTGGCAGAGCTGTCCCATCATGCCTCCTGGGGGACAGTTGTTGATCACAGACCACGGATCCCGTTCCCGTCGCTGCCTCTGGCGACTTTTTTTCGTAAGATGCCGAAATCTTCAACCAGCTTCGAAACAGGCAGAACCATCGACGACCCTCATCGACTCTCTTGATTCCCCGCTCCAAGCGAGGCAAAAATCGTGAGCCTGCGGAACACGCTCGGCCGCTGCCTACTTTCGAACATCTCGTCGATCATGAGGTCATCTCAGCTTGAAGTGGAGCTTCCCGCACCCATATGATCGATATTGAGCGGTCTCGGTACCACTTCCTCGAGTCGCTCGGCGGGATCGTTCCACTAATTAGAGAAATCCACAACAAATCACGGTTCACCGTACTCATCATTGCACATTGACTGTCTCTTAGAGCGCGCGGCCGCTCTGACTACTCTCAACGAGCGGCTGTCCCGGGAAAGATCGATGCTTCCTCGCCGTCAGCCATTCGCATCACCGGCTGCTCTCGCTACCACAAGTAGGAGGATAGGCGCCCTCCTTAACGGTGAAATTCGGCACGTCCGTCTTATATCGCGAACTTAGCACAAATCCAGCTCACTCGCGACTTGAGGATGTTGAGGGTCGAATTGCCTGTCAAGGTATCGCGAGACCAGGATTTTCGGCGGCAAGTTCTTCCACTCAGAGATCGCATCAAGGAGTCTCCCTGAGGCGGACGGGTCGGTTTTGGCAAAGAAAGGCATCACAGCGACGGCACCGGAAGACTCTCTGCCTCGATCCACAGGAATAGCTCGCACCGATGTTTCTTCGAGTCTTTGATGTGATAGATGTGATCTCTCCCTCGACGCATCTTCGAGAAATCAAGTTGACCGCGGAAGGAGTCTGCCCTCAGTTAGCGCTTGTCTCCCGCCTATCCGTCGGCAGTGAACTGACAGCAGGATCCCTCCGAGACGTCTGGCCTATCGAGCTCCGGAAGCATCTTTGATTCATAAGGAGATCTATTTAAGATCACTTCTGGCAATTCCTCGGGCTTCCGCTTCGGGAGCAACTGAATTCCGGTTTGAAGACTGGGAACCGACTCCTCAAATCCGGCGTCGATTATATTGATTTGTTTTCGGCGCAGCATCCTTGCCACTTGAGAGGTTCATCCTTTGAGAGCGCATTAAAGAGATGAACCCGGAACTTTCGATCGGGGAGCGCTTGCGCGGCATCAGCTCTAAAAAGCCTATGACTCGACGGCGGGGAACAGACAAAACAAATTTGCAGTCCGATTACGGATCGTGAAGCCATCGAGCAGATGTTTCGACCGATGCCTACTGCTTCGGGGATCGCTGAGAGGACCAGAGGATCAGGGCAGAGGACTCGTTTTGAGAGCCCGCCAGGTATGCGTTTGGGCCAGTCTCACCGTAGGGAGTACAGCAAATCCCAGGCGACGCGCTCACAGCGAACACTGGAATCGATCGCGCTTGGAATTCGATCAACGCGCACAGCTGTTGCACGATATTCCTTTGCGGAATAAAACTCCTTCACTTGAGTGACTCAAAGGTAGTGGAGATTTCTATATCGGGTTGTTGGTCGAATAGAGTCATGAATGATGAGATGAACAAACGCGGTCTAGCCCAATACTTCGATCCCGCCCACAGAACATCGCGAGCCGGCATCGAGGGCACGGAACCGTAGACGTAACGGTCACAATGGCATCAAGCAGCCACGTAAGTACGACTTCATGTCAAATAGAACCGGATCGAGTTCTAATTAGAAGACTCAGGAGCCAGAGGTTGTCAGTGTCGTATCCTGAAAGCTCGTCGATCGCCATGAAAACTAAGTTCGCAACGATTATAGACGAAGGAGACCTCCGGCCCCTCAAGCCGGAATTGACGACCACAGAATTAACCAGAAATCTGTGCGCTTACTTGGCGAATTCAATTCAGCTGGATGTTCTGCAGCGCCCGACATGTTGCCTTCTCAGTAAGAGATGTGGAAGAGGAATTTTATCGCCGGGCTGACGTAGACCAAGAACCGCTGTGTTTTCGATCGTTCTCTACACAGAACCCAACAAATATGCGACTACCAACAACTTGAGTCAGTCAGTCAGCAGTCAGCAGCAGCCCGACCCGCAGCAGCAGCAGACAACTGGTAGACACGAGTCAAGTGGGTGTGTGGGATTGTTCAAACTTCAACCGCGGCCGTTCTCTTCTGCATTGCGGAGAAAGAGAGGATAGAGGATCCGGGCTGCGATCGCGGAATATGCCCAAGCATCCCTTTCGAGGATCCGCTGAGGTATCCCGTGGACTGGCCGTCAGGAGATACCGGAGTCCGCAACAGGTGACAAGATTCCCGCGAGAATAAAGTTCCCAGGTCGCTCCATGGGCGGGGCATTGACGAAATGGTGGCCTCTGCCAGCGTGTGGAATGTCTCGATAAAGACAAACGGCAGCCAGTCTCAAGCCAGGCGCTCCGAAGAACCTCTGGGCCCGATCTCATGAGAAGACTTTCACGATAGGCGTTCCGGAAACGATTTTTCTCCCTTGGCGTTTTATGCTTGCGCGTGACGCGCGGACTATCATCGGAGAACTTCCGAGAATTGCGCGAAACCAGTCGCAATCGTGCGCCGTTCTCGCTGTGTGAGTGGAAGCCTAAAGCTATCTGTGTACACAAAAGGAGATTTCGATGTCGATCGAATTAGGTACAAGGATCCCGGCACAGAATTCTGACAACGGGTTCTCCGATGTCTTCATTCGGTAGCTCGAGCTGAGGTTTGCTGATTGGAAAGCTCGCGGAGAAGGGTTGCACCGGAGCGCTACCAGGGTCCGCAAGCTCTGGAATTAGAGCCCGGTTTTCGATGTGGAGGTCTTTAAGGGTTTTTAGCAGCCGCGCGGATGCCGAGGAGGGAAGGATATTTAGAGGCAAGGTTCGTTCGTTGAGCACGATGAACGATCTTCCATTCTAACAACGGAGATACAGTGTTTGTACCAGCCGATCGCCGACAAGATATTCCCGAGTCGGAGCTACGTCATTGGCCTCTCGAGAGTCCTATCCCGACGGAACAGTAGAACGGGACCGCGGATTCAATCGATTGTAAACATTAGATGGTCGCGCTCTGCGGAAGAGGAACGAGTTTCTTCGCCGGGAAAGATGTCATCGAAGGTATGTACGCGGGCATCAAGCACCTCAAACATCGGTCTGTTTCCCTGTCGTATCCTCCCCCGTATGTGCCGGACGATTCCATTCTCGACTTTGGTGCGCGAGAGGCAATATCCCCGTCCGATTGGGTAGGCCGGTGATGAAAGACTGTCTAGCGAATGCGAGGTATATATTGATGGAGCTCAAGCCTGAAATGCTTAGGGGGCTGCGCTGAGCAAGTTCGTCTTCTCCGACGGGTAGTTCTCCAAAGACTCCACGGGCTATTTCGATATCGTAGAGGGAAGCTGGTCGAATCCACTCTGCCCCCCTGACATCCAGTCGCATCGTCGCGTACCGGCGTTATCATCAGCAGCAGCAGCACTGTGTCTCCTTGCCGTAAGCTGCATATTTTGAGTTGGCTTTCCCGTGAGAGTAGGTCCGCGAGCCACTTGACATTGCCGGAGTCCTCGTGAACACCCGGTCACCATGCTGCGAATTTCGTCTCTTCTCCGGAATGCATCCCAGACTTCGAAGGCGCTCCAAGCTGCCTCCGTGCGCCATCTAAATCTGCACGAATACCAATCGAAGCAACTCATGGCCGATGGCGGAGTGACCGTTCAGAGGTTCAAAGTAGCTGACACCTCAGCCCAGGCCCGGGATATCGCACAGAGCGTCAAATACGACGAGTTCGTCGTCAAAGCTCAGGTTCTGGCTGGAGGTAGGGGTAAGGGTACGTTCGACTCAGGCTTGCATGGCGGCGTGAAACTGACGAGAGATCCGGCGCAGGTTGTGGAGTTCGTAGAAAAAATGTTGGGCTACCGGCTCGTGACGAAACAAACTCCTAAAGAAGGTGTCCTCGTCAAGAAGGTCATGATCGCTGAGGCGTTGGACATCAAACGAGAGACGTACCTCGCGATCCTCATGGACCGTACTTTCAACGGACCGGTTGTCGTAGCCTCACCCGCTGGCGGTGTCGACATCGAAGAGGTGGCGGAAAAGACACCTGAACTGATCTTCAAACAACCTGTTGACATCAATAAGGGCTTGACCGACGAGCAAGCGATGTCTATCGCGAAGAATTTGCAATTCGAGGGAAATAACATGAAGGACGCCGCCGAGCAGATAAAGAAACTCTACCAGGTGTTCCGTCGGGTCGACGCCACGATGGTTGAGATCAATCCGTTTGGAGAGACTCCCGATGGCAAAGTCGTTTGCTTTGACGCAAAGATCAACTTCGATGACAACGCACAGTTCCGCCAGAAAGATATTTTCGCCCAGGAAGACCACGCGGAAAGCGACCCTCGTGAAGTCGAAGCCGCCAAATGGAACTTGAATTACATCGGAATGGACGGTAACATCGCTTGTCTAGTCAATGGCGCAGGTCTGGCCATGGCCACGATGGACATCATAAAATTGCACGGAGGCAATCCCGCTAATTTCCTCGACGTCGGTGGATCTGTTGGCGAAGAGCAGGTGGCGGAAGCGTTCAGGATCCTTACGCAAGATCCGAAAGTCAAAGCGATTTTGGTCAACGTTTTCGGAGGCATCGTCAACTGCGCTACAATCGCCAACGGTATCGTAAACGCCTGCAAGAAAATCTCTCTCAGCGTTCCTTTAGTCGTCCGTCTCGAGGGGACCAACGTCGATGCGGCCAAGGAAATATTGTCAAACTCAGGATTGCCCATCCATTCCGCCAATGACCTGGACGATGCGGCCATTAAGGCGGTGGCAAGCCTCCGAGGATGAAGCGTGAAAGCCGCTATGCCTCAACCTGGGACAGCCTGACAGAATTCCGGGAATCAAATCCATTTCCTCCGACGAATCTGCTCGATCAGCACCGTTGATTTTCAAGAGGGTCTCATAGAGATCGATATATTTTTCTGGTCGCGCTCAAACTTTCGGCAATAAACCATATGTAAATATGACATTTTACTCGGATGTTTTCCTCGAGAATTCATGATTTTAACCAATTTCCCCTAGTGAGCCTGCATTACGTGTCTCAATCATGAGTTCCTTCATCTTCCCTAAATCCGCAATCGGAAGAGGATTCGGTTTTCTCTTATGTCTCATGATTCAGTCTCAAGTCTCAAGCTTCCATCATGAGAAGCCCTCCCACTGATAAGATGAGAGACAGAGAGTGGGGCCGATTGTAGCCGATATACGTAGCAAGCTAGCTGGGGGATTTTGGTCAGTAAAGAGCATATGCCGACGTCGAGTACATCCAAATCTTCCCCAGACGATCGAATTCGTTCAGGAATCGCTTCCCGGCATATCGGGGGAGTCCCGCTAAACTAGCTGAAATTCTTTTCTAATTCAAGCTGGCAACAGGTGGAATGAATCATATCAGATATTATTCGCGACGGGTTGTTGTCACTGGTCTGGGAGCATTATCCCCTCTCGGGCGTGACGTTCCGACATCCTGGAGTGCCCTTCTAGATGGGAAAAGTGGAGTCACGTCAACACCATCTGATGCGGGCTTCGAAAAGCTTCCCTGTCGAGTGGCAGCTTTCATAAATAAGCCAGGCGAGCAACCGATTTTCGAAGCGACGCAAGTGGTTTCGACTTCGGAAGTTCGAACTCTGAGCTCAGCCTCCCTGCATGTACTTCAAGCTGCTGAGGAAGCCTTGCAGGTGAGTGCAAAGCTGAGCTGCACCCCGGAACGAAGAAAGAACTCCGCGTCGGGCTCGGTTTCAGGATTCGTTGTTTTTCTAGGACTCCCAGTGGAAACCTTCGACACAAGCGGATCTGGAACGGACTGGTGTAGCGATCGGTATGGCAATGACAGATCTCGATTACATCGTTGACACGGGTCTCGCTTTCCGGGGTGGCGGCCTACGGAAAATTTCCCCGTTTTTCGTTCCGAGAATTCTAACAAACATGGCATCCGGTGCTATCAGTCTCCGATATAAGTTCCAAGGACCCAATCATTCCGTGGCTACAGCGTGTGCTACCGGGATCCACGCCGTCGGGGACGCTTTCCAATTCATCAAATATGGTTCGTGCGATTGCGGCTTCCGATACGAGATTAGTCACGAGCTTCGAACGACGTGGACGAGCTCTAAGATTCCATTGAATTCCCCAGGGAAAGCTGAAGTCATGCTGTGCGGTGGGACCGAGTGTTCGATATCGGCTCTCAGCCTCGCCGGTTTCTGTCGTCTGAGAGCCCTCAGCAGCAAATTCAACGAGACGCCGCACGCTGCTTCGAGACCTTTCGATAAAGATCGGGACGGCTTCATCATGGGCGAAGGAGCGGCTGTTCTCGTCCTCGAAGAATTAGAACACGCAAAAGCGCGTGGGGCCCGAATTCATGGCGAACTTCTCGGCTACGGTCTCGCTGCAGATGCTCATCACATCACGGCCGCATCCGAAGACGGCAGCGGAGCTTATCTATGTATGAGGAACGCTTGTGAGGATGCTGGACTCAATCCCGAACAGGTGGAACATGTCAACGCCCATGCGACATCGACGCCCGGAGGAGACGCGGCGGAGGCTGCTGCGATCAATCGTTTATTCCTGAACGGGGCTCCACCTTTCGTAAGCGCTACCAAGAGCAGTACCGGTCATCTCTTGGGTGCGGCTGGAGCCCTTGAAACAATTTTCGCAGTTAAGGCTGTTTCGGAAGGCCAGGTACCTCCGACGCTCAACGCAGACGTCATCGATGAGAAATGCAAAGGCATCAACCTACATCGTACGGCAACCCCGTGGCAATCGAAACAGCGACGAATCGCTTTGAAGAATTCTTTCGGTTTCGGCGGAACGAACGCAACCTTGATCGTCGGTCAATATTAGTTATTTGGTCAATGGCACCGAACCCGGAACAAACACCGTTCGTCATACGGGAACGACTGTCGTGCTCCCATCGCGAAGAAGATTGGGATGCTCCCAGTCAGCGGTCTGTCCCTAAACTTCTATCGTATAGAACAGAATTCCCTCGGGAGAGAACTTCCGGGGGAGCGCCGACCCCTCTGCTTCGACTTATTGTACGATCCCAGCAGTCGAAGTCTGCTTTCGCGAAAGCTGAGACTCGGCTCCAGTGAACGGGATTCGGAATGAGCTCTCCGGTTTTGGAGCGAGAATCCCCCCTCCTGGCATCCACGTGGTTCGCTCGTAATATTTGGAATAATTAAAGCTACCCTGTCAATCTGGAGGTTTGACTATAGCGGATTGAAAGAAAAACTGGAATATGAGTCCTGTGGAGAAGCTGACAGTCACCTTGTCTGACCTATTGATCTCTTCGCTGACTGGGCATCTCTGACAGGGGAGGGGGGGCGTCGTGACGCATTGCGAGTCGGAATAGGCCAGGATACCGTGAGAATCTGGATTCATTCATATGTGTTTGGATTTCACTTATTATTAGTTGGAGGAAGTTTTTCGGCGTTCCTTGAGAGAAGCGGTCTGATCCTACTCTGAATCAGTTCCTGCACAGCATCCGCAGCTCAACAAATGTGCGTACCCACAACCACGCTGTTAGCGACCTCATTGGGGTCATCACTCCGGTGAGAACACGCGAGAGCAATGTCGGAAGCCTCCAATATTTCTTGTCCGCTGCGAGACGTTGTCAATCGAGCGTCTCCAAGCCTGATTGCGCACCTGGGCAATCTTGATAGATATAGGGATCCCTTCTTCATATGGACCCTCTTTCCCCTGAGCACCTCTTTCCACCCAGGCTCTTTCCGCCCGCGCGATTCTTCGACAGTGTAGTTGTCTCAGTGGCTCTCAATGTTTTGTGTTGACGACCATAAGTTCTCTTGTTCGCTCAACTTGCGGTGGAATACCCCGTCGGGGATGCGTATGCCTAAGTGAATGTTTGACGACTACTATCAGCGACGGTGGAGCGGCTGTTAAATACAAGCACGTGAATATCCATCATTATCCATGTGATTTCCGAACACTAGAAATTTTTCCCCGGGGGTAAGATGTGGCGATTCTATCCGACTCTCCTCTTGATGGCGATGGCGTCCCCTGTGCAAAGTGCTTCCCTGGAGCGGACGCCTCCAGGTCAGGATGCCGTGAGCGATAATCCCCGGGAATGTGTTGTCGAAACCCCTTTGAGAATAAACCAGGGCCTCGTCATACGAGACAAGATGCCCGCCGGTTTCGATCCGTCGAAGCCGTGTCGAACAACTCTGAGGAGCCCCGAAGGGAAGCTGCTCAAGGCGAAACTTGATCTCGCATTCCTCAACGGGAATCGAGACTTCGTGCAAATTACGGCGAATCGAAACATGTGGTACATCTACAAAACGTGTGCTCCTTGTCACGAAGAAGTGATAGAGAGTCCTGAGATCACCATTGAATTTCTACTCACAAACAGCTCCAAGTTCCAATTAAGGTATTCGACGAACGATGGCGCATGTCCGTTCCTGAGGATCGTTCCTCCTCTAGTCATCAAGACACAGAGCAGCATAACGAGAAAAATCGGCTCGGTAAGTGTTTCCTTTCCGGTAGGTATGCATGATCTATAATTGTCGGCGCGATTGATCTCGTCCAGCGCGCACCAAGCGTGTACGACTTCACTCATTCAGGATACGCGCATCGCATGTGAGCTCCTCCGAGTACTCTGTATATTCCTATTTGCAGAAGTACCAATTCGGCTGCTTGACCACGAAGGATTACAGACTGATCGGCAAGAACCAGATTTTCTGCGAAGTTTCACCCAATGGCACAGCGACTTGGAGTGCGCCCCTCCCGACATGCCAAACGATCTCAAATTGCCCGAAATTGGAGAAAACTTCCGATGTTTCCGGTCACTTGTCTCTGCGGCACCAACAGGACGAAAACTATCACTGCAGCTGGCTCATCGACGCCTCGAGACTCGACGCGAGCTTCATCGAGTTCGTCCCCAGATACGAATGGCTTGATCTCGGTCATTGGGAAGGCGTCGGGAGGCATCGCGGATTGGCTTTCTACGACGGGGAGGGTCGCTTGAAAGTGGACAGTGGAGTCGGGCTCCGCTATAGAACTAGAGATCCGAAATTGAAAATATATTTCAACCTTTCTGCGAAGGAAGCTGCACCCAACGCGTCGTTTACGATCGAGTACGAAATCGGGAGAAAATCTTGCCCCACAATCGATGAGGAGGCGTTCCCGTTCGGGAGCATAACCCTGACGAATTCCTTCTTCGTGGGATCGAGTGCCAAATTCGAATGCGCTCCCGGATACCATATGCGGGGGAAACCTGGAGCTCTGTGCTTGAAGAGTGGAGACTGGAACTTCCAGTCGATGCCGGAATGCGTGCCCTTGAGTGCCGAGATTAATAACGACCTCAACGTTCTGACCGTCACTACCGAGGTGAGTGGAGTATCTTTCTTCTTTCTCCCTACAGGAAATTCTCTACGTGGTACTCGTATGGAGACTCCAGCTGTCGTCCGCTCTAATCGGAGTTCTGGAAGGGCTCGCCAGAGATTGCTGATCACCAGAAGCTGCGGCTGATATTTCGGATTAGAAAGCACATTGGTTTGCCGCGATCGGGACATCTGAAGGGAAGGACCGTCTTCCGTGATGCATCCATCACGAAATCCTCGGTTTTTTTACGAATGCATGCGAGCGTCGCAGAGTTCCTCCAGGCTGTTCCCTGATTGCGTTTCTCAAAAAAGAGAGAGCTCGAAGAACGGAAAACGATGAATAGCGCACTCCAGGTGTGACGTCGCCCGGGGCTTTGACGACGGCCGCTGGTCACGCGGCTCTTCTCTTGCGTCTCTTGCCGATCCGACGCTTGGCTTGAGGCCGTTCAACCTTCGTTCGAGCCGACTATTCAAACTTCACTGCCGAGGCTAAATGCTCACTGTCGCTATGTTTTACGTCTCCGTTGACCATGGGCACAAATCAGGGGGGGGGGAGGTTCCAGGAATTCGAATTCCGCAAGCCGTCCGGCATGGATCGAGAACACGTACGCCGAGGGTGATTCTCGAGTCCCCGGAGCGCTAGGAGATCGGGTTGTTTAGTCGGCGCCAATCGACGCGGCGTGTGCTGCAGAATCTGCGCTTCAGATAGCCTTCAAAACGCGGTATCGAACAAGGGAATTATCAAGATCATATCAAGGAGTTTTGCATAGAAGTCGCAGATTATGATGCAAGTATAGGCTGTTGACTTGGAGAAAAGTCATCCACGCGGGAGAGCATCTCAGACAAAATATTGGCTATTTCTCGCTTGGGAGCGACTCGAATACTCGAGATGTGCTTCTGCGCGAGCTATTCGACACCTTCCGGCTTAGATTCGCCACAAGAAGACTTCTTTAGAGCTCGAGTTTCTTCAGCTACGGCCACCAATAGAGAAGTTAGCTCTATCGAAGCGTCCGACAAGCATTCCGTACCTTCGATTCGATATTCATGAATGCGGTAATCTCAATTTCGCATCCTCTCCTGGGTGGCAATCTCGGTCAGCACGCAACGAGAGTTCCTCATCGTTCGATTCAGATCTTCAGTAGATACCTGTGGGCTCGGCGAGAAATCAATGATTCGACCCGGTATCGAGTCGTTCGTCAGCTGGCGCATAGAATCTCGTTGGTTGAGTTAATGGAGCTCCAGTCACAGTCCTCAGACGTAATATGTCCGGCTTTTGCCCCGAGACAACCTGGGCTCGATTCGGAACTAAGGATGTGTGTTCAATCGCGGAGGACCGCTCAGGGATCGAAATGAAGAATCGTTTCGAATTCCCACGGGGAGCAACCTCTCCGCGGAACAGATTCGTGTACTAAATGATATCCAGTGCTCTTCGGATGTGGAACAGTCTTGATGCAAACAAGGGAGCGATGATCATTTTTCAAATTGATTGACCCTATTCCGGATACATGGTTGAACAGGGTAATCTCCGAGCCCGCTATGTTGGGTGCGATGTGGCGTATTGTATGTACCGACTCGCACTGAGAACGAGGAAAGAGAAAATCACCACGGGCGGAGTGCTTACATGAGGGAAGAGCATCATTCAAGACAGCGACCAGTAGGGTAAACGTGCACAGCTCCACATAACTAGTCGGTGGGATGATGATGAAAACGACACCGAGGATGATCATGGGGCGCTGCTAAGAGACAACTAAGTACTCTGTCAGTCGGCTTTTCCTCGGACAGGAAGCGGGTGTTCCTGGACGAGATATCCGAGCATGGTATGCTACTAGACGGCGCAATAATCACACGAACAGCGTTCGGTCGTTTGGACGCTCGCCCCGCCTCTCGGCTTGTGCCCCATGAGCTATCGAGTCGCTAAATGAGCGGAAAACAGATAGAGTTCATAAAAATACCTCGGTGAACAACTACCGATACTGGTTTCTGTACTTTCCACGTTCTTTCTGTCGATTCGGGGGTCGAGTCTTGTTCCTTCACGGAATTTTTCCCATGAGAGCGCTGCGCCTCAGCAAAAACCGCTCTAACGATAGAAAATGTCTGACCTCATCCTGAGTCGACGACTAGAGAGTTTTTTCACTCAGAAATCAGAGCCATAGAGCTGGAATCGGCGATCCATCGGAGCCTTTTTGAGCTCCGGTCCTAGTTGGATGATCTGCGATCATGTCTGACTCGGCCAGTCAAGAAATTTCGTTATGAAACTTGCGTTCTGGAGTTCCCTTCCGTAATGGCAAATGTGTGTTGCTATTGTTCCCAGTCGACTTCAACTTTAATGTGAGCGGCGGCGGCGGCAGCAAAGTCTGCCCACCGCGCCAAGATGCACTGAGCCGTGTCGGCGACGGTGGCAATGCCCACGCAACTTGGTGTCAGGGAACTTCTTTCGCTCTGCGAATCCGCTCTGAAGCCGTACCGCCAGGAAGCGATCCCGCTTTTCAAGAACCCTCTCATCAAATTAAAAGCAGACGCCACCGCGAATGATAATTAATTCTGTAGGAGGGAACAGGGTTTAATAGGGGATAGCTCTCGAGTAGGAGTCTCCAAGGGTTGTCTCGGGGAATTCCGCTAACTTAGTATTTCGAGACAGGGCTATCCGAATGAACTCTGTGGACAAAAGTCCCCTATTCCTTGATCTGATCATGGCGTCGATCGACTGCTCAATTGATTGAGCTGCCGTTTGTTTCTCGAGTACTGGGCTCGGTGGGGGAAGGTTGCGTTTGCAGGATGCGGCAAAAATATCCGACCGCGCTTCAATGCCCCTCTCTCCCTACGTATGCGGCCGATCGCATTCCGCGTGCGAAGCTCTATCGAGTGCCGGCCAAAGCTATGCCTCCTCAGAATCTCGAGTCGTAAGAACGAGTCGACAAAGCGAGCCGACTACCTGTGAGCTACTGAACCATCAAATGCTAGTCTATCTATCCATCTACTCTCACTCAGTCGATTAGTAGCGTGGCCGGTCGGCTTTTGAAGCTGACTGAGTGAGTATTCCCAATCTCTAATCCCGCATCGCTGTTTTTGGCCCTCAAACATCGAAGAAACCTTACCGAAACAAGAATGGGGTGGTCAGTCAGTCAATTGGCTCGGCGGCCGCTCGTCTGATGAAGCAATCGGTCTCGCTCTTTTGGTCACTCTTCCGTCGGTGCGCGCATTCGGTTTCGACCAACGCTGTCCGAAGATGTAAGCTCCCATGGAAGGCTGATTTTCGTTCAGATCGAGCTCTCAACGATGAAATCGAGCTTCACTCTTCATTTCTATGGCGCGTTTTCGTGACCCGGAGGAATTCCGAGATGGGCCGAATGGGCTCGTACGAGCGACTTATTCGGATTTGATCGAGCATTCCAAGGAGGATCGGAGGATCCATTTCGAGGATCCCACGGACCTTCTTGGGGTAATGTGATATTTCCCTTGGGGGGAGCAGGTGGCATAATTTCGATCACGAAGTTTCGATTCTCCTTCAGCATATTCTGTTCTGAGAGATGCTTTTCTCGTGTCTTACTACCCTCAACATTGGAAGCAAAGTCGTGGCCTTCCTCCCGAGAAAGACGCGGTGCGAGATACCAACGATAGAAGTGGAACCCTAGATAGCAGCGGCTGGAAATCTGAGAAGATACATTTCTGAGACCGCTCTGCACTAAAGGAACTGAATGAGAAGCAACAACGGATTACCAGCGGAGCGCTTGCTTCGTTGGTGCGAAATCGAGTTGCTTTTGAATGCCATTTTACAAGACAGTTTCTCTACTGCCTCTGTGTGGGATTCTCATGCCTCGTCTGACTGAGTACGACATCGGCGTGGAGGCCGACGACGATGACGATCCGATAAACAAAATGTAAATCTATATCGAGTCCAATCACTGAGCATAGATTCGCTGTCACATTCGCGATTTAGGGCCTGTCCGATGTTCACTCCAAGCATTTTCCAGGGAGAGAATCGTGCGTTTCCTCGCCCTTGACTTTCGGGATATCCACTCGTTCGTGTGAGACGGGCAGTCCAGGGCGAACTCCATCCGCCCTTCCCGAGCAAATTGAATCTAGCGTCAGCTGTTAGGTGTTGAGCCATAGAGATGGGAAAATGAATCTCTCCCCCCTCTTGACATGAAAGCCGGTGAAACATGTTGAGTATCGCCACACAAATGGCGTCAGGCCATGTGGAGTTGGCGACCAAGTGGTTCCGCTGCTGCAGCCGCCGCTGGTGCGACGACGAGGAACTGTACCAGTGGAGCGAATCGATGCGTGCCTTTCAACTCAGCGCGAGAGCATTGGCAGGATCCATCTCAGATGTTACAGCACGCCGCTGCCCTGCCCGCCTCGCAGCCAGGAAGGCGAGCAGCCAAGCTCGCGTGTCGACGACATTCAACTTTGAAGAAGAACAAAACTGATTCCTGCAGGGGAAACAAGAGAGGCCGTTCTCCGCTCTGGGTACGATCACACCAGCCGCGCAGTCGTTGACGCTGAATCGCCACCAAGAACGTCATCATCGTCATTTCGGGATGGTACCGCAAAAATGAGACGAGAAATTCGCCCCTACGCATTCACTGGACGAGAATGAATAAATATTGTCTTTCCGAGCCGGAGCTTTGAGCCGAGATAGGCATGAGCAGGCTTCAGCACACACGTGGGGGCTCCAACGAACCCTCGATGAACGAATTTTTCGGTGAGGGAATTGTCGATTTTCGGGATTTCGAAGGTCTCCGTGCTCTTGTCTATCTGTGAGCCCAAGAGTACGCCGATGAATTTTAGCCCTAGCGAATCAGTTTTGTGACGCTCTTGGGGCCCGAATCTCATATCAAGGAGATTAGATACGAACGGGTTCTGAGCCGTTCAACGTGAATGATGATGTCTTAATGAGCATCTTCCCTAGACGGCCCGACAGTCTCTCCTATACGGAGAGCTGCTCTTGATCGCAAACGAAACGCTTTTCCGCATCGCCCAAGTTCTGACTAGCGAATGACAGGTACAACCACCGAGCCTGGAAGGGAGTCGAATCGGGAAACGCATCTTATCAGAGCCCGATGTCATTTCCACAGCCTTTCAGGCGACATTCGCTGGTAGAGCGATGACTCGGAGGAGGCTCGCTTGCTGTAAACAAAACCGTTGGAAAAGTAGCCGACGGGGCCCAAGGGTGGGAATCGGAGCTCGCGAATCGAATGCCTTGATCGAGAATGAGTGACTGATGCAAGTGGGAGTGGAAAACGAAAAAGACACAGAGAACACTCCGACTCGATGAGAAACGAATTGATCGCTACCGTATGCCGCTGCGCATCCTGTGACCATGAGAAAAATGCTCCCTCCATGAGCTTCCAGAAAAGGCTTCCGATCGGGTTGTCTTAGCGCGAAGTCCGCATTACTGAATGGATTGAGTACGGCGATCTGAAATCCGGTCAGTGCAAGAGCAGCTGGATGTTCCAGCGATCGCGCCCCTAGTTGCAAAAATCGTCCTGCTGCTGAGTTGTCGAGTCCGGAGCCTAATCGGAGCATTGATTCTTCCAGGGGACAGTCACGGAAGATTCGAGTCGAGGTGAGGGTCCTGCATCGACCACGGAGAGGGACGTCCTCGCGTACACAGACTGGTCAATCAGAGGGGTTGCGGCAAACGCTCCCAAGGGGCCGGCCCAGCCCGGTGTCACTACACCCGGTGTAGACTCTGACATACACGGTGGATTGAATCGAGAATCAGAGATATCAACGAGTGCGATCTCAACCGAATCTCCCATAACGCCTGAGGGAGGTGAGTGCTTTCTCCTTTTGACCTTTTCCAGAACATTTCGTCAGTACTTTCATCGGGCTGCGAAGCTCTCCTCACTTGAATATTTTTGTCCTGACTCCTCCATTCCTGAAAGCAGGTGAGGCTCCCAATTTCATCCCTAGCTTGAAATCGATCGAGGATGGAGCTGCGGTCACTCCGGATCCGATTGATGAAGTTCCCACGATCGAATCGCTGAACGGAATCCTTCAGAGACTACAGAATCTCGACGTTCAAAGAGAAGAGGACGTCTCATTCCTCCTCATCTTCGTCGCCATCGTCAGCTTAGCTACTTTAGTTGTTGTTCTTTTCAGTCTCGTTGTCAGACACAGATGTAGGGAAAAAATTCCGCGTCGAGAAAACCCATTGTACACGGGTGCACCCGCCCGTAGAATCCAAAACGTCTCTTTTCGACCAAATGGCAAGCACAAAAGAGCTGCTCAACAACGGATCTACTCCTGAAGCCCTTAACACCAAAATGTTCCGATTTAGCCAAGTTCCGAAACCATTACAGAAGGCTTCCACATTGTTCTCTTTTTGCTGTCCATCAAGGCGGCTCGCGGCGATATTTTCTATCTGCGTGCTGTGTACATATAAATGAGATGCCATATATCTGATCGTATATTTGTGTACAAGAGAGAGGGAATCCGAAGCGAACTTTTCGGAATCCCCGCCTTCCGTCAGTGTAAATAATATTTATGAAATGTGTTGATAAAATGATGAACATACTGATTGAGCGAACTCTTCCGAGGTGTTGGCTCGGTGATTCTTCTGATAACTCTTGAGATAGAAAGTCGGAACAAATGATTGTACGCATAACTAGAGCATAATGAGAATAAAGACAAGTGGATGCAGGAGATTATTCGGAGACTATTGTGGATATGAGGCGACGCCCAATTCCCACTTTGATACAAATACATCCCTGAAGAGTCGTAAGCGTAAGGACGCTTTAACATCGCAAGCACCCCCGAGTACTCGGACTTGAATCACGAAAAGCGACGATACAGCTAAAGAAGAGCACGCCCGTTGAGACAGGAATAGCGTCGCTTTCTGCAAGAAAGCTCCCCGTTTCCGTCAAGCTCTGAATGTCATAATGAAAAGGACGATTCCGTTTCAGAATGCGGTCGACCAAACCCAGTAACAATACGTCTTTCGAGTTGGAATCGTCGAGCGGATGTGATCTGAAACTTGTTCGGGAACATCGTCCTCACGGCTGAGGGGTTGCGCAGCCCACTAATGAGTTCTCTCTCAGCGTGTAATATCCCGTTTCCGGGAGCGTTTCCTCTCGCCTCCATTTTGACGCCGAGAGTCGCGACTATCATGTTCTGTTATGCCCGGTATCAAAGCTTCGAGACAAAGATCTGAGGGAGATTGATTTCATCGGCGTGCTCCAGAACTAGTCTCTCCGGCTGATCGTCCCGATGCGGCGAGGTCACCCTTGGTCTCGAGCTTGAACAGAGTACCGTGCGACATTTTCGGGCCACATAGAGGTGGGCAACGAAGAGCCTTGAGGCAAGGGGGGAGCTCAGACTCGTTCTGTGGTCTTTCAATGACATGGAATCCGTTCTCAGGGATCTAGCTCGGACTTGTCGCTTTTTCCATCGAAAACTTACCCGTCCTTCCCTCCTGGACTGAAGTTCCGCACGTGATCGCGGGCAGTCGCCCGTTGCTTGGCGTGTGGCCGGCAGAAAGCAATTTGAAGCTTATCCTTCACGGTAGGTTGCTCGATGCCAGCAATCGTTGAATAATCTCGTCATCGAGAAACTTCATTCCAGATCGCCCGACGCTGCTGTCTGGTCCTGAGGAGCCTCCGGAGCTGGGATAATATTTTCCGGATAGTCGGGCTATTACTCGGAGAGATGTCTGAGCTCCAATGCCGCGAGTATTGATCTCTCCCTGAAGTCGTTGCATCGGAAAATCCGACGTAGCGAAGGAGCGGTATCTCGAAGCTGCATGGTACTTATGGAATTGAAGATAGAATCTTTTTATTCAGGGACTCATTGACATCAGTATCCTCGGCTCCACCACTAGCTCCGAACGGAATCCTACCAAGTGCCCCTTGTCTCGATCAGCCTCCACGAATCTTGATTCTTCAGCTGGCTCTTCCAGGGCGTGCACTCTCAAAAATATATTTTTGTAACCAAGCTTTTTAAGGAATCCAGCTCGTGGGCTGCTCCTTCATTCCGTGAGAATGAAAAACTTTACAACACATGCTACATCAACGTCACAATCAAAAGGTATCATTCTCGTCTCAATTTCTCTAATCGAGCCATGAGATCGGCATCGGCATCACTGGCCCCTCCTTCAGCCTGAGCGACCTTCGAAGGATCGTTCGGTTGTGCGACTGCTCCGGACGCCTGGGGCAAATCTGTCAGTGTTGAGGCCAGTTGTAGGCCCAACTCATCCAAAACCTAAAATCAGAGGGCTCCTGATTAGCCGATCGGATTCTGATTGAGACATTTCCGGAGAAGATACTAATCGTAGGAGCCGAGATCCAAAAGATTTCTCGGATTCGAACCTTGTTGACGACTTCTTCGGTTTCTTCCTCGTCGCCCTCGTCTTCCATGGCATCATCCATGGCGTCGTTCATCATGTCCTCCTTGGCGTCCATCATCATCGATTGCTTTTCGAATTCCTGGACATGAATCAAAATCAGCCATGTGTGAGGTATAACGCGAGAGCTAGACCTAATTTCAGACAATAATAATCGAAGCAGTGCGGACAGGCACGCAGCCGACGCTCTTCTCAAGATGAGCGTGGAAACTGATTTTCTTGAGCGTCATACGAACCATCATGATCTTTTGTATTTGAGGTAGATTCAGCTGCCTGTTCATGTTCCCCATAGCTCTGGTGACTCCCCTCATGGCTTGGGCCATGGCATTCTGCGACCGGAGCGTCTGGATTTTCAGGCTTACACCCTGAATATTGGCCTTCATCAGAAGGAACTTCTTTATATACCTGGGGATCAGAAAATTCGAGTGACTTCTGCTCCGCCTCGGCTGCGCGCCTCCACGGAAGCATTCCGAGAGAAGGTGGCAGTTATTCTGCTTGATGCTCGGCGCTTGATCGTCTAAGCCTCAGACTCTAAGGTCTAGTCTGCGCTCGATTCTATCAATCTGTCGCTCGAACTGCTTCAGCACCGCCTGAAGTAAATAACCCACCGCCTGGTCCGCACGAGATCCCTTGCCATGATTTTCACAGACTCCATCTGATTTTCTTTCGCCTGCTTCTTGATATCTTGGATTAGTTTCTTCTCTTGTTGTTCCATCTTGGTTCTGGAATAAGAGGTTCTAGTTTCAGTCTCATGGATTTTTCGACGACGACTCCGAGGGAGACAGCGAATGCTCAGGGTCCAAGGGATCGGTCAGATTGCGTCCTGTCCCACCTTTCGACCCGGATTCCTGTTCTTTGCCTTTACCTTTCTCGATCCAAGTCACGTATAGCTTTGTTGAGCGCTCGCTGATTCTCTCGGAGCATCTCCTCCGGCGTTTTCCGCCGTCCAAACAGCCACTCCATTTCGCTCTGGAAGAATCGCCCATGAGTCAAGGGATTGTATTCGACAGTTGTCCTCAGCGGACGGTTGGCCGAAGCCATTCTCTCTCGAGGATCTTGAGAGCAATGATTTGGTTCCGATCTGATTGTGATTTGACAGGTTCTCTGAGTACAGGTCTCTTTCAGATGCCGAAGGCACCAAACCGGATGCACCCGTAGTCAGATGTATGAAAAATCAGTCACACATTGTTGTATACTATTCCGATGGAGGACTCCTCTTGCAGGCCTGGTTGAAATTTATGACTAATACACTCGATCCGAATTGCCATTCCCTTCTTATCGGAATACTGACCGTGTGGGGTTCCCCGATTATTCCGGAGAAGTCACACAAAATGAAACCTCCAAGCGAGGAACAAATTGACAAGCGACGAAACAAGCAGAACTCACACTTCGGGGGAGATTCAGGAAATGTTACAAGTGAAGGCACCGACGTTCCTTTGTGGTGAGTTCCCGTCGGCGGCATCTGCTCGGCAGAAGCAGACGGTCAGCGGTAAGGGATGTAAACATTCAATGAGTCAATATGTCAATGTCAGAAGTAGATGAGGCAGGCGGCAGGGCGGCTTCCACAGGTGGTTCGCATACTTTTCGCATTTGCTCATACATATCTTAAATATAGGATACCACTCTACGTGCCTCGAGGCAAGGGTAGTGCGCGTGAGAAGAACGCGGCTCGAAGAGCATTATGTGTCGACAGGAGAGAGCAATGTCTGTCGGGCTTCGAACGCGCCAAATTCGAAAGCTCGGTTGATTGGTCTGATTCTGGAGTGGCCAGACCCAAGAACAGTCTCTGGAATCCGCCCGATCGCCCGCAATAGAACGGAGAAAATCGCTAAGATGTTTCCATGGAGAGTTTCTCGGCTGATGCACTCAACACGCTCGGATTGATCAATATGTACATACCCCCTTAACCTCCATAGCCTTTGTTCGTCCAGAATAAATGAGATTCACAATCAAATAACGAGCTTCCGGCGAAATAGGTCGAGTGGTATCGCGATTTCATATTCCGGAGGGCGTCAAGCATCACGATCGATTCGGGGGGCTTCCCACGGGCAATTTCCATGCCAGAAAACAGGTTCGACTGCATTTTAGACGAGACCTCGCATGAGCAAGTGAAATCGGCGGAAGGCTTCCCAGGAGCCCTGAAAGTTCGATTCCCGCAAAACCGAGAATTTCAGCATTCAGGAGATTTCTCGGAAACGGTAAATCCGATCAGGACGCCGTCTCATCTGAGCGAGGCCTGACCTTTCCTCGCGGAAAACGTATATTTTGGGAACGCTCTCCGGCGTCCCTAAGCCGAGATATCATCGCTCGAGGACGGGGGCGGGAGCTTTGGCAGCTTGCTGATAGGTACGCTGATCGGGATGTTCTTTGCCTTCATACCTGATTTACTGGAATCAGGGTACCGGACGGATGCCTTGTATCCTGAAACCCGTCCCATTCGAGTCAGCTATCGAATTTAATTTGGTGAATGATTCATGCTCGGCACAACGATTCCCAGAACTCGAAACGAACCTCCAACGTGACGTTGCAGCCCGCCCGACTCGCATGGAGAGTGTCACCTCTTTTCCGGCGAGTGCGCGCTTCTGCGGTGAGCTCCGCAGCTCGGGAACTGGGCTCCGCCTGTTCCCCCTGCTGGGCACCGAGCACCGATGATCCTTCGCCAGAAGGATAGCAACACAATCAATTTGCCTTACGCGAAAGGTTCGCTCACTGCGCCAGCTCAACCTGCTGCTCCAGCTTTCACAGACGAAGACTTCAAGAGTTGAATATCCAGCCCGGGAATCACATTCGGCCAGATCTAAGCTATGATGTTCAATAAATTGGACTATCCGTGTTTTTCACTCCACGTCCCCCCTGAAGCTGCAGGGACTTTTCCGTCTCAAGCACTTCGAATGTCCCTTTCCCAGATTTGACGAAGAGTACAACATCGAATTCGCGGCGCGAGCCAGGGATCGCGCGGAGATTCAGAAACACGTCAAATGAAGAAAGCTCCGAGAGCGTATGGCATCTTCGACGAAGGAGAGAGAGGAGCGGAGCGAATCGTGCTCCTCCGCAAGCAATGATCGCTTTGTCTCAAAAAAATAATTAGGTATATCATTTTCGGGAAACCTGGTGGGACCTAGGAAAGGATCACAATTCTTGCAACCCATCAATACTCAATATCTCAGGCGGACTGTCCGTCCGGCTCCGTCACCAGCCCGAAGTTCATACAACTGGCCGGAATGTCTGGCAGGCGATCCGAAATAAGAATTCAAGGGATCGGTGCCCTCGAAAGGGATACGATAATCCCGATCACTGCTCGCTCACAGGGGATAGAGACGTGCCCTTCACATGTTGACTGCCAGCTCTCGCCTCTTTTGTGGGTTCAAGTTCTTCGACATGCCGAACATGGGCTGCTCCGAAATACGTATGTGAGATTCTCTTTGAGGATCTATCGGTCGGCTATGAGGCACTGACATCGCGTAAGAGGACCGCTATAGCGGACGAGCTCGTGAATCCGGCCCTACTCGCGGCGATTTGGTTGTCCAGAATGAGCCAGCTGTATTCGCGAGACAGCATTCTGTGTGCGCTTGAGGAACGTGGAACCCTGAACACAAAACTTCCGGGTACTATGAGCTATGCCTAATGATCGCAGCAGTCGGAATCCGCAATTTTTGTTCCCAGGGTTCTGCCGGCACGTTCTCAATCGAGTCCGGGAATGGTGCTCGACGGGATCCCTGGAAAGACCGTTCAGTAAGAGAAATAATTTCTCTCTCGCTAAATGCCTAGTTTCTCCGAAGATCTCCGAGTACGATGGAATCACCTATCGGAAGGGAACGCGGCAGCCCTGGGAGCTCTGTGGGTCTTGGCCGCATGGGGGTGTTTATGGACAGAGGTCGTTCTCGACGCAAATCGCTTCCTTGATCGTGAAGAGAACTCTCCGAGAGCAGTCTCTAAATGTTCCTTGATGTTGTGAAGCATAATCGAAAACTTGCCACGGCCTCATAATGTCGAGGAACGAATCCCATAATACCTCGTCAAATCTCTGTTCATTTAGTTTTTCCGAGCTCACAATTTCATGGGGGCAGAATTCCACCGTTCAGAAGCCGTATACGAGCAGCATTCTCCACAATGCCGTCGATAACTTTCTCCGAGATACGCAACCTTCGATATACTGCAGCTTCCAGCTGGAAGCACATCAGGAGACTGACGTGACTTCCCTCTTCAAGATTCGGAGAGGCACCCTGAACTTGTATCTCGTCACCGATACCGCGAAGCGACAGAAATTCTCACGCGCAGAGACTTGGGGCGAATCCAAGTCGAGGTTCACCCTTGGTAACCCGGGTACCCTTTGTCAGGTGAAGTCCCTGCCGCAAAGCGGAGTCGTCATGGCATCCGAATTCTTCTCCGCGAGCCTACCGTAGGTTCTGGACACCCCAGATTAGCCTGATCGATGAGCCGGTACATCAGCCTACTCGGGTGTGCATCAGTATCGTGACTCAATTACATACTAACCTACTTACTCGCTCAGAACTTACTCTTACCCCATTCAATCGCTGATATTCAATGGCCAGTCTCTAGTGATGGGAAGTTCGGGATAGTAAAGGTCCTCTTCGTCTGATCAGAAAATTTGAAAAAAAAAGGTCCAGATGAGCCCTCATTGAGACATGCTCCCTTGAGTCTTCAGACTCCTCAGAAGTGTTTTGGAGGAACCACAGAAGAGCATTCATCTCCGTATATCCCGCCAACAATCAAAAGTCTCGGCAGACTCATGCTCGTCTATCGATCCGGAGTCCCGCTTAATTTTTTCGACTGTAATTTCAACTTTAAGATCTCTGCAATCGTTAGAGGGATGCCGGCTCCGGGGGTTCCCCATACCAACGGAATCACGATTGCATCGATTTCCCCACGGCAATCTCATATATAAGAGCATTATCTCCATTGCTCTCTACTTGTGACGTAGTATCCTCCGCCTCTCTCCACTCCGGTCGCTTTGGTCACTTGTACACCGATGCAAGCAACACGAACGAATACACTCTCGGGAGGACTGGCCGGTCGTTTCATGCAGCGCAGAGGTTGGCTCTTGGCTTTCGAGCGTTCTTCCGAGCTCAGAGATTGCAGCGAAGAGCTTGGACAGCTCCTGCAGCCGATTCAACAGCTGGACCGTAAGTTTTACTATCGCGAAGAAAACTCACCAACATTGAACACTTGGCGGCATTTCGTATTCTTACGATCAGATCTTCTTCGCGCTAGCCAGTCCGATTCGAGACGGTTGCCGTGGTCCAATCACACGGGAGAACTTCCGCCGAAAGGATTTTCGAAGGGAAACGTCTGAGCCGCGAACACGAGATGAGCGAGCGGCCGACGGCGGCGCGCGCACCGTCCCGACTCCTTCATAACGGTCTTTTTTATTCAAAATGCGTTCACTTATGGATGCATCGAGACCGCTCGCCATCATTCTCGATCTCTGATTTGTACCATCTTGATTCCTTTCATTCTGAGGGAGGGAAATCTAATTCTGTTCACCTCCGGGAGCCATTTGTTATAGGCACATGCAGCTAGGGCCTGCTATAGGAGTACTTCGAACGCATCCAGGCTTCTCGTAGGGTTCTAAGCCACGCTGCCATTGTCTAGCGAGATTGACCGTGAAAACTGAGCTCTGGAAGTGAAGTGTTGCAGACCTACGATTTACGGTGCGACAGCGACCTACGGGTCACGGGTGCGTGATTTTTGGCATTCAGCTCCCCCTCGCCTACCGGTGGCAGATTTTTCCCATTGTGGTAGTTCATCGATGCATGACAGGTCCCGGGCAACAGAACTTACCCTTGCCAAGTTCTCCCCCTCCCCTGCTCTCACACTGACGATCCTTCAGAACGACAAATCCGAGCGTGTTCAGCGCTAACGGGGTTTTTGCTTGGCCCGAGTCGCCGAGATCTAGTCATCCGGTTGGTGACATTCTCAGCTGGTTCTGATAAGATCGCCGCGTTCGAATCATTCGTGCGACGTCCGGCCACTGAGCGCCGCTTGTCGGATTTCCGTGGTTGTTGAGAAAACCAATCTCTGAGAGGACTTCCGAAAATTTTCGAGCGTTTGAATCTACACTCCTGCCTATTCCCCGCGAGGTGAGTCTCATCCATGAGCCTTCCGCTAAAGATAGAGGATATCCTTCGAGCTCTCCGGAGTCTCCACTTGAATGGACTGGATCGATCCCTAGCAGGTCTCGAAGAAAACTCGATGTTTGAAATTCTAAAAGGAATCTTCGGGAATCATATCGATGTCGCTTCCAGCAACGGGAGAAGCTTCTTTCGAGAGCGCTTTATCTCACTCAGTTCCGACGATCCGCCGAGCTCCCGCTCTCAGCTATCCGGAGATAAATTACGCGCTTCGTCTCGAGAGTAAACCCGTCGAGGGGAGACGGCACCAATTATTGAAGGCCTTCCGGTGCTGAGTATACAGAGCGTCATCTGTGGCTCACAATATTCGTGGCGTGAGGGAGCTCTCGACGCCTTCTTGACTTATCTGCTTGATGATGGTCTTCTCAGGCCAGTCAAGGTCTTTTAGTTGAACACGCTAGCTCCATTTCATCGTGCGGTTGTGAGTTTCATGAGCTCATCCAATCGGTGCCGTAGCGACAGAGAGAAAGAATGGATTCCGGTCACGACTGAGTTTCCTCCCAGGCGGGTCGTCTCAGATCGATATTTCCTCAAATTGCTGCCATCATTCTATACCACAAGGAGCGTTTTCCTGATGGGAAGCGACTTTCGCTCTCCCATCCACAGATGCATTTGGAGGGACTTCATCGCGTCAAGGCATCTTTCGAAACATCCCCGCCTCATGATTCTATCCGTAACGAAGTCATCCTCATTCCGAGGCTTTCATTCCGCTTCCGAGAAAAATCGATGAACTGTTCTTCGAAATGCTTATTCTGGACACGCCTTCAGTCGTCAGAATCATTGCTCGGCAGCATCAAGCCTTGAGCGAAACGAAGCAGCGACGAGCTATAGCTTCGAGCGGAAGCTGAACAAACTCAGATGCCTGCCTCCCTCGAGCTCTTTCATGTTCAACATTAAGGGCAATCGTCCCGGCGCGGCGTCGATACTTGCCGAGCGGCTATAGGAGCGAACGATACCATCCAAAGAAGATGCGCATCCGAGAAGCTAATCGTGCTTTTCGAGGATGACGAATGATTGCGCTCAAGACCTCGGGTGGTTTGAGGCAATCCGATCCGCTCATGGTTTCTAATGGTTTCTTGCTTTTCGCTGCAGTCGTGGAAGAAGCTGATGCAACACCCCCATGGCGAGTCTGGTGCACTATCTAGAGCAGGTGAGGATTTCGTGAAGCCAACTTTAGGATAATTCCGTGGAATCGAGTCAGGAATCTCGAATACTCCGAATCGTTAGACAAGATCCAGCCAGAAAATATCCTCGGCAATCGAAACATCAAAGGGTTTCTGAGAGAGTCGAGCTCCGTCCTGACGTATGAAGATGGCGCGAATAGTGTCAGTGACTCGTTCTATCAGATGAATGAGTCGACGATAGAATGTTTTGAGCACGTCGCGTTGGGTTGCATAGTGACCTAGCAAATGAGGCCATGGGCGGTGAGGCGTATCTGCTTTTGTTGACAAGTTTCAAAGAATCAAAAGAGCTTCACAAAGCGGTTCGGCGGATCGTCTGTCTTCGAAGCCACCAACTTGGCCTCACCTCGGCCTGGGACCATATCCGCCGAATGTGGAAACCCTCGTCATGCTCCAGCTATATATAAGAAGAATTTGTCTCTTCGACGATTTTTAGAAGTCACGTGAGGCTTCGGTCGATTGAGGGACCGCGGCGTTCTGTCACCACCTCGAGTCAGAACCGGTTCTCACCTTAGCATGACCGTCGAATAACCAGAAAACTCTTTATTTTCGCAAGGATGACTTTGATGTCGATTGCTTCGTGGAACGCCTGGCCCGTCAAGCGATGGCCGGCGGAACTCCTGAGAGCGGCGAGGACGCGGAAGTCCTCCGGTCTTCATTCGAGCAAACCATCCGAGATCTGGCTCTCGAATACGAGCATCAGGAGCGACGAGCCCAACTCTTTCAAAAGGTTTGCACAGTATTGATTTGTCAGTCAAATCTCCCTCGAATCAGAGAGTGGCGAATCATAAATCATGATTGATACAGTGAACTCCGCTTTATGGGAACACCGGTTAATGGGATCCTCTGCTCAATCGGATCGCTCTCGGAGGGTACCGATCAGTGGCTTCCTCTGACTCGATCTCCGCTTAATCGGATATTACACCTATACGGATCGAAATTGCCTGGTCCCAATGTGTTCCTATTGAGCGGAGCTCACTGTAATGGGAAATATCGCTCCGACTGGTTAATTCGAAGTCGTGAATCCCTGTCTATCCATGATCAGCGGATAACCAATCTTATGCGGGGTTCTGTGTTTGAACAGAAATGTGAGAAGGCAGAAACGGAGCTACACGAACAGGTTAGAGGTATTCTCGCCCATCAGCAAGCGGCTCGTGTCAACTATAAACAAGCTCGCCGTCAGATGAATCACATCGTGGCAAAGGTATTTCCCGGAGTTAAACCATCTTGTTCCCTCCATGCTCCGATATCGCATTTGTATGCCCACGGATCGCGGTTCCACGAGTGTCTCGCGAGGAGGGCATCTGTGAGGCATTACAATTAGCTCCTTAGAGTTGATCAATGGCATCGCTTGAAATGAATGCTCAGTAATGAATGGATCGTTCGACCTCATTTAATTCATGACATTCTCTCCAGACAACGCACCTAGGGGACATGCTCGAAGCTCACGATGTCCCTAGAAGTAGACTTATGGAGACTGCATCCCTAATCGAGCAATTCCAGAACGTAATGTCGAATGGATTGCGTCCGAACTCGAATATCGGCAGCAGAACAGTGGATACCGAATATGCTCAGAAGATTCTTAAGCTTCATCTTGCCGCCAGTGAGCTTCTCTCGAATCGGTACGACGATGCCAAGCAGAAAATCGCCAGAGAATACTCAGAGGTGAGAAGAACTCTCATTCCCAGACCTCCAGAGAGCTAGCGATATCAGGACAAATTGTGCATCCGATGCATGAGGGTCGGACGTCGACTTTCGCCTTCCGAAACGGGGAATTTCTTCCAGGTTGAAGCAAGTCTGCTGGCTGAAATGTCGATAGCTCAGAGAAAAGGAAATATTGACCAACTTCGAGAAATCGTCACCCTGATGTCAAACTTCTGTGGATACTCAGCGTGTGTAGACCAATTTATTCTAAATGCGCAAAAAAAAGCTTTCACCTATCCGGACGTATTCATGACCGTGGTGACCTTATGCAAGAAAGTGTCTCGAGTTGTGCAACAGGTATGTTTCCCTTACCTCCGTGGCTGTCTTCTGTCCATACTCGCTGTTCTGATCAGGCGAACATTTCCCGCTTGCGACTCATTCGACTCGATGCACCCTCTACAGGTTTTCCCGTACCCGGAAATCGTGACAGGGAAATTTGTCGATCATGTGCTGAGAAACCGCGTGAATGATTACATTAAGTCCCAACTCAAGATAGAAGAAGTAGCTCCCGTGACAACGAAACAAGTATATCTCACACGCATCGCACAGCTATACACCAAGGCTGCGAACGTTTGCCATGAGCTCCGAGAAATCCCAACGGACAGTGCGACGAGGAACAATCTTCCGAGTATACCGCGAGAACTTCTGCAGCCTTACCTCAGGAACTACTCGGCCTTGGAGCGACAGTGAGTGCTCTGTCATTCTACTGTATAATTCCTGAACTCCTCCGCCCTGTTCATTCGACTGGGTACGCGATTTTCTTCGTCCGAGAAAGCCGCGCTCTCCTACGAGATGATTCCTTTCAGCTGCATGAAAATACGTTTGGACACTCTGATCTCCGCCTATTACCAGTCCGTCGGGCATCAACGGAAAGTCACGGTCACTTCACCGCTTCGGAACAAATACTCAGTCATGCGTCGAGACATCCAGTCGAAAATAAATCCCAAAGCTGCGACTCTAATCAACGTAGCGCCTTCAGTGAAAGACTACGGAGGCGAAACATTCATCTGCGAAGCTCTAGCTGCCAACACTCTTCAGGTAGAAGAATCTTGAAATTTCCTCCCCCTTTCTTACCGCTATGGTCTATAGCGTTGACCTGAGGCTCATACCCCCAAGTAAACCCAGACGATTTCCCGCCTTCCAGGAGCTCCGCGAAGCGTTCCAACGCATTTCAATCATCCTCCGCGATCCGGCGAGAAGCCGTCTCGTTTTGAACATTTGGGATGTTTTCCTCTCGAAGTTTGTGGAGGACCATCTTCTGTACGGCGTCCACCTGGGCATCAAAACAATACCGGTCTGCCAGGATCTGACGCAAGAGCCAAAGCAGGACTTTCTGCGCAGTGTTTATCACACCAATGCCATATTCTACCTGATCGAAGATCTCTACACGGAAAAAGTGGTTCCTCTCCTAAGTTGTCCGGTAGCGAGGCAGAGAGCCCTTCAAACTAAAATAACTTACCAAACCCCATTGGAGGATGTGATCAGAGTCGGCGTGAAAAGATCGGTCAAGGCCTATGCTAACTGGATCGGGGCATTGCTCGATAGACAGAAGGCAGCTGATTTCCTCTATTCGCACATGACGCCGACGGCCACCAAAGTTGTACAGTTCTGTAAAAAATGCTTGAAATCATTCGATGAGTTCCTCGATGGTCAGAACAGATTGAATGTCAAGATGGAATTCGGCCGGCGTTTCCACAAAGCGATATTACGCAACATTCGTCGCTTCCATTACTCGCAGGAAGCGGGTATGGGTCTGCTATGTGACGTCATGGAATACAAAGCACTAATGACCTCGAATGAATTGCCAATGCTTAACTTAATTTTCCGTCACCTACACACACTGTGTACATTACTCGTGGAGCCGCCAGAGAGACTTCTCCCTATTATCGAGCAAGAGCTCCTGAATAAGCTCGATAATCAAATTGTGAGGGAGTTCGTCCAACTCCGCCAAGATTGTAAATCGAACAAGCTGCTCGCCATTCTTTTCCATGACAGTGGTCCATAACCAGAGGAGGGGCCGGGGGAAACCTCGAGCCCCGTGACGTCGACGGCGCCGAAATTCGGCATCGTCAAGTATAATGTATCTTGGAGCGGTTGTTTCTCTGGCTGTTACTCGGAAACTGCTGTAGTCAACTCCTTGGTGCCTCTCGAGAGAGCCTCGGTGCGCTTACGGCAACCGAGCTTTCGACTCAAGAATGTGCAATATGCGACCAGTCAAACGACAAGCTTCTAGATGGATTCGCCATTCCCGGGACCACCCTTCAGGGGGCTGCACGGATGCCGCCCCGATAAGCGCTGATAAACTAGAGAACGGAAATCATTCCCTCGGTGTTTTCATCCAGGTTCCGATGAGGACGGCGTTCCAATCTTTGCCAAAGTTACATGATTCCGCTCGAATACGAGCGCCATGAGACTCAATTGGAACTTCTTCGGCCGATAGAGGATCTCCCTGAGCTGTGATAAAGTCGGCATTCCTGTAGACTGATCAATAAAATGATTGCTCTTGTTCATTCAGATACTGTGAACTTTGCTTCAGATGATCGATATCTCACGATCATCTCGGAGCTCCACTGGCTGTAAAAAGTCTCTTTATGCTTCCCAAGAAAGCAAACCGATGAGTTCCGTAATCTGATCTCGGTAAGACACTGGAATCGATATCGCCCCGATGGGAAGATTCAATCCGACGCTTGAAGATGCGATGGAGATCTGCTCAGACTCGAACTCCTCAGGAGGAAGAGTGACACCGAAAATGGCTCCCTCGCCCAGTCTGCTGATCGAGACGCATTCTCTATTTTTGGGAGCCCAAATACCCTAGATTCTCGATGTGAGCAGAATCCCCCGTCGCAATACCCGGAGCTGTGAGCGATACAAGGGGCGAGATCTCCGACACGCGGCGACTCTCTTGATCCGCTCAAGAGAGACAGGTGCGAGAGGACGCTTTCAAGAGGCGCCGAATTAGCCGCTGCAGACTGCAGGATTCGGGGACCAATACGTGGGCTTGCGGGAATTTCTGGAGTCGAGCCGAACGTGCTCGTTTGTAGTATAAAGAAGATGTAGTGGCTCGAAACGCACATCCCTGCTGCGAGCGAGCCATTATGGAGTTGTTATATTCAGCCGACGCCGACGCTCTAGAAGAGGGAAATTCCTTCACGTCGATCTGGACATAATCTGGATTCCGTCGAAGAATGCCTCGCCAGCATCGACTCTCACAGTTGAGCTCCCTCGCTCCAATTCCATTAATGCCATTTCTAGGAGCTATCATCGACTGACTGTCATATCTTGTCATTCCAGATTTCCTCTCAATTCTTTCTTTCCCGATCATCTTTCCAGTCATCATACCCTTCAGGGCGGGAAAATTCGAGAGCTTCCCGATGAGGGCGGATTCCTTTAGAGGCGCTCTTGCTCGTATGAAAGACTCGAGTCCGATAATATTTGTCGTGAGATGTGTGCGGGAGGGTATTAGGGGATGCGACGTTCCATTTGCAGAACGCTTCGACGTCCACCGTAACGGCGAGACCAGGAAGCACCGTCATCCAAGGATATGCTCCGAGATGAGTACGAATTTCTCGCGGAGTGTCCGACGTACCATCTCTCGAGCCTATGAGGAGAGTCCGTCGGTCGTATAACGCGAATAAAATCCAAATCGGCACCAGCATGCGTCACGAGGAATTCCAATCCAGTGCCAATGCCTCCATCGGTCACGTCGGTTTCGGAGCAATTTCTGTGACGAGCCCAATTCTGGTACCTCCAAGGCCATTTGAGGATACACATTCAGCGTGGCCGAGAATGACTCTCCTTCTGAGGGAACGTGACGAGAATCCGGATGCCGATATTGCTAGAATTGTCTGGCAAGAGCTAGAACCTTCGTCCGTCCCCAATATCCACGGCGCTCTTCATCACATCCCGTGGAAAATAGATAGCTTTTCTTGTAAATTCCCACATCTCTCTGATGCAGCATCCCGATACTTCCCACAAAGTTGAGACTTTCCGATTGCTCTCCTCGCGAGGGTACCGTGCCAGATGACGAGTCTAAGAAACGGAAGTGCCATTAAACTGAGGTCGGACCTTCTGGTCAGGCGGAGACCGCGAGAGGAACCTCCTCTTCATCGTCCTGCATCGGGAACTATATGTAGAATCAGGGTTGTACGATGAAAGCTCCGCGCAAGCCACCGCTGAAGACTCCGGGGAGGCCGGAAGCCCGTGCGGAAACCTGCATGGAATCACGACGGGGTTGCAAGCCGCTCACGTGATCGAAGACACCATTGAGGCGGGCACACGATATTTCTCGGCAATGACAATGAACATCGGAGAAGGCGAGGCAATTGAAAAAGAATCGTCTGACTCGAATGGAGCTCCTAGAGCGAATGTTGGAGGCGGGAGTCGTAAAGAAGGATACTCGCGAGAGTTGCGCCGCGGGAGGGAAGATTCCACCCAAGATGGATTCTGGGGGGTTCTTTCTGCGCATCGGACTTCTCCGTATAGATTTCACCTCATGCTGGGGTCTCCTAGGGAACACTCCTCCGAGGACTTCAGTGCCGCCATGATGAGCAGGACGCCTTCGAATTCCTAGTAGCTAGTGATAAAGGGCATAAATTTTCACCCACGAACGTGTTATCGGTAGTTCATCGTCTTGAACAAACGAGCCATAGATTCCATCCACGGTGTGAATGCGAAGCGGGGCGACGACGCTTTTCAGAATTAACTAACCGAGCGTCAACGCATCACCGATTATGCGGGCCATCCTGTCGGCAGCGATTCTCTGGCGAGGAGCTGGTTGTATGTGACTGTTAGGGGCAGCTGGTTATCAGAGAATCGGAATTCTCTTCATTTCCCGTCCCCGCGCCCCATAGCGTCGGACACTGCGAAAAATGAGATTTGCTCTCAACGAAAATCGCGCGTGCTCAATGGATGTCGCCCCGGGTTTGATTCCTTCCGCTAGCGATCCAGAAGTTCACACTGACTTTTGCGCAAGTCAAATATCGTTAGCTACTGGCTTTGAGCTGTTTATCAAATGTGACAAAACTATCACTACGCGTGATCGACATACGGCATCTCGCCTAATGTGAGTTAGCGAAAGTGGCCTTGCGATGATGTCCGCGTACAAACTGAAAGGGTTCGATGATATACTTGCCTACTGCTAGTTCGTACGTATAAATGCATCGAAAATTGGTCGAAATTTATTAGAAATCATCATGCTGAAGGTGAGTGTGCCTTGGAAACCTCAGTGCGACGAGAACGACGGCTGGATACGGTGCTGAATCCTTGGTAACAACTCGAGAAGATACTTTCTCACGAACTCGCTTCCATCGCTTTCTAGTCTATCGCACTCGTCGCTCTTGTGGGATCGGCAGCCTGCCAGGTCCAACTCCGGGCCGATGAGATTTCTCAAGGCAGGAACACTTTGTACCGCGGAGCTGTACTCGCAAACCAGCAAGCAAATTACGGTCCTCCCCGACCCTACGAGTACGGCTACCAGCTCGATGATTCGAACGGCTCTCACGGCCACGCAGAAAAGCGTGATGAGAACGGACGTGTCGAAGGAGAGTACTCGATAAACTTGGGAGACGGCAGAGTACGAGTGGTTAAGTACGTCGCCGACGAGAACGGATACAGAGCTGACGTGTCTACCGATGAGCTCGGCACCGAATCGAAGAACCCCAACGACGTGTACATCGGTTCTACTGCGATCTCGGGTTACGAAGCTGCCCTGAGGTACGGACCCTTCGCTCCACCTCACGTGGAGCAGCCCCTGGTCGTTGCAGAAAGACCTCAGGTGCAAGCAATAAACAGTCAGGTGAGTAGTTTCAAGACTTTCTGAGCGCTCTTTTTGCATCAAGCAAGTCGCACACGGAGAATCGTGGCACCTGATATTTGAAGCGGGAAGGCTAAGCTGGAAATTGTCCTAGGTCGCCCTCCCGACGTACGGAACATTCGCTGGGGGACAGAATGCCGCGAACCGTCAACAGCGTCAAGGATAGAAACTTCCACGGAGAATCAATATTGTAAACACCATGTGTTGGGACGGAAATCATTCTGACTCGCGCTGTGGGTTCTAGCCCTTCATCCTGCCACCTGAACGTCGAGCTACCTATATCGAATAAACATTCCTGAATGAAGTTTTTGAGAAGTGATTGAAAACACACATCTCTTGATGTCTGCATGCCCTGGAGGGGACTCCGCGCTGCCCAAAACTGCCCTCCAAGATGGGAACCTTGCTTATCCGCCCGTTGATGCAATAAAACTTGATTGAGGGTGCGAGCGACCGGGAAATTTCGCCATTGAAAGACGAATTCACAATGAGCATCACATAAGCTTGGCTGAGCTAAGGAAACCATTAAGCATAATTCCGAGATACCATGTCGTGCCTTGCGAGCCGAAGATATCGCCCGGGTTTTCGGTTTTCGCGGCGCTCGAAGACAAGTGTTGCAGTTTCTCGTATTCAGAGTGGAGTGAGGACGACCGCCGAGTGACCCGCGAGAATCCGATGCTCTCGCCTAAGAGTTCTAATCCCGTGGCCGTCTCCGAAAGCAGTCTGCCTGGTCTCGGAACAGTGAATGTGTCTGGGGGGATCGACCCGATACAATCAGAGATAGCGCGAAACCATCTGGTGGTAATCCGTCGAGTTTTGCAAATCAAGTATTTTTGAGTATCCGCATCAGGGAGCAGTTACCTCCACGCCTGAGGACTCGCAGTGAGGAAAGAAAAGCCGATGGCCCCGCGAAAATGCTTCGCAATATTGAGCTCCCGCTCACGTGAGGTTTCGGCGGCTAATCGTACGAATATTTTCTTGATATGTAGCACCGGACGGAAACTGCGGAGACGGGAACACATTTCTTTATGCGTCGACTCTGCTCGGTGCGTCGGAAAATTCGTGGGTCCGAGGAGAAACCCAGTGTTTCTGCTCACGTCGCGTCGTCTGCTGTGCATAGGCGAACCTCGCTCTGACTCCCTCGGATTGCCCCAGTAGCAATCCGAGCTGAGCTTATATTTTGACACCGATTCCATATGGCTGCCGCGTCTCAGAGACGTCGCAAAATGAAAATGTAGTCTTCGAATGGACTGACTCATGAAGAATCGCTTCCATGAGCCGATGGAGAAGACTTTCCGGTGGGCATTCGGACTGTGGTCTCCGCTCGTGGAAATAAGAATTTAATGAATGTGAGTTTACATCATGTAGTTGATGGAACGTCGGATGAATCACACGGAAGTCATGGAAGTAATCAGAGACTTTTATTATGGTTCTGAATATGAATAGATGTATGTATTAGGAACAGATGTTTCGCATTCTGCCATGTACTCTGCGAATCCGCTCGGGGACCTTTTCTTCTTTGCGAATTCTATCAGCTGAGAAGCCATCAAGTCATCCCTGGGCCGCGAAGGTTCCGTATGTTGGCAAATTGACCTAGAGAAAAATCCGAGTGAGTACGGCCATACTTTTGGCTACTTCAAGCGTCAGACGCGTGTCTCATCAGGAGGGTTGCGGGCATATTCCAACCTATTCGAACATTGGGTCTGAGCCCGAATGATTGGAATACAAGTTTCCTAAAAATGTCAGCGAATTTTCACCTGAGTATTGAGGGCACGGACTTCTTCACGTCGTGGCGCTTCTGGTCGTGGTGCAACCTCTAAAGGCTTCTCTATGTGGGGCGGGGCGAACGGTCCATATTTCAAGGCCGCGTCGAAGCCCGAAATCGCCGTGGAGCCGATGTAGACGTCGTTCGGGTTCTTGGATTCAGTGCCAAGTTCATCGGTTGAGACATCAGCTCGGTAGCCGTTTTCGTCCGCGACGTATTTCACCACTCTCACTCGACCGTCGCCCAAGTTGATCGAGTACTCGCCTTCAACGCGTCCGGACTCATCTCGTTTCTCAACGTGCCCGTGGGAGCCGTTGGTATCGTCTAATTGATAGCCATATTCGTAAGGTCTCTGCTCGTATTGCACCTGTTGATCCGCATTGGACAATCGCTGAAGAGTCGTTCGGACTCTATCCTGCCGATTTCTCGACGACGTCGTGAAACTCTGCGAGTAACTGCCGTCCTGCTCGTCCTGGTAATCCTGAGACAGCGCCACCGAGGCAATAGCCAAGATCAGACTCACCTAATGAGACATGAACGCACTCTTTATGAATCAGGACGACTAGGCACCCCACATAGCATCACTAGAACTACTCCAAATCAGCCCGGCAGATAAACCTCGGAGGAGCAGTCCTCCGATCCGTACGGAAATCATGTTACTACCTTGAAAATCATCTCTCACTTTTGGGACCTCGGAATTTCCTTATCTCTTTTTATACAATTCCTGAATGCGAGTGGGAAGGAGGTCGGTAAAACCCCGTAGAAAGCGGAGTTTTCCTTTTCTCGTCAACTCGTACAAGAGGCATTCACGGTATACGAAATTCTCTTATGTGGGCTATGAAGTCAGTACATCGGTCACGTCCGGCAGCGTACAGGTACCCAACAATAACTGTCTTCTTTCCGACCATCAATGTTCTCGCTCGTGAACGACATTCGTTCGGAAACCCAGGTGGGAGTCCGTGGGGAACTACAAGCATGTTCTTCTCTGCGTCATGGAAGATACTTGTTTTTGTCTCACTCCCTCTCCGGAACTCGCTCGCGGAGCCGAGTCACGATGACTTGCGGACGGATTCGTCCAAGATTCCTCTCATCCGCTCGGAAGCCGTCATTCTCGAGGACTCGGGCTATTTAAATGTAGGTAGGATCGATCATGCTAGCGAGCATGGATGTCGCTTCCCTTGATGACGAGGGCGTGCAATCCTTCACGGGGCTGCAGGACACATCAGCTGTTCATCCCAGTTTCCGGTGACTCATTGAACAACATGAGCATCGTCGCAAAGTTCAATCAGAATGCAGCTCCACGATCAGAACAAACAAACGGGATCTTTTCACGCAATGAAGGCGGGAGGATTATGCAATGAGCTACCGATTATCTAAGACCGAGAAGGAGAAGAGTAGTTCTATATAGCGCGGAGCGAAATTCCTCCCCAACGAATTATATACATATATTCATGCAGGTCTCCACTATCCAGCGATGCTTCGGCTCAAAAATGGCGGAATCTGCTGCATGCGTCGAGATTCCGCCAGGATGGAGCAGGGCCGCACTCGTTCGCGAGCGTTCGGTTCGTTCCACGTGCATGTTTAATGCCGAAAAAAACTGAGCGTCAGAAATAATTATTATCAATTCGATGGTTCGGATGAACGGTGGTATGTTTTCGGAGAATGAGTTCCTACACTCGGAAGGCGGAGCTCTGATAAGCAGCCACTCGGGTCCGCTTCGTGAGCTCCTGATCGCTGGCACAGAGATCGAGGATCCGCACCGAGCATCGTGCGACCAGAAGACCGACGTAAGAAAAGAAAGTCGGACCTGTTTGTGTGTTCGTTACGGTTCTTCGATGAGATATCAATTATCTCGGTGGTGGCCTTGGCCCTTTCAGAAGATGTCACTTGCTCTGCACAGTTGAAAAAGATATTTTCATTGATAAGACAGGGAGGTAAATCCGCGACACGAATCATTGCCGCCGTATAAAAGTCGCACCGAGGAAAGAAAAACACAGTATTGGGCTGTCGGCTATTTAAAACGGTTCATCGGTGCTCATCGTCTGTGTGTTCAAATCCTCGACCGAAATGAGAAGCGTGAGTACTGCGAATACTGCCGACGAGAGCACAAAATTATTACGTCGATGAAAGGGGACGGTAGCGGCCGCTAAATCAATCGGCAGCTCGAGATGTTCAGAAAAAGTCCGAGTATCGAGACCAAACTTGGGAAAAGCACCCTGAAAGATCCTCCTAACCAGGATTTTCGGGGGGGCGCGCTTCTGAGCCTACTCGTTGACGAACTTGAGCGGCGGATAATCACAGAAATTAGCACGGTGATTCCGTAATGCTCATGAGAAGTGTGATTTCATCTTTCAGTTCATCGTCGCCGCTCTCTTCGCGAGCTTGTGCGTTGTGGTAAGTCGCAACCGGCATGTACAGCCAAAATCCTAGAGCCATTTCAGCTACCGAATCCGAGCCTGACAATCGAATTCCACAGCACTGCCAGGATCTGTACGGAGATTTGGCGCAACCCTCACCGTACCAATTCGGCTACACAGCGACCAGCGAGGAGGGTTCACATGGTCATTCCGAGACTTTCGATGGAACGCAACGCGCCGAGGGATCCTACTTCTTGAAATTGGCTGATGGCCGCGAGAGGACTGTCACTTATACTGCCGATGAGAACGGTTTCCATCCGGAAATTCAAACAAACGAATTGGGAACCGAATCGAAGAACCCCGGAGGCGCCCTGTACAAGTCCTCCGCTCCAACCGGACCTGACGCTGCAATCCAAGCTGATTCTCAAGCCCGTCAATGATAGCAATGATAAGAAAAACCCGGATCTGTGAGCCCGCGATGTGAAACACCGTCTCGAGTCCCCAACAACCCTCCTGTGATTTCCGAGTAAAGCGTGCGGAGCAGTTCATCAGATATTCTGAGAATGAGAATCGACTGCTCGGCGTGGTAAAATTGACATGTTATCTTTGCTCTAATATAAGAGCTGCCTGGAATTGAATAAACGCTGACTCGATGAACTTCAATCGCCTGCACGGAAGATCCTTAGCGGTATGGAAAGTCGCGGGTCGTCTCCGAGAAGGAAGAGACGTGCACGCGAAATTCCGCGACCGCGATGGCGGCATAAACCGCTTAGAAGAATACTAATCCCTCCACAGTAAATCATCCAAGGTCGTCTCTAGAATTTAGAAGCCCCAGAAAATAATCGAAGTAGACGAAAGCGTCGACAACGACGACTGAGACAACCCTATTTCGCAACCAGTAAGGGGAGATCTTCGCTCTGTTGTATATAAGCGCACCCCTGTCTGATGTTGCGCATCACCGACCATCAATATGAAGCAGGTTCGTGAATCTATTAATTCTTCTTCGCTCCAAGCTTCAACATTGAACTGTCGCACCCGTTCACTGTGCTGATAATTCCGTCGGGGCTTTGATGAAAATCCAGCCGAGAGGATTCTCAATGATTCCGACAAGAATTCCATTCGTTCGAGCGAAGAGAGCATCGTCGCGAACTCGCACTCGACAACAAATAATGAACCAGCCAAGAGATTTTGACTTTTGAGAGCATCGACTCCAACTTACTTTTCCATAGTTCCTGATATTCGTCGCGGTTGTCACCGTCGCCTCCGCCCAGAGCGTCGCGGATCAGTATGGGGATCTTTCACAACCGACGCCGTACGAATACGCCTACACGGCAGAATCCGATGAAGGCTCTCACGGACATTCCGAAAAGTTCGATGGCAACTCTCGCGCTGAAGGAAATTATTTCTTGAAGTTGGCTGACGGGAGAGAGAGATATGTCAGCTATACGGCCGACGAGAGTGGATTCCACCCCGAGATTCAGACAAATGAGCTCGGAACTGAGTCCAAGAATCCCGGAGATGCTGTTTACGTGTCGTCGGCACCCTCCGGACCCGATGCCGCTATCCAGGTAAACTCTACCTCGCTTTCACGATCCCGATCGCGGAATTCGAAGGAAGGGGTGTATCATACTCGCGTAGGTACCGGCTCATGAATTTCCTCTCCGAATATCTTCAGGCCTACGGCGGACCTTTCCCCGAGAGCATCGGTCAAGGAGTTCGACCTGTCGTCGCCCGCGCCGCCGCTGCCGCGGCTGCCAGCGCATCTTAGATTTGCTGCGGAGCCAGAGGTCAGGCAAAAGAATATCTCTTCCCGAGGGAGAACGGGCCAGTTAGCAAGAATAAATTTCTTCGGACCATCGGGAATCTTTTTCGTCGTCTGAAAGCTCCTAATGAACGCCCTCGTCGAGCCCTCGTCTCATACATATTGAGATTGTATGTAAACGTATTCGGATACAAATTCATAACTCAGCAGACGGAATCAACTTCATCCCGCCTGTTCGCAGCCTATGTGGCATCCGCATGTTTGATCGACCTGCATCACCGGACGAAGAGAATGAGAAGTAGCGCAGCAGGAAGTCCCGATATCCGCATAAACGACCAGGTCCATAACCTTCCCCGTCGAAAAGTATTACCTCCAAGGGATCGAAGGGCCTTTCAGAGGTTTGCCAGCTCGATAAATGCTCACGATGGAAATAAAACCCCAGGCTATCGGTAATACTGCACGTCCCTACACTGCACAGCCAGCTCACACGCAACTCAGGCCCGCTTAGATTGAGTTCCCTATAACGTATCGACAACATCGTCGAACGATGGAACCCTCAGCAGAATTATAGATATCTGATCATGGGAGTTCCGAATACATACGAATCGAGAGGAGAGGGTAACTTGCAGCGGAATGCACCGAGGATACGGTCCTCGAACGATTTCAGGTTGAGCCTGGACTAGTGAGCTGCCCTTCTCTAGCCGTTGTCAGCGAGGAATCGATATGCGGATTACGAAACGGCATAGAAGGAACGACTCGCACGGATAAAGAAAGTTCTTTGGTCCCCGCATCATGCGGCATGCGCAACTTGAGTTTCTTCGCGGTCCGTCGCTTGTGGCGAATCAGTGCAGAGGGGGAACGCGGGATTTCAGCAAATTTTCCTGAGCATATTCATGTTCGTTACTTCTCCAGTAAAAGCATTTCTCGGTACAACGAACAAGGAATTTCTCCTCCTTTGGCCAGCTCGCCATAGGGATAGTGTTGAGCGGCATTCGTTACAGCGAAAACTCGGTATAACGAACCAGTTTCGTCGGTCCCCTCGTGTTCGTAGTAACGGGCTCTTACTGTATCTGCATCAATGTAAGCCTTCTCCGGCTGGCAACTCTTAGCCTTTCGTCGCTTGATTCGATTTGACTAAAAATCAATGCGGAGCGACCCGGATTCTCCATGCGGGGAGCTGAATTTTGCATGCCCGGAGAGCTGGCTTAAATCTCGTTGCCATGGCTACGTCTCGCCAATCATGGTACCAGGTAAGTAGGCGCAAGGCCTCGCATCGGATACCGACTGCATACGTATACACCTTCTCTTGACGGAGAGGAGTTTGCCCGAGAATCCTCTCTGTGACAACGTTCGAGTCGACCGAGGGAACAAGTGTCCCCTCCCGTGAGCAAGTCTGAGATGGAGAGATGCTTCATACAATCAAGGAGGGAGTCGTTGCGACCGTGATGACTGTCGATGGTCGCTATTGAATCGGACCTCACAATGTTCCCCGTAGCAACTGGCGAGCCCCCCATGGTCGAGGCGCCGGCGAACCGGACTTGTCCGTCGTGCCGCATATCGGTATCAGGTGTGTTTCGGAAGTCGGGAATCTCCCCGGGACATCTTACGTGACGTTTAATGCTAAAAAAGATGAGATGCAAACTGAACCATTCAATGAAAGTACCCGAAACCTCTCTCTAGTGGATCAGCAATCCCGGGTCATGTGTCCGTTCTGTGGCGGCTTCTACGACCAGAGAGCGAATTCTGATTTCAACATGAGACGGAGCAGCTCTGTCGCGAACGGTTACTTGCCACACATCGTGAGTTACGAATCTCATTCGGCTGGTTCCTCGCCTTCGACCGATTTTTCATCGAACGATAGCTTACACCTCGATTTCCGATTCCAGGACGACATAAGCAGACGCCATTCCTCGATAGGAGAAAGACTCGGAGCCTTACAAGGTTATCTAGCAGGTGAATAAATCAGGGTAGCATGCCGGGGACCGCATCCGAATCTCCTGGAGGATGCGCGGAGTTATTCTTCAGGGGAAGGCCCGGAGGCAGTCGCGGGATTCAGCAGCCTCAAGCTGGGAAAGGGTGTATGCCGCAAATGAATCTACGAGAGTGTTTTTCGTTCCCGACGCTCAGGACTCATCCTCCGGAACGGGCAGGAGAATCAATTTTATTTACCGCCAGTAGAGAAAGAAAAGGAAGACAAGGATGACGGCCGCATCACTCCCGGAAGTTCAGACGACGATTCTCTGGACTATCCGATCAGAAATTTAGATGCTGCGGCTTATCGGTAAAGTATCACGCGACGAATCACTTTGGATTGGATGGAACCGAATCGACGCTCGATTCACCTTGCACCACATCGGAAATTGAGATTAGCGAGCCTTCTCGAGGACTTCGCGCTGCATGCTCAGGTCGACTAACGATTCGGGGACTGAAGAATCAGCTTCGAGTACGTATTCGTTCTTCATTTCGCAGAGCCCTGCTCGAAGATTGCAAAGCAAAGGAAAACTACGTCCCGCTACAAGAACTCCTGGAGCAAACTTTCTGCTGCTTCGTGGAAATGTCATCCATCTTTAAAATGGATCCCAAGCAGGAGAACGCACGTCCCGAAGACCCGGACATCAAGAAAGAGCTCCTCTTCGAAATCTACGATAGCTTCGAAACCTTGGTCTGTAATTTGAGCTTGAGTGATGCGACTTCACAGAGAACCATCCATCACCCCGCTCTCTTTCTACTGTCCGAATCGAACTTTCCAGCCGGGATACTTGGCGAAAAGCGTCTTGAAGGCGGTGATAAGTTCTCTATTGGAGCTCGATGTCCGTTTGATGGCGAAGGATGATGTCCGCTCGGTGTATATCTTACTGCTCAATCCGATTTTCTCATCTCAGGTACGATTTTCGATATGGGGCGAACACTTCGACACGTTTTTTTCTGTCGCAGCCGATCCGCATTTAGGATATGTTAATTTCACAGGCGTCCTATACGGTGTTTGCTCACCTGGTCCGTCGTGTTGTTTCACTCCCAAGCCCAGACCATCAGCTCTTGATCCACTGGTTTGCCAGGTAAAGGTGAAGACTCCCCATAGAGGCGCGACTGGATAAGGTATCGCCCAGGACGGGTTCTAAGACCTCGTAGATGATGACGCGCCTGGTGCGGACCCAGAGAAACCTCCGCGGAACAAGATGACCTATGTATATCGAAGCGTTCGTCGGTCTCGACGGGTTCCGCACGAGGGAGTTCCTCCTCGTGTAAGATTAAGGTCTCCGAGGAGACGACCCCCGCGACAGATTGGCACCCTGCGTTCATTCGGACCCCGTCTCTAGGAGAGGCGATACCCTTCGGCTCGACCTTACGCCTCGAAACATCATGAGCTCCGATTTTAATTTCGCATGAATTTCGAGCAGCACGGAGGCGAGTCGCACCCGGGAGCTCGTTAAGAGACTGCTACAGTTCATAACTATTCGGGAGTTTCCGCCCGCTAACGGTCACCGTCTGCCTTCGATCAACAAGAGTCGTTGGTGGATTCCATGCGCTACAAGGTGTGTGTCGCTATTCAGAGAGGAATCATGTGACATTGTAGAGGGATCCCCAGTAATCCAGGACTCCTGTGTCGCTCCCGGCCGCAGGGTTCTAGCTCTACTGAACGCGTCGAATAACAGGAACACTCCTCCGCCCTTGGAGTATGCGGAATTCTACAATTCGGCGCTCGATCATATCAATCTCATGGCGGAGTACTACCGGTGGCAGACCCCGGGGAAAAGCAATAAGTAAGAACTCGCGCATTATCCATATCTTACCTGCACGCTCTACCTCGGGATCCGCGGCATGGATGCGGATTATTTCTCGTTATGTCTCAAACTCCGGCAGGTTTTCGTATTGCCAATATCCCTTCATTCTGAGCATAGTCGCGAAGAAGTTCATCCTGCAGAGAGATTCCGAGCAGCAGATGATATTGAACGCTAGAGTGAGTTCCCCCCGTTCGGAGCGAATATACAGCTCTCGATCTAATGTTCACTGCCGACTTGATGACAGCGATAAGATTCGCCCATGGTTCGATCGATAATCCCAAGCACCGACGAATGTTCACAGCGCTCCCTCTTGAATCGAGCTCTGCAACATCAAGTCCCGGATCTGGATGTTTTTTTCTTGAACCTGAACGTCCGGAGGCAGCACCTCGTCTCAGATTCACTGAATGAGATCGCGAGGAAACAAGCCGATCTGAAGAAAAAACTCAAAGTGACTTTCGTCGGGGAGCCTGGTGAGTTGGAGGGAGCGAACAGCAACCCCGTCGGGATTCAGATTAGGATGGAGTTGGCGTTCATGTCGGGGCTTGCCATCATCGCCTTCATTCTGCAGGTTTGGACATGGGTGGACTCACCAAAGAATGGTTCCTGCTGTTGATAAAGCAGATCTTCAGCTCCGATTATGGCATGTTCGTATACCACAACCAAGCTCGCTGCTACTGGTTCAGTACCGCTCAAATAGGGAATTTGCGAGAGTACAACTTAATAGGTGTGCTCATGGGTCTGGCAGTCTACAATTCTATAATTCTCGATCTCAATTTCCCAACTGCCTGCTACAAGAAACTCCTAAGCCCGCCGGTAGTGCCCTCGAATATGGACACATCTAATGTGGGAAATTGCAAGTTTACTCTGGAGGATCTTTCGGAAGTTATGCCCGACGTGGTGGTCGGCCTGCGGGAACTTCTCTCCTATGAGGGGAACGTTGAGGAAGATTTCTTGATGCACTTCGAAGCGTCGGTGGAAGAATTCGGCGAGGTTAAAACTCACGTGCTCAAGGAGGCCGGTGAGCACATCGCGGTTACCAACGAGAACAGACAAGGTAGAGGCTCGATCGATGAAGGGGGAACGATTTCCAGATCCCTGCCCTCCCATGGCGATTGACGGAAGTCCTTTTCCGCTCTTACAGAGTACGTTGACCTCTACGTAGATTTGATCCTCAATCAAGCGATAGGGCAACCATTCAAAGCGTTCTACCTGGGATTCCACAGTGTCTGCGCTTCCAACGCGTTAATTGTGAGTCAGCTCACCCGCCCCCTTTCTCGACAGCCCCCCTTCCCCTCCGAATTCGGCATGACTTCAAGCCGCTCTCCTCTCTGTCCCGACAGATGCTTCGTCCCGAAGAGGTGGAACTACTGGTGTGCGGATGGCCCAAACTCGATCTCGACGCCCTTCGCAAAGTGACCGTTTACGATGGTTTCAAGGCGGATGACCCTCTCATCGCTCAATTGTGGGAGATTCTAGAGTCGTTTTCCGTCCAGTTGCAACAACAGTTTTTGAGGTTCTGTACAGGATCGGATCGGGTTCCCGTGGGAGGCATGTCGGAGATGAGCTTCAAGATAAGCGCAATCAACAACAAAACGGACATGTGAGCGACTTGAGTGAAAATACAGACTAATTCGGTATAGAGAGGGCCAGCTTGTCTCTCTCCCCCTGCAATTTGATTTGTCTGGTAAGTCTCGACTCCTCACAGGCTCCCGATATCCCACACCTGTTTCAACCAGTTGTGCTTACCTCGATACCCGGACGCCACAACGCTGAAAGAAAAACTCATCATAGCGATATCAAACGCTGAAGGCTTCGGACTCGAATGAAAGAGAGTTGTCTCGAATGCGCATAGGACAACACGTATTCGAACCGCTCTGATTCTCGGAGAGAAGTGTCACATCATCCAAGGTCCTCTCAGAAACGGTTCTCCGCCTTGGCAACCGCACAGTGATTAGGTGACGATTAGGAACAACTTTGATATTACCGAATGTTCTCCCACGATGCGATCGCATCCCTACCGGCGGATTTCGGGACTCCCAAATAAAGTTATTCTTGAGAATAGCGGAAGTGTTCTTCACTGGTTATCGGAAACGCATATAGCCCTCAGAAACTATTCACGACGTCGACGCAATTCACTCGAGCAATCCTATTCGAAAGAAACCTTCTTTGCTCTAATTGAATACATCACTTGATCAATTCATGATTGATTGATATATTCTCTCCTAGAACTCTCTAATTTTTCGGAATTCCTATCATCTCATCATGTTCTTGAGCTGGACGCAGGACGCGGTGGACGGTCCTGCAGAGCGAAATCTCCCCCCTAATGAGTTATGGAAAGCTTTCATTTGTGGCGGG